ATCAGATCAGAATCGCCAAAGTTTGGTACGAGCTATTCCGGTTCTGCCAAGGAGTTGTACTCAGCCGAGGAATAGCCATGTTTGCTTTCTGAACCCTTCATCTAGACTCATCTCGACCTGTCCCCAAGATTCAGTCCCCATGCAGTCGTCCATACGGCTCATTACCGGAATCCGAGCAGATCTCTTCGAATGATCGATAACGGAGGAATGAAGGACAGAAACCTGGTCCTACTATCCGTATCGTCGATACCGTCGTCACATGCTCATAGGAAAGTTTGAGTGTCAACATGCGAATGCAGAAACAGTGCTACCTACACGAGCAAGTCAGCGAAGAACCCTCCTATCTCTACAGTTATTGACTGATATCTTACCACACGAAAACTCATTCATGAATATCGGTAGAAATATCTACCTGAAACGCTCTTGCCAGAGCTCCCTCTGATTCTCTCCCTGTGGCCCTCCAGGTCAGGGAAAATGACGGAGCTGCCTGTCACAAGATATTCAATGCGACGCCGACTGTCTTCAGCAATAACACACCCTATTAATCATCCATTTGCAATCCACACACACACAGACAGAATGTGGAGATCGTAGGAACTAACCGACAGTGCATTGCCAGTTCCAAGTCACCATCTACAGGAGCAAACCGGAGACAAGCAATGTCAAATTCAGTGATATTCGCCTGGGTACGACCGGGGAGCAGCGCCACACGCGGGCAGTTTCTTTGTTTGACATCCCGGCTATTGACTTTTAGCTTGGCTTCCACACATCTGAGATTGGCCAGTCCGGCATCCGCCCGAGTTTAAGGCCCATTGGGGGCGCTACTGGCGTCAATGGCCCGCCCAAAAAACGTTCTTTTGCACGGCTTTTGCGGATGGGGCTTTTGATTGTCCAGAAGCTAGACAGGAAATATGAAAATACTCGATATGTACTGTACAATCCGACGCACAGTATCGAGCCTTGTACTTTACAGTCGTACGTGAGGCCTGTACAAGTGCACATTGCATTCGTGACCGGATGGATTTCCCGAATTACGAGCAAAGTAACACAACAAATATACGCCAGTGAAAGCTAACGCGCCGATCGTCTATTTTGCCCAACGACGAGTGCGGAATCGGATCTGGAAACCTGCAGTGACGGAGATGCCTACAGTCTACAGCGCAAGACTACGAGTACACATTCGATAGAGACATGGGCTTCATTCGCCTTTCTGGATGCTCTGTCTCCGATCTTCCGCTTGAATATTATCACCATCCACTCAGCCAGTTGAACCATGTGCACCACAGGCTCCCGCGGTCTTCGTTGGCAGATACACGGCTGAGATTGCTTTATTCATTTTCTCCAACATACACCTTTGATCATGATGTAAGGACTGGACATCCCGTCTCTCCTCTCCGGCCGTGCGTTAGGTGCTCAAGTGAAATGAGCGGTGTCCACTTGGGCCAGGCAACCTTGAATCAAAGTGGGCTTACTGTTGTATTTCCAGCTCCAAGTGTTGAACTACTCCTCCAAGGCTAACTAGCAGATCAGTGGATTGATCGGCACAGCCTAAAGTGATGCTATTAGCCTAGCTCCTGTACCATCATTCAAAACAGTCAGCAACGATGGTCATTTCGAATCCTTCCGTGAGTAATAAACAGATGGGTTAGGTCCGTTGACGTTTTCGCCCCCATGGACCCGGCACGTGCTCGGACGAGTATGCGGGACTAATGCACGAACCTGGATAGGCGACACTGTTCCCTGTCAAGTCCCCTGAACAGTGAGAGATTGAGAATAGTTGGAGATGGGTGACATGGACGATGGGGGCGGCATTGACGGAGTCACAGAATCCCAACAGGCACATCACTTTCAAACAAATACCTAATATGAAAGGAGTAACAAGGTTGGAGGTGGAGGGGACGCCGATTATTTCGTGACAGATGACAGTTGCCAAGAGGAAATGACTCCGTCTTTGCCAACGCCTTTGACGGCGCTCGAGGCCTAGGTCCGACATTGCTACGAGATCGACAAATTCGTGTCTCGTTATTGATACAAGCAAGCTCCTCAGGTTGAGTCTCCGATTGCTGTACCGCACATTGATTGACATCGCTCACGGCTTGAAAGGTCTAGACTTTGTGTTTACCAGGGTTTGCGGTAGGGTCTATTCAATCACCTCACCCTGGTCTGCGGATACCGAACTGCCAGCTGCTTCCATGGCATGGTCCAGGTAAAGAGAGCGACTTTGGACCTTTACAGTAGAATTATGTCGGCAGACATCATGAGATGATCCCTGGATGCTCTGATTGAGAAGAAATGATGGGGAGATTCAGAGACGCCAGCCGTTCTTGCTGGTGGTCAATCCGCGCACGACTAGCGCAGGGGGATGGCAAGGCAGAAAGCACGTGGATCCTGAACCGAGTCCAAGGTTGGTGTTACAGTACTGGAATGCAAACTTTCAAGTAAATTACTACATTACAAGATACAGGACGCGTGTATTGTTTTATACCAGAAACTCTTGCGAGTCGCGAATCCATACAGTACTGTCAGGGAGGGTAGAACTGAATTTCGGGGTCTTTGCAGTTTGCACGACTGGCTCAGAGCTCGGTCTCACTGCTCACGGCCTCATTGTGATCGCTTGAATTCGCTTTCTCCATGATCGCTCTCCCGCTCCGCACCGAATGGTTCATTCGATCGTCTCCTCCACCGGTTCGTTGGGGGGGGCCTCGCTTCTGATAGAGTATATTGGTCGCAGGGTCGGCGTAAACCCCTGTGACCCTGCTACCCATTTCCTCCTTCTGATAGCCGGTCGACTCTTCGCCACTTCCATTTGAACATCTACACTCACATCTCCACAGTTGGAGAACAGGACTATTCCAGCTCCATCATGGCGGATCTACGCCTTCATCCCGTGCCAGATCCAGGTCGCGCAACTGCCGCCCATGCCGACATTGCAAGTGATCATGTCAACTCCTGGACGAGAGCGCCGTCTGAATGACTCGATCTCTTCAGACGAACTACAATCGAATACAGTCAATACACAGTGCGCAGTTCCGCGCCCCTTTACCCGATCACGAGTATCAGCGACCGACTGTCGATCCCACCGTTCTTGGAGACTTGACTTCCCGTCTCTCCCGCTTCGACGCTACAGAATGGCAACCAATTCCCGATTCCGGTAAAAGCTCTGCGGTCGACAGCGCAGTGAGAAGATTGTGTTTCTCACAACCCGGAATTCGTTCACACTAGGATTGACCGCTGGAAGAAGTCTGTTGATTGCATTGAATGCGGGAAAGATGCGTCTCAACCCGTTGTGACAATGCTGACGAGTGTCGGTAGGACCCCCCTATGATTCGGGTGCATGTCGTCTACTTCTAGTAGTCATTTCTCTGCCGAGTGCTGAGCATGCGTATTCCACCAAAAAGCACCCGAGTAAGAGGTCCCGAGTGAGTGTCGGGCGCTCGAGCACCTCCAAATGACAGGAAGATAATGGTGCACACAGCGATCAGCCAGCCTTGCCCGGACAGTAAGCTTGCAGGGTCTTTCCGACTTTCGAGGAACACCTTGCACAGTGTCTCTCTTGTAGATGCACTTAGGGAAAGCGAATCGAGGGCTTGTCGAGTCGCGCCCCTGTGACTGGCTTCTCCAATCGATCCCTCGGCGTACTATTACATAGGTCACTCTTTTACACCAGTACGAATAGTTTGCGCTACCACATCTGTATCTTACATGAGTACGCGATTGCCATACGCCTCCAAATCCACACGTCCAGGCTGTAAAACAGTGGTCGACATTGATAAACACGCGCAAGGTTAAATCCACACCCATATGCCATACAAGAAAATATGCTCTTGTGTGCAGCAACCCAAGAGACTACAGGACGGTTAAGAAGACGGAAAACAGATTCAATAGCAACAGACTCACGACCCTCCATGTAAAGTAACCTTCTGCTCAGACGCTTGGCACGCAAGGCCGGGAATACATATCCCTAGGTGATCTCAGCAAGACCCAACCAGACTCAACATACCACGTCCACTCCCTTATCCCTTCCGAAGCATTCATGCCGCAAGTTTCACCGTGTTGACGCGACACGTAGCGCAACACATCAGTATTTAGGACAAGATAGTCAGAAACATGACCACCCACCTTTAAATGTAAACAAGCTCTCTGGAATAAGGGACTGGTTGAACCCATCGCAAATATACCTGCCACTACCCAATATTTTCTTCTTCGTCCACTGCCGCAGATTGAGGCACTCACCTAGACTTCGTCATCCCAGCACTCATCCACCTATCTACGCATTTCAATCAACACTTCCCCGCTCACAAAGGCAAGTTAGTAATTGATAGAATTTCTTTTTCGGTCCCTTCCCCTGACCTTCGCCACTACGCCGGAAGCTGAAGCATCTCACTGACAATCTCCTATACGAATGGAATAGCCCAGAATCTACACCCATTTGAACCCAAAGAAAGCCCTCATCACTCTCACGATGAAATTACTCACAATCCTCGCTACTCTGTCCCTCTCCGCCATCACAGTCGCCGCTCCCGTACCCTTAGAGCCAGCTCCCCGTGGTTTGATCCCCAAACCCATGGACTTGATCGAAAAGATGTATCCTCATTCGGGGATTCCCAAAATTGCGGGCAAGCTTGAGAAGAGTATTGGTCTCTGTGAGTGACTCTCGTCTTGAGGCAATATCGGGTGATTATCTGTTTTGGTGATGAGTGGCTAGGCTAATGCATGAGATAACCGTGTTCCAGGAGTGAAGGACAGAGACACGGTATTGGGGAGGTCACTGTATATTGAAGGATGACGAAGTTACAAGTCCATGGGCGAGAGCATGTTTGCAAATGGAAATAGAGTGACTAGCTTGAGCATCAATGAAGAAAAATACAGAACGTGAAATATCAGGGGGATAGGAAGTCGGATATGGGTAAAAATGTGAGAACCGGAGCCTGGTTGGAAGCAGCTAGGGAAGGGAGAAGGTTCTTCTCATTATCTTCGAACCATTCATCGCACTTTTCCAACTAGAACATGCCCTCCATGTCCAAATCTAGAAACTCAGGATTCCCCACCGCCATGTCCGCCGCGTTGAGAACATCATCGATCGCATCCATACCACCAGCGCCCGACCCCAGCCCCATATCTTCGCCAACATTGCCATTCATACCGGCTGCAGCGGCCGCTGCAGCATTATCCAGCATTTGGTCAATATTCCCGGGATCATGCTCGCCACCACTATTGCCGTTGACGCCCCCGCCCGTCACATCAAGATTCATTTGATTCTGTCCGTCGACGCCAAGCTCCATGTTCTGAATGATGTTGCTGACGTCGATGTTGGAGACTCGAGAAGGAGGCGCTGCAAGAATACTGACGCGCCGCCAGAGACGCACAATGATCTCCGCCGTCAAGGGATCCTTCTCTGAGATCTTCGGCACATCCTGATGCAGATTCGACAGCGCGTCACGGAGAGTCAGACTTGCACAGCGGGGCACGACTTCTTTAGCCGGGTCAATTGAATGCACGACGTTTTGCTCGATGGCGAATGACTCTGGCATGGGCGCGCAAACCATGGTTGCCGCAATATCTAATGCAAAGTCACCACTTCCTGCCTGAGCCTGATGCTTCATTTCTTCGACCAATGCGTTGAGGATGCGCGTGGTGCCGAGTAAGTTGATACCTGCCAAGAGCTGACGATGGGTGTAGGACTGCGGCTGAAGGTTGATGTCCGAGCTTGCGGTCCAGATTGTCAAAGACTGTAACGTTCCACGGATACTTCCCAAAAGTCCACCTGTTGCCGGGGCGGCCCAAATCTCGAGCTCGGAGCGAAGGCAGCCTCCAACACGACGGAAAGAGAGATAAGGGTCGAGCGCATCAAGAATGGGTTTGATGTTTGAAATCTTGTCAATGTTCTGCCGGGCTTGATGTCTTGTCCGGACATCTTTGAGCTGCTCTTCCAGCGGCCGAGCAATGATGTTTAGGACTGTTTTGTGAATGGCTTGTGCCTCTCCAGAAATGGAGGTAGGCTTGACCAAAGAGTAGAGCGTCTTCAATGAGATTACCGGCTCGGTTTCAGACTGCCAGATGTGATTTCCGAGCCAGATGAGAGCCACAACTAGAGATGGAAGCAAGAATGGCTCGAGAAGATCTGCAAATGAGTAAAAAATGAGTCCGTTGTCCAGGCCATGGTAAAAAAGCACCACATACACTCGAATCCACCCTTGAGAGTCTCAAAGTCCATTTTTCCAGACTCGCAAGCTCCCAGGCTTTGGTCGAACAATGTCGCGACGAGCATGTAAAAGTCTTGGGGACTGCATGCAGACATTGTCTCTTCACTGATACCCTCTGCGATGAAAAGTGCACCGATCCAAGCGCCGAGGTCTTTGTTTTGCTTTTCACTGAGATTGTTGAGTTTTTGACTGCAAGATCCGCGATCCAGGAGCTTCAAAACAAACGAGTCACTGTTCGAGATGCCCATGTCCGCGGGAGTCAGATTGTATCGATATTTGAAAACAAGGACCAGAAGCAAGATACTGCCAAACTCATCGTATACGGGCTGGTTTTCACCCTGATCCTCGTCCCAGCGCCAAGAATCTAGCAAACCGCACAGAGGTTGCAGTACTTGCTTTGAGGTCCGGAACAGGAGAATGACGTCCAATGTTTGCGGGCGTCGAGATATGGAGTTGCAAATGTTCTTCAAGGTCATAGTCTCCTTTTGTGCGCACAGATTCAACATGACCTGGCCAGATGCGTCAGTCGACGTAATTATGCGCCAGGAGGGGGCTTTGGGATGCAAACCTCAGTGATAGCGCCAACAATGGCTCCTGCATTGCCTTCCATCGATTCGATCTCCCCAATCAATTGTTCAGCCCGAGCTGGACTGTTGTTGATTTGGGAAATGAGATCATCTTTCTGGTAGGGACCGCCCACCGGTACGGTCTGCATTGGGTTCTCTCCTAGGAGCCTCTCAATGCTCGATTCCTGGATGAGACGATGTGATGCGCAAGCAAACAGAAATTCCTGGCGAGCATCAGAGAGTATGCTACTTCCCTGCATGGAAAACATCTGAGAGAAAGAAGGGAAGGAATTGGGGTCAAGGCGGTTTAGAGCCTGTGTGATGCACATCTCCATGGGAATCGGCACCATTGATGCCGCCATCATCGCGGCAAAAAAGGCTGGAAGCTTGTTGACTAGGAAGCTGCGGAACAGGAACATGGTTCGACTCGACTCGTTGCGATGAACTCCGTTGCAAAGAACATCGAATGCAGCCGTGGTAAGGTCAACGACAAGGACCTCTTGATGCCCCTGTGCGAAACAGTGTATTTAGTGAAGGCGTACTCATTTGCTGGAGAAAAAGATTGATGAATCTCAGATTGGACTCACTTCATATCGATTGTTGAGATAATTGATCAAGATGGAATCGTCGACTAATGGACGACCCACAAGCTGCAAGGGAGTCAGTTTGACGACCGCGATCAACTTTCAAGGCACGACCGACCATAGAATTGAGATACACATAGAGACCGGCTCTCGTGTTGATGACTGGCCCGTCCATCACAGAAGCCTCGAACTGAAGTGAGTTGACGTTCACATCTCCCATCGCTGGGTGATCCAATGCCTCGGCAGGCTGTTGCCCGAACAGATTGAATTCCTTCTGGAGGGCATCAAGCCTTTGCCGCAAAGGCAACGAAACGTCCACGCAGAGAGGCAGATACGCAGTGAGAGCTTGACCAAGCTTGAGTCTGAGATCTATCGGATGAATCAGTCCAATCTCATTCTGAACGCCCGGCCTTGATGCTGACACCCGGAACGAAATTTACCCTGATAATGTTCGCTCGAAAGCGTTTCCAGTCCCTTGGTCGTTCCCGACAAAGCCGCGAGCAGTATGCCAAGGGATTCAAACAATGACAATGCATCCGCAGAAGTGGTCGCTCCGCCGTTTCGAAGCAAGGCATTGCGATTATACCATTCAATCACGGCTAAAATCCATTCCGCCGTGGCATCATACAGCTCGGCCGCTTCTGGAGTCAGCCGAGGGATCGTGCCTGTTGATATAGAAAGCATCACATCTTGTATGACCTTGATATCTGTCATGAACGTCGATGTTTTGCATTTTGACTCGGGGTCTTTACGGATCGTTGAGTGCGCCAATAATCGTCTCAAAGCCGACGCTGTCTTCACCTGCTTGGCTTTACACAAGCCATCCACATATACTGGCAGAAGAGGGTCCCAAGGAACATTGACCGTAGAACGAGTCTCGAATAGGAGATCAAGGAGGTCGTGCTCCTTCAATGGAGCCCGCCGTTGCATTAACTGTGTCAGATCCTGGAACTCCTCAACATCAACACGACGTGCCAGACATCGCTTGAAGAAGGTCTTCCATTGATCTGTGGATTGCGTGTTTGGCAGCATATCTCCGTCGGGATATTAGCCTCACAGTGATGATAATCTGGAATTCATCTCAATCAACTTTCGAGGCCTCGTCGGTATGAAGGCGCCGCCTGTCCGACGTGATTGGGTCTTCCGATGATTGGACCGAACGCGATCATCACGGTCACGTGAATCGGGCCCAGGTACGCCAAATCCGTCACGTGACATCATCGGACTCAGGCGTGCTCGGCCTCTCGAGAAACTCGATCTTCAAAGCAGCCAAATGGAAAACACAAATCTTGTTGACTTGGGAAACATGGCCGGGCAGCCGTTTCCTTGTATTAATTCTACCTTCTCGGGCCTCGTGTCTCTCCCGAGTATTGTGTCCTCCCTGACCTTGGGCCCGCAGCATCCAAGTTCGTAATGACTGAGAGTCAGAGCGGCTATATGCCTGTGTTCGAAAGTCAGATGTAGCGCGAAACCTATACTGCATCGAACTGACTTGACATAGAACCAAGAGAGTCGTTGAAACAGTTGACGCATTCACCCATCTCGTCAGGAACGTCAAATTATCGGAAATTTCCAATTTGTCCAGCTTCGGCAATTGCCATATGGAAGCCTCATTGTGTCTGCGCGGAAACTGCCCGATCGTGTCTTCAAATAACCAAAAGTTTTCACAAAATTTACTTCCTGAGTCAATTCAAAATCTTGGTGTCTTTCGACGTTTGACACTCATTCGCCAGTATATTATATCGAAAACAAGCCTTTTGCGCCACAAGTATACCTTCACTTAACAGAAATTTCAACTTCTGCCAGAACACACGAGAATCAAGCTATCCCAAGAACTTCACTTGCTTGTCAAGAACGATAGCATCCGCCTCCCCATGTTCGAACTCTCAAGTACGTTCGTTGGAGGGAGAACCTGAAATGCCGTCCGGTGGCTCTTCTGACAGCGACATCTGAGTATTACGTGATCCGACACACTTCAGCTTCCACGAGATGATGCTCGCTGGCTCGGGTTCAGCTATGATACCATTTGATATGGTTATACAGTTATCTACAAAGTACGACTGAGACCTCACCTTGCCAGCCCTCAACTACCTTTTTCGTGACCAGGCATCGTTTCTGGCTCGCTCTCTACAATTGATGCTTTCCCAATACGCTTTACTGGGCTCTCATGAGACACTCTTCGTGTATCACCCTATGGAGACCGTTCGAAGTGTGTCGAAAGCACACTCGGTCCGCCGACATGCTTATATCAACTGGGCTCTTCATTGTGCTCAGTCTCACATGACGCAGATGGTGCTGATATCCTGCCCTGAGACCCCTGGGGCCGACTAAGATAGAACAGCCGAATGCCAGAACAGAGTCTTTCAGGGACTGTCATTTTCTCGTCGTTGAATTTTCGAGCGTGCGCCATACGCCTGTTCGTTGCTTGCTCTTTCCCGTGGCTCGATTTTCCGAGTCTTCGAAAAGTTTTCGCCGTCCTGAAAATCATTACCAAAGGGTAAGTACTTCAGTCCACAAACCTCAAAGCCCATTGATGACAGTTTGAAAAGGGGGCAGAAGCCTTACAAAGTGACATATTCAACTTCTTTCATTCGCGTGTAATCGGGACCTCCACTTGGCTGCCACTTTCTGACGACATCTCCTTTGCCTCGTGAAGAAGCTTAGCTTCACGTGTTCTCACCGTGTCGAACACACGGCATACCCTCTTGGCACACGGTTTCGCTGTTGTCATGCGATTATCTCCCTCACTGAGTTCTCCAAACAAGACACCCGATACCTATCCCCGAAATGAGGTACCCAACTGCATGCTCCAAGCTATGGTGGCTGTCCCCCCCTGCATGTGCACCTTGCGCCGGGCAGCACACTGCTTAATGGAGTGCAATGAGGAAGTCTTGATTACACGACACTGGGCTACTCAACACTCACTTCACATGACCCACTTCGACCTTGACTGGGCACAAGTTGAGAGAAAGCATTGTTTCAAAACGAGAAACAGCTGACACTTACACCTCTTGTTTAGATGATTCTGCCGAATCACCACCGAGGGACCCACAAACCCACACATTAGATAGCCTCTCTTCCTTCCCATTCCTTTCTCACCAATCCAGTTGTGTTTCACCTTCCTCTTTTCCTTCCTATAGATCGATATCTACAAATACCTCTTTCAACTGGAACTTTGTGACTTTGACATGCGATGTCTTCTGGCTTTCCAAAATATGAACAAATCTTTGGAAATTAACATCGATGAGTGGCTGGCCGAAAAAGTGCGTGCAGACTTATCCATTCTCGCGTTTTGGATCGGACCCGGCATTACCGTGGATGCACATCCATACTCCTATGCTTACCTCGTGGATACAAAGATTCGACTTTGACAGTTGGAATTCTCCCCGGGTGGAAAGCAAATCCCAGTGGTCATCGTCTGCTCTTACGAGGATTCACGGTCATCTAACATGCTTTGTTATGTTAATGACGAACGCCAGCCCAATTAACCTTTGGTTCTGGATGTGAATTGCTTCATACTGAAAGCCAAGGCTCTCCTACCTGTGTGTGCTCTCATGACGATCGTCAACAAAACCATACACTCTTTGTTTTAGACAGCTCGCCAAAGTTTCCCCCTCCCTCACCCCATCCGTGACGGACAGTGACGAACATCAGCCAGACTCTCTGCCTGTTCTGGCCTGTTCTGGTCGAGTACAGAGTTCAAAATCAGGGCCGATCTTCTCTCGCCTAAGTGTGCTCTCATGGTGTTCTTGCACAAACCCCCAGTCTCTCAATCTACGGAACATCTTCAATGACATTTCTTGTCCTTTATCTCTCGGTCTGTCCACCGCAAGGACGAGCTGAATCCTGCTTCCTCTTACCTTAGATTCAATGTCCATTGTGGTCACATTGTGAACCACTGCACGAGAGTTCCTTTTTGTGCTTTCAGTCTACTTCTGTCATCGTGTTCTAAAAGACATTCTCCACGTCTTCGTCGATGCTCACCCCAGCCCTCTGTTCATACCTCCCTCGAAATCTATCGGCTCAGCAACAATCCCACCTGGCTGTACCAAAGGAGAATATCACATTTTCGTGGCGCGACCCCCTTCCAACTCTGCGAACAAATCCCCCAGATCCAGTATCGCCATGAACGATCGTATTTCCATCCATTCCACGGTCCACAGTCCTCTGCAGCTCGCACACGCGACTCAGATCCAACATCTGTCATACATATCGTCAGCGATATACCCGTGACTCCCGACTCGACGACCCATGGCTACGTACCCGGCATCTCGAACTTGCGGAATGAGGCGATGCTGCCTTCGCACGTGCTTCTGGTTCCTCGGGCATGGGCCCCTAGCTTAGCTGGAGCTTTTTCTAAGGTAGAAGACGTTTATTGTCACTTGGTGCATTCCATTTACTTTGGCTGCGCTTGGTATTCGTAGGCACGTTGCAGTAGATTTTGAGGGGCGTATGTCCGGGTTTGGTGGACTTGGAAACGGGAGCTTCGGTCGTCAGTACATTTAACTCTAGTTCTAGGTTCATCTTTCTTGTTGCGCTGAGGTACCCCGAGACAGGTGATTCGGGCCAGGTGCAAAGCAGCGCGTCTACAAGCGTGTATACAAGCAAGGTGGTCCTCATGGATGTTTGGAAAGGTTACAGCAACACGGGCAGATTAGCCAGAGTCACCAGGATTATTTGAATCGTTGAAATTTCATTATCATCATAACGATCCACAAACGGCCCCAAATCAATGGATGCACGCTCGTTTCAAAAGTAAATCATCAATGCATCAGTCACAAAGGCAAAGGGGGGATAAGTTAAGTAACAGGAAAGAGGAATCATCATAAGTCACAAGACATGGGAAAAAGGGAAGAAAGAAAAGAAAAAGCGCCTCTATCCAGAATTCGCTCGAGATCAGGTTGAAAACTTCCCCCATGAATGAGCAGGGGAAGAAGGAGAAGAAAGGGGATAACGGAGTTTTGCATCAAAAAGGTAAAGTCCGAATGATTTACCACCAGTCACCCTGGTCCTTCATGGCCTCGGCGACCTTGGTGAAGCCAGCAATGTTGGAACCGGCAACCAAGGAAGGAAGGACACCCTCCTTGGGGGTGACGTACTCCTGAGCGGTGCTCAGACCGTTCTTGAAGCAGTCCTCCATAATGCCCTTCAGGCGGTTGTCGACTTCCTCGGCAGTCCAGCTGACACGGGAGGAGTTCTGGGCCATCTCGAGACCGGAGACGGCGACACCACCAGCGTTGGCGGCCTTACCGGGAGCGTACCAAATGGCAGCGGCACCGGGGTTGGCCTCCCGGTGAGCCTCGAAGACGTCGATGGCATCCTGGGTGGAACCCATGTTGGAACCCTCGGCGATGAACTTGCAGCCAGCGTCGATCAGAGCCTTGGCCTCCTCACCGGACACCTCGTTCTGGGTGGCCGAGGGGAGGGCGACGTCAATGCGACCGGCAATGTTGGTCCAGGGACGAGCACCGGGGATGTACTTGAACTTGGAAGCGAAGGCCTCGGTGGAAGCCAACTCGGAGATCTGCTTGCGCTGGACCTTGATCTCAGCAATGGTGTTGATCTCCTCGGGGGTGAAGGAACCTTCCTCGCCGGCGAGGACGAGGGCACCCTGACTGTCGGACAGAGAGATAACGGAGCCACCGAGCTCGATGACCTTAAGAGCAGCGTACTGGGCGACGTTGCCGGAGCCGGAGATGGCGACACGCTTGCCGGCGAAGGACTCCTTACCACCGGACGCATACTTGATCATGTGCTCGGTGTAGTAGACCACACCGTACCCAGTGGCCTCGGGACGGATGAGCGAGCCACCCCAGCTGCCACCCTTACCGGTGAGGACACCCTCCCACTGGTTGCGGATCTTCTTGTACTGGCCGAACATGTAACCGATCTCACGACCGGTGACACCGATGTCACCGGCGGGAACGTCAGTGTCGGCGCCGATGTGCTTGCATAGCTCGGTCATGAAGGCCACGCAGAAGCGGCGGATCTCGTTGTCGGTCTTGCCCTTGGGGTCAAAGTCGGAACCACCCTTACCACCACCCATGTTGAGACCGGTAAGGGCATTCTTGAAGATCTGCTCAAAACCGAGGAACTTCAGGATGGACAAGTTGACGGAGGGGTGGAAACGGAGACCACCCTTGTAGGGGCCGAGGGCAGAGTTGAATTGGACACGGAAACCGCGGTTGATTTGGACCTGTTTCGAAGGTAAAGCCACTCGTTAGCCTTCCATGCTGGAGGCCAGTCTTGGATCAATTCCAAAACTTTGTTGAGGTAGTCTGTCATACCTGACCCTTGTCATCCTCCCAAACAACGCGGAACTGGAGGACGCGCTCGGGCACAGAGACGACCTGGAGCGCCTTGCGGTACTCGGGCTTCTTCTGGAAGAGGGCGGAGTTCTCGAGGGTGGAAGCGAGCTCTGGTTACGGGGGAAAAGATGTGGGTCAGCTGATAGTTCCCGAAGAACCACTTGCCGAACGTCCGGCGGGTGCCGATAACGACGGGAGCATACGAGACGGGAGAATGGACGGCGCCGAACACCAAACGGGACTTCTCCCCTTTGGTTAACTGCGTTCAATCCTTTCGTTAGAGAGATGTGGTGGGCAAGGTTGTTACATACCCTTGTAGGCCTGCTCGAACTCAGGCTCGTAGGGGAGGTTCTGAGCAGTCATTGTGGCGGATTTGGAGGGGTTCGATCTAGGACTCTAGTTGTCGCAGGGTGGGGTATCAATTGGAGAAGGTGTCGGCTTGGGGGAAATCTGGGGCAATTGACCAGATGACGGAGAGAGAGAGCGAGAGAGATAATAAGAGGAAAAGAGTCAGAAGAGTCGTATCCCGCGTGAGAGTTGGAATGATAAAAAATTCAAGGGCACAGCAGCAGTGTTATATACAAGATAGCGGAGTGAGGTGGGTAGGATCGGTGGACTGCCGGAGTCGGACCTCAGATGAGATGGACTGAACGGGCACGGGAGATGGAGAGTAAAAGAACAGGAAAAATGGAATTAAGAGAATGGTTCGGAACGGTGCAGGACCAATGGCACCGTGGATGACTCGATGTCAATATGTGAGAGATTCCGTCTCGGTGGACGGGGGGTTGGTCCAGAGATCATCTCGTGTGTGTCCCAGGAACGTCGATGTTGCGCCTCCAGCAGTGGGCGCTTGGGCGTCGCCAGCACGGGGGATGTACTGTCTACCTTTATTGATGCGGGTGAACCTCCGCATGAGCGAGTACCCGGGACTCGCAACGAGACAGTACTGATTCCTGAACCACTGATAGCCTGAGAAGTGAGCGTGATAGCCAGTACTGATGGACACTCCATCAGCAGAATGACTAACGCGGAGCCAAGACGTCGTCTATCGCCGTGGGGCCAATAGGGAGGGGGAAAAGCAGGCCGAAGTTCGGGGCCCCACTCTGAGCACGGAGGCAAATGGCCCAAGACTCCAAGTGATGATCTGATCGTTTAAGGTCACAGATTGCTTATCTGTGGCGGGCATGATGACTTGACCTGGTTAGTGGTTACCACTCCTAGTCTCTGACTACTACCACTACAGTTTGCTGCAGTAGTGCCATTTCTGCTTCAGAGTAGAGGAACACTGGAGACGGAAGATGCTGACGTGGATGAGATCATTCTGTGGTATGATTGTAGTATACTCTCTAGTGTGGAGAAGAAATTGAGACATACCATGTTCAAAAATGCAAATTGCCCCCGTTAAACCACCACCACCACATCCATGCCGTTGGCTAGTGATGGTCTGGTCAAATAAGCAAGAATACCCATATGAATGCAGTTATGTACTACAGTATCATGACATTTATCCCTAGCATTCCATCTACGTGTAACGAAATTGTGGTCGAACTTCGGAACTACTACAACTGTACTGCCCCAGTCTGCCAGTATACAACGGATGCCCCGTCCTCGAGGTGCATCCACTCCATTAACCCTCTCTGCCAAACCCGTCAGCCTTGAAACTCTCCCGTGTTATATTCGTGCTCCCCTGATTTGGGTCGGGTGCCGCGGTGGGCGGCATGGCCGTCCTGATGTGCCCTTTTGCCTTGCCCGTCGGATCGGTCCCCTCCGATACTTGGGATGTTCTCCACCCCCGAATAGGCATAGTTCAGGTGATGGACAGTACTGAGAAGAAAGGTTGGGCAGAGGCAGACAACCTGAGTTCACTGCCACAGTACCACTACTACCTAACGATTGACAATACCTAGTCGATGCGAGAAGGATACATGGACTCTACGATAAGTGGAATGTTGCGGAAGAATACTCATCTTCTTGTCGCGTGCACAGACTGCTAACTAGTAACTAGTGATCAACACTCTAAGTAATTGAATGACCCAACTTGATGATGCAATAACCTAGTCGACTACCACATAAAGAAAGTCTCTGGTTTTGTTCTTTGATCTGAACTTATATCCAAGATCCGTATGAAGTCTCGGAGACCATGAAAGTAGTCGGTGGTTCTGCCATGATTATTGTTGCTTCCAGAGGTTTTACTCGTGGACTGGGTCAAGGATACCTGCATGGTGTTCTTCTGTGCTTATCCGGCACTCGCTGGTCCCTGGAAAAGAGTCACGTGGGCCCCGCAAACGGCACTTTCACTCGGGATCTCGTTGCACTTTGCAGCGGAACCTCACATTCGGGGCATCCGCGTCTCGTCCGGGCTTCTTTTTTTTTATTTCGAATCTCTCAACATAGACATTGCCCTGTTCATTATATCATACCAGACATTCCTCAAATACCTTTCATTATTGCAATAACTCTATTACAGCTTTTCCAAACAACACATCCATCCACAGGTGATTACCGAGGCCGTTCAGTCTTATTCCGCAGCTACGAAAAGTGGAACAACCTCACGAAGAATCATTGAATATTTCACCCAATCGTAAATTTGCCATGCCGCCGGGTTCCCCCCGCCTCTCCAATCCCCACCACCTTATCTGATCACCCAGTTTCCGTCGTCAAATGCGCTTGACTCACAGGAATGACAAGAATCAAATGCTGCCTCGGACTTTTTCCCCTTCTCGACGGGTCACGCTAGCAATAAGCAATTTTTACACGAGTCACTGCGGTAGAATGCTAGAATGGATTAGCCATTAAGCATTCAAGTACCGACGGCGACACTCCGTGACTACTTCTTTACTCTGGGTGCAGATTCATCAACCAACAATGGTACTATTTGCCGCAGTCACGACTCACCAGTGCTACTCACCTTACGCTCGTGATCATTACCACGGAAAATCGAATTTGACGCGAAGTTGAGAACCAGAATTATTGTTGATCTTCCTTCCACGGCCCCCCGGAGTTCTCGCTCCGTGACTCCGGATTGTCTTCTCCCCCGCATCGTCCCCCCCAATAGGCCCGCAGTCGATGTGTACTTTGGCCACGATGGACGAACGGAGCGGGGAGAGCCTTCACCGGGCCCCCAGACTCGGGATGGACACTGCATTAAACTCCTTGACTGCATATTGCATCCGTACATACAGTGGGGTGCATACAGTGCAGACTGCAGACTGCAGAGTCATACATCGATATTCCCCTCCCTAAAAATAAAGAGGATTCCTCTTCATGCGACCCTTCTTGCTAACTATGCTGATTGTTGTGACCAGAATCCTTTTACATGACTATCACTGCCTAGTACCTATTACCCAGTGCCTAGAAGCTTCACGTCACTACCAACCAGTGCAGAGAGGGTAAAGACAGATACTGATGGCTGAGAACATGGAAGATTGCCCAACTTAGATAATGACCATCCGAAGAACGGCGGATCGGGATCCATCGCCGATTGTGATACTTGCCCCGCCACCAACTGAATCGCATAGCAAGCAAGCGACCTAACCGCTTTGAGTAGTCCGTACTCCGCAGTAAGAGGCATCGTTACCGTGCCCCATAGGTAGTGGACAATGTACACTCTTGCGGCCGGGTCCCCACCATATTCGATTGTGAGCATGATATCTCAAGAGTCAGTTCGGATGGATGAAGGGAATACCACGCCCTTATAGGGTCGAAAAGATGTGGATTGCGTGAGAATGCCATGAAAAGATCGCCAAATGACTGTACTGTTTTCTACAGGCCAGAAGAGGACATAGTGGCATGTTTCAACGGGGAGCCGTCAAGTACTACGAATATGTACAGAGACGTCAAATTATTTTTCAGTGTTTGCGGAGATTACTCCCTCCTTTCGTGTTTGCCTAGTACCCGTCATGTGATAGAATAGAAGGGTATTTCCTGTGCCATATCATGCACGATTCTTTCTTTCTCTTTCCCTGTATCTTATGAATGTAATTCTTTTGCATTATCTTGTTTCTCTCTCCCTCTCTCCCTCTCCCCCCCCCCCCCTCTCTTCCCCTCTTCTTCCTACACGAAGACCTAGCCTCCCATTTCCCCCCGGTCTCCCTCGACACTTGCCTCAAGCTTTGATTCACCCCTGCTAACCACGGGCCAAAGAGCAAAGAGACCCCTGTAACTTGAGCTCTGCCTAGCATAAGCTCTACCAATGCTAGGCACCTATACATAAGGGTACTTCTATGAAAATGCCAAGTCCACTGGAAAAGCTTAAGTTCATTTTAAAACTCCTGTTGGAAAGCGTTCCAACTTTCATCCCGGGAATTCGTCGGACTTTCTTATAAGTACATTCGCAAATACTCCCGTCCTCGGTGAGACGATGCAGTCATATCCCCGTGTCTACTAAACTTTCTTCTTGCTTAGACTTTTTGCCAGCGACACGATGCTTGCACTGTACGGTAATGTGTGAATTGATCGACCGAGGTTTACTAGTCTAGTAGTCGATAAATGCACCGTAGCCCTGTGGTTGAGCCATGTTGAGCGTAATTGTGTGGCTCTCGTGCTTTTTTGCCGATGGAAGAAGTCTATTCATATGACCATGATTGTAGTGGAAGACTTTGTGCAGTACCAGGAATGGAGCGTCCCTTTTTGCTGTTCGTTAAAATAGCCATCATATCGGTATTATCATTTTCCTGATTGAACGGGTTCCAGAGCTGGCTTGAAATAAGTCTGTGTCAAGTCCGTCTTTTCACATCAAGAGCTCTTACTGCTCGGGAGGGTGTAAGCCTAGCTTCGAGGTATGCTCAGCAATCAAGGCAGACAATCAACGTAGTGAGTAAGTCAGTAGGCAGATCAAACACAACTAGAACAAAGTTGCAATTCCTCCGTGCTCGGCACCTTACTTAGCGACGAACATGTTTGACAGAATGAAACCCACTGATCCGGAGTCCCCACAGTTAGAGCCTCTAATCTCTTGGCTTAAGCTTTCTTTAGCTCCGCCTAAGATCTGACAAGAACACGCGCAGATAGCTAGCTCCACCTTTGACACCCCGATCTATCGCCTAGGCTTGTGACGCATGAGGTAGACGAGAGATCCCCCCGAGTCCCAGGGGTTTTAAAGAGCCAGTACCCTTGAGCGAATATCCCGAATGTGACAATATCTTTCCCTTTCCATCTCTGAATCAGTATCACACTAAAAGGGAAATTGCAGCAACGCATCAAAATACCATTCAAGATGCGTTCAAGCTACGGTTTCTGTTCCCCGAGTCGAGTGAACTCTCCTGCCGCGTTGAATCCGTGAGAGCATTTGCAAGGTTTGGATTTCAACCCTTTTCCTTCACCTATGATAAGACATAATGGGTATGCAGTCCCTGAGCAGAGCAACGATCGTGCTGTTTATGTTAGACACGACTGGAATAGCCCATCCTGTTGTGGCAGGTTCAATGGAGTCGATAAAGTCTGTATACTTGGAGATGCTCAAGTACCAAAGTATTTTGCCGCATTTTATGAGGTAATAATCTCCCTAGCAATAATGGGAAATGATGTTACCATCCATGGATCCTATCCTGGAGCACTATTTGTGAGTTCAAGTTAGTAAATTAGATAGAACTGAAGGGGGCCATCCATAACAGAGAGTTCGATATGGATGGCTACTGTCCCGGATTGACTCCAGTGCAGGTAAGTGATGCTTAGACCATTGTTCTTGTCTTGATAGCAACTGATAGGCACTGGACGATGTTCAAGTTCTCTAGTGTCTCGCAGGTCACCTAGAATCAATTGTTAGATCGACATTTTAGCAGTCTGACTAGGTGACCGATATACGAAATTGAAACTAGTCTATGTGATCGACTCCCACAAAATGGTTAATTTGAACAACAGGACCAGCACGCATATCAACTGCACCCACAATGTCTATGACTAGCCATTCTCATCGTACCTATAGTCTATGCATACTACATGGTACATACGGATGATCGATGTGCGAATTACTCGTGTCCCACACAGTCCATGCAATGATGTCATAAGTCGCGACGTCATCGCCTCCTCAAACCTAACCATCCATCACAGGCGGCCAAACGTGGCCAAAGCGCAGGGCAGATCTGACCCGCCGCACTGGGTTCAAAAAGGCTGTCGGCGGCCTCCGCGTTCAGATACCCCCCAACACCTCGCAACATTACACTGTACAAGCCAGACTGTTTCCCGACGTGGAGAAGCTCGCAGGTTGTCCTATCTGGGGTCGGCTGAGATATGGCGCTTGGGATTGGTTGTTGGATTGCATGACACCATCTTATCGTCTCATAGCTACCTAACCTGTACTCATTTGCGCACGGCTCATGAGTTGCTGCTTTGCATGTCATCGAGTGAAGCTTTTGATCAGTTTATGAGATATTTTGGAAGGCATACCTCTTGGACAGATGCGAGGGATTAGACGGTGCTATCTCAGAGCGTCTGTTGAATGTGGCTGGAGTGCGACTACGTTGAATTGCTCTGATTCTTGCCTAGTCTGGCGTATGGACTTGTTTGACACAGTTTTGGCCGAATCGGCAGCTATTCATAGCTGCTGAATTTTTTGCTCTCAGATATCCATATCAGTCGAAACCAGGTGTCGCTTAACAGGTCCATTCATTCTCACATGGCGCGACTGGTTCCCACGATGATCTTATTGAGAACATTCCCATCAGTTAGGGGTTTAGAGCAAATTAGTAGGTACTAGGTATACACTTGAGTTGACGTAATGTTGGTTTAGCAAAATTGGAAGCTGCAAAGCTACCGCCCGGGTCAAGTCGAGGCTAGGGACATTGCGTTCAAAATGTGGGACTGGATCAACCGGTATGTTATCATATATCAGCAATTGAATTCGTCGGACGTTTATCTCTACATTCGGTAAAAGATGGCCCGACATCCAACTAAAATTTCTGAAGAGTACTGATTTAGGAGCTTCTACCTCGCGGAAAAAAGAGCAGTACCCCAAACGCCAATAAGTCCCCGATTTTTTGCTTGACCTAAGAGGACGTTCAGGCCCGAGAGTCTCATTTTTGCTCATTGAGCAAGCGTCGCAAACAGATTGCCTCCTCGTTATTTCATCAAGACTCTGATCATTAAAAAAGATGTGAGACATCACAGGGTACATCCGCTCGACAAAGGCGAAAAGGCGGAAGTCGCGAGTAGCACGTTGTTCTAGAATTGTTCCAGGAACAATATGGTTGTCTAGCGGCGGCGTTCGTCACGTCTCTTTTTTTGACCTTCGTGGAGGAAGAGAGCTTTCGCGCTAGAGGTGCCAGATTGGCACCTGGCAAATTGATAGACTTGGGCTCCTTGGTTGGAAAATGTAGATTTCGTGGTTAATAGGAGTGATTAGCAAGAAGCGACGAGTGATCTACATAAAGCCATGGGACACAATCAAGGTTCGTAGCTACATCGAGTTGAGAGTGTGTCCCGTTCAATCTAGACGAGGGCCCGGACATTGAGAGCATGGTGGCGATCGACTCCTTCCACCCTCACTCATACGCACTCCAGTCATTGCGGTACTGCCTTGAGACCCATGTTTCAGGTCGCCATCATGACCTGCGCGTCGCTGTAGGTCTACAGAGACGACCTCCAATACAGAATGCATATTGTGCGCTGGTAGAGAATGTACTCAATTCGGGTACCTTGCCATCTAGGTCACGGGCTCAAGGGGTGTTTATGCTCACGTCCGGCAAGGGATATGAGTCTGATTTAGTTTATGATGTTTGATCAGCGGGTCAATGAGGAGCTACATTGACACAATTGATCCATTCTTCATTCTCGTTCATCGAGTGAATGTACTACGCATGGGTTGATCTTGTGCAAGTCCGTCTCAGGGGGTTTTACGCGATGGATCAAGTCAGTGAAACACACCTGAAAGTCGTTTATAAGTGGATATGCGACTCAGCAGAATCCAAAGCGTTGACGTGTGCATGCACATCTCAATGGATCTAGTACTCGATCGCAACCACATACACTCGGCCAATCACCGTATACACATAGCCGACGGAATCTCTCCATCTTCATATTTTCATGTCACTGCCGGCGCAAGGAGGCGGGATCATTCTCGTAGCCGAAGATTTCACCTGGTTGCTGGGTCCGGGTATCCGGACCCAGCAAATGGGTAAAGATCAGATCTGAGGCATGAAGCCACCAGAGGACACGTTCTGTGGAAACCGTGAAAGCACGGCCCGGAAATGGGATAAAGTGTATCTTGGTTGACCACGCAGGTCGGCAGGTCTTCGTGGAAGTTTCACATTAGTATACAATGACGAGATCCCGAGGGTTTGGGCCATGGTACAGTTCAAGCTCGAAACATCTTCTTCAAGAATTTTTAGTGCCTTCCTCAAACGGCGACAGGAGAGACTGAATACCGATCGACCAAGTCAAGTCATGTACCCCTCTGTCCATGTGCACACGGTGACTTGCTCGTCAAAGAGACGCCGGGGAGAACCCCACGCCACCGGCGCGGTATGGAAGCGCAGGGCATTGTTCATCAACACAATGCATGATCCAGGCTTGACAGTGTAGACACATTTGATCCAGCCGCTGTACACGTCTAGGAAGCCTCGTGACTTCAGTCACGACACCTCTGACTTCCTCTGGTCACGACGATCATCACCTTCCATGGAAATCACCTTGCCTGCACTCCGTGCTAGCCACCATCCCACCGTCAACACATTTTCACCTGTCTCAATTCCACATCGCGCCCACCTTCTCATGGGTGATCCTAGCACAGGTGCTGCAGGCGAACCATTGATCCATTGATCGGGGAGCTGAGCGCTTATCGAATCACCACGGAGACTTTTTAGCCCACGACCGACTTCCCATCTGAGATCGATCCGCGATCCACCCTGCAGCCCGTGGACGGTGAGATCTGAGGACCCAGGGCGACCACCGCCATGATTGGGTCAACCAGATCGGACCGTTTCGATGGATCCGATTTTGGGATTCGAAAATAATCCAGTGCGAGTCGTCTCCAATGCACACATGCAGAATTGGGAAGGAGACTTACTCGATGGCCTATGCGGATGCCAGATCGTGATCCAGGATGCGTGACAGTCTCCAAAAGTCACTGACCCTACTGAGTCCTGACCGTCTGACTTGAAGGTCGACTTGTGTGCCTGAACCCCCCCCTCGCCGTCGTCCGAAGAACCAAACTACCTATAGATGCTCCTCTACATCCCCCTCAACAAGCCCGTGTTTCTGTGTCTTTGACTGGAGCATTTTTCTTTCCCCCCTCCCTTTCCCTTCTTGACTCATCTTTCATTCTTTCATTTTCCCATTTGGAATTGCTCGAGAACGAATTTGCCTCCCAGGTCATCAGTCTCCTGTGCCTGGGGACACGCGCCGCCGAGAGTCTTTGAACACTGAATTTGGTTCGCTTTCTTCCACCCGATCTCATTTCACTTGGAAATCTATCCACTGTCAACCCATTTTGCGATCTTGTTTGAAGCTCTGACGTGCTTTACTCCTTCAATTCTTCTCTGGCTCGTACGTTGATATTTTTTTCTTTCTTCTTTTCTTCAACCTACAGTTCTCCTGAGGTGCTGAATTCGATCCTTTCCTCGCTGAGACTCACCACCTTCCTCTCGCTGGAAACTCTTGTCTCTCTCCTCAACCATCGTCAATCACCAACAGAACCTCAAATACACCAGGCATTGTGCTTGAGAGTCATGATCCATGTCGTTTGTCGGCGGACGTGACCTCGACCCAATGTCTTTCAATCAGCCCCAATTTGGCCGAGGTTTTGGGGGCTTCAGAGATCTCTTCCGCTCTACTCCTCCCCCGCCTCCTCCTTCATCCTCCCCATCTCCCCGGCGTCGAGTTTCACTCTTTGTTCGTCGAGGTAGGGATCTTTTTGCAAACAAGTAACCACTTCCCATTCCAAATTGACCCTGTTCGAGATCCAAGACATACCTCTCCTTCCGTCTTGCAATGGTTTCAAGTCACAACGTTCCACGGTCTGTTGGCATGGCGTCTTCTCCGTGTGGCCTACGGCGGGCTTAGGTGGAAAGTACTCTTGGGGAGGGGAAATTGGGTCAGCCCAAAGCACTCTCCAAAGTACCCCGCAGAGAGTCGACTTCCAAAGACGAGATGGAGAGGGGAACATTTGCTTCCTCTTTGCGAAGGCAACCTTGATGACTAAAAGCAATCGCTTTCGGATCCCATGTTCCTTCCCCCCCCCCCTCCCTCAGCACCAGCATCAAGAAGAAACAAAGCTAAGAACATGACTTTTGCTTCCACAGATCCTTCGACGTGACGACCCGTTCGGCATCCCCTTCCCCTATGAACTCGCAGTCGCAATTCGATCCAGCCACCGTGATCGGGCTATCTGGCGCGACGCCTGGCGGTCGACCAGATCCCAGCTTCGATATCTTCGAATGGTATCCTCGCTACCAGAGCTGCCAGCGATATTTCCTCGATCATGCACAACACAGCGTCCCCGTGCAGGCATTGTCCGCCTTTTTGAATATCAACCTTCCCTTTCAACGGCGTCCCGACCCAGTCATGAACTCGTCTCCGATCATTGTCCCCGCAGGCGTCACTCCCGGGGGCCCAGCATCGACGGGGTCGCCCGCCGTCTCTCTGACCCCATACATTCGTCGCTTGGTCGCCACGGGTATGGATTTCCCAGGTGTGCTACACGGGTTTTTTGGGGACGACTGGAACGCGGGAGTCGGTCCCCTGCACGAGCAGGAGCGGCGCAATTACTTGTTCGCCGCCAAGAGTGGCGGCTGGGCCGCCGTGAAGAAGGACTACGATATTCTCCCGCTCGAGACGATACCATTCCTGCGCCCGCTGCAAGGGCCCGTCGATACGGAGATCCAAGCCGCCGAGCGCAGTTGGAGTGAATGGCTCGCCATGGAGGATTGGATGGTTGGCCCTCGTGCACCGGATGCTCTTCATGACTCCTCCTCACAGAATTCCCGGTCGCGCAGCTCTCGCTGAGTGCCTTCTGCCTGCTTGCCTGCCCGCGGAGATCCCACACCCAGGGATGTCGACGGTTCTGGCACATCTTTGCCTTTCTCCCCCTTCGATCGCCAATCTTATGACATATGTACCATTATTTTCTCTTTCTTTTTGGCCCTTTCACTTCTTTTTTGGGTCTCAACGCTCCCCCCTCCTCGCCCCTTCATTTTGGCGTCTCCTCCTCGAGTTTTTTTTTTTTTTTTTTTTGGGTGTTGACCCTCTTCGCCACACGGCTATGGGGTCTTGCATGGAGTGTATGGATTCTTCAGCGACATATCGACTCAGCATTTTCACTGGAATTATTTCACGATTCCAACGCCCCCTCCCCCCCCCTCAAGTGGAGCGTCCTTAAGCGATCATCATATCCTTGTCATCAGCCCCGACCGTGCTCCGTTCAAGCGTTGTCTCAAATCATCGATACTGGGTCATTCATCCGTATGATCCCCACTTCTCGGTGATCTGTGCACTTCACTGGAAAGCGGGACAGGGTCATGGATGAATCATCACAAAGGTCGCCATCCTCGCTTTCTCACATTTTCCAGCTCCGCATTATACACAAATTCTCCGACGGCGAGTGGTTTGACATAAACGCAACAAAACCACACAGCATATGTATGGACATTCTATTCTTGAGAAAAAGAACACGTAAAAAAAAAAAACAAAAACAAATATCAATTGGTTTTCGGAAGAATGGACATTGTACCATGAGTTCCAGATCACACAAGGACATCACTCGAGACCTAGATATTAAAAGATAGATCGTGACCTTTACCCAAGCCCTTGTTCAATACTCGAATGACACTGAGTTGTACAGTCGTAGTAGTCGACTATTCGGGCGGCGCCTCGGGAGTCTTATTACGTGACTCAGCGGACGACCTGTCCAGGAATCAAACTCAATTCCGACCACCTCTCCAACCCATTCCACAGTTCCATGGCTAATGAGCCTCAACGACCGGCCTTCTCGGACATTGTCCAAATGGAGGAAGTACTACATTCAGTGCAATCACTTACTGGATTCTCTCTTCATCCTGACTGGTCGCCGTTGAACCAGTTACAGAACCAAAATCCAGACCTCGGTAATGAGATTCACAGGCGCTGCTCACTACTCATGTGAATTGCGCCGTCCACGGTCTAATAGGATGCTCGTATGCTCGTGTGCACTGAGCAATCGAGTCCCACCCTTTGCACCGCCCAGCATTAATGTACTTGCACTGTCCTGAAGAATAAAAATGTTGCGAGTGTGGAAAAAAGCGCAAGCTTGCGATCTCCACTTGTGTGGCAAATTCGACCATCCTCTCGGCCGAAGCTCCAAACACTCGCATTACATTAATAATAGGGAATCGGATCCGAGTCGATTAACTGGAATACGGCGGTAGGTTGACTCAACCCAGGCCTCTTTCCGAGTCCATATGTAGTGCTGTCAGTGTAGGGTGCACATCTTGTCCGTCCCGCACTACATGTATACTTGGTTGTAACTACTAGGCACCGGTATAGTACTATATATGACTGAAAAGAGGATGAGCTGGGCTGAACTGGAATGAACTGGTTTTGGATTTGCGAGGACTTGCCAGGTAATGTTCTTGACATCGAAGATAGTGTATGTAGTATGTACAATGTACATACATTAGACATCTACACCGTCCAGTACGATTGTCTCGAAACAAAGGACACGAAGGTACCTCCATTGGGTGCCCGTGCAGACCCGACTTTGGGGTCGACCAGAGCCGCACCGTGAGCCTCCCGCTAGCCGTTCCAAGTCGATGGATTCGCTACATGTGGTGACCCTTGCTGCGAGGATCTCGAGCTATGAATGTTATTTTTCTGTCTTTTGCTTATATTCATCATAACGAAGGAAGCAAACGCTATCATGAAAAAAATATCAAATCAGGAGTAGGGAGTAGCATTTCCATCTGCCTCTCAGGGCGGAAACCACTCTACGCGCGATACCCTATGTATGTATCATGGCTGTACCGCCACCTTGAGAAACGACTACAACGGAACGACTTACTCGAGACTCCCAAGTAGTTGAGCAACGCTACCTCGCTTAAATGCTTACTTCCAATGATTGTGCAATCTGCACAAACATTTGCGAGCCTAAGTAGAGATTAGACCGTGAGCAAAGCCAATCATACGGGCGGATCTATAGTACCGAGTCTATCGACATCCACGGCAATGCATTCTGCCATCTTCTGTTGTTATGATTGGGTGCATTTATGTGATTCCTTGTCCCGCTCAGATCAATCCGTAGAATGATTTTCATGTCGAATATGTCCTGGATCGACTGTATGATTACGCTTTACAGTCTACATTCTGTACAATGTTGTATGTACTATGTAGTATGTACTTTGTGGTTTACGTGAAGTTATAAAATTGGGGAGAACACATGGCTGTGCCCGCAAGGACGGGACGTCCATCGCATCCTAACCCATGCCACGATCCAACCGCTTCACAGCAGCATTGATCATTTTGCATTTTCCATTAGCCAGCAAAATCCATACCTAAACCTATCCATAGGTCCATACACCTACATTCCCTCATTGACCTTCCAGATACACCGAGCCTCCGGTCCATCTTGACTGCATCAGACCTTGCCATTCCATCCGGCCTGAAGATTGGCGGAGGCGGTACCTTTCTTCCGCATTCGGTCGGAACTCACCGTGCGGCATTTCCGAGATTAAAAGCCGTTATGTTCGGGACTGGAGAATGGTACACGGTTCATACGGGACTGTGTCACGACTTACTAGTTACTACACTCCATTTCAGGGGTCCGAGGCACCTCGGTCGGCCTAACGGTTTACTAGAACTTTGAATAACGTGTTTCATGAAGAGTTCCGGATTTGCATCGAGAAATTCCGAACCAAGTGTAGCTGGGGACTGCATGCTCTCAAGCGATAGGTACCATGTGCTCGTGAGGTCGAATTTCATATACTCTAGTTCAACGACGACAGAGCATAGGCGCAGTAAACATGTAGGGTAGTCCCAACATTTTTGGGAATAGACTGCACAACGAGTACTGTAGATGGCGATGCAGCGCAGCGCACCGCTGCACACAGTTCATCGAGTAAACGAGAACGAAAGCTCGGGTAGCCAATGGAGATTCAAGCAGAGCCAATCAGACCAGACGAGTATCATAGCGTTCTCGACGACTGATTTCCCGATATGTCCGAGTGTTTCGAAGTCAGCATCAGATGAGGCAGTGTCTTCTGGTTCAGTGGTTTGGCATGGACGGATGCTAATCGATAACTCATATATACTGCATAGGTCAGTGCATAGTACATACTACATACCGCATCAGTGCATACTCATAGTACATACCCTTAGTGGCTCCTCCGATCTTGATCTGCCTTTTGATGGAGTGCCCTCGGAAGCTCTGTGGTGCACCTTCCATTACACTTTATGTCTGTATGGAGGCTCTTTACCTAGGTACCTTTTGCCCTTTGTAGCTTATCTCGAAAGCTCCATGCAAGGTGTCCGATAGGACATTTAGAGCTAAAACAAATGTAGTCACCGTGGCACAGACGTACTTCACAAATATGAAGCGACGCGTAAGACTTTCAACCCTCAACCGGTCAATGGCTTTCATCACTGGAATTACCTTCACAGGGCGAAGCATTCAGTCGATCGATGAGATGCTTTCTTGGCCTTTTATTGGCTCATCGAGTGATGTTTTCGATACGGATACGATGCACATTGCACAGTCTGTTAACATCCAAGTAGCTTGGGGCATCGATTCACGGCGGACGCATGGATCCACAAGCGTCTATTTACATGGCCGCGGTATTGCCTTACTGAGGGCGTCCATGCGGCTCCAGATTCCGAAAGGCTGTGATGAGCACTGCGCTCCCAGTCTCATCCCCAACTCTTCATAGTCCACTGGCGTATGTGATTGTCCAGTGGTGACCTTCGGATGGCTAGACTCCTGCCAAAGATCCAGGACCGGGCCTATGCCCCTCCATCGGCACTCGTGCGGTGGACCCCTGGCGCTTTGAGCGGTCCTAGCGGAAAGCTGCTCGGTGCCGGGTGTGGCTTTACCTCCTGAATCATGAAGGACGAAAGACTGCATCCAGTCTCGTCGCTAGTTGTGTCATAAATTTTACATCATGAAAAGCTGATAGCTTTGGAATCTCCGCCGTCTTGTCGGCAATAGGAGACCCGAACATCAACTGTATGTGTAGACTAATAAGCCGCGAGGGCGATGTCCAGATCGTTAACCGGTGTACCAAACTGCTTGTTTGTTGTGTCGACATTGTGAATAGCTAGTGCTGGAAGAAAGTATTCCTCGTAAAGTGAGGTCGTCCGATCTTTCAGTTCAACTCCTGAATCAGAAGCTGATGTTATCACTGGCAGAGCTCGAGTTCGCAATACGTAGGGATATTATATCTCCGGTGGTGTTGACACCGAGTAATCAACATTCAAGCAGGGCCAGGTACATGGCTCTCGAAAGATGAGAACCTCGTTGGAAGTACATCCGATATTCGTTCCGAGTATCTTGAAACTTTTGTTCAATTCAAAAGTATTCCACGGGACACTTTGGTCATTAACATGAGCTAGCCGCGCTGATGTGAGAAACCCCGGAAATGATTTACTTAGCTTACCCAGTCTCACTGAAAGTCACTGGATACATCCCATACCAACCTCATAGGACATAATCTCAGCCATTCTTGAGTAGAGCCCTTATTCTCCAGAAATGGCACGGACTGATGGTTGGACGAACTCGACAGAGAAGAACTGTGTACTTTGTGAAGGGGCGTACACTCGAACCTTGACTTCCGGAATATCCAGCTCCCAGCAACATAGCGTGTAGCATCGGATATCATTGGGTTGTTCAGCCAGGACGTACCAAAGGGAGCTTAAGATGTTGCGGTGGTGATTTATGGAGACAATTCGAGAATGACTGCATTGTAGTGCCGAATTTAAAAGGATGATCTTCTTGGGTATGGTGACGATGCTTTCAATGCGTCTTTCAGTGGCCCTTGACGATAGTGAAGAGCGGACAACTTCAAACGAAGAATCCTAAAGAGCACTTAAGTAGCGCCGACTGGACAGGGGTTGATATCTAAGCCACTGACGAGCACAGTTAGTATATCGTATAGCGATAGGTAAAGAAATGAAACCGAAAAGTCTTTCTGCTGTTCCGTGCTGGACTCACTTTCGCTCAAAGTGCGTCGGGCTTCATCGAAAATCCTAGTATGCTTCGATCTCTATCGTTGAAGATGCTGCAGCATATTGAGGACTAGTACTCACTCTGAAAGAAGTATCTCGACCAGTAGACTGCACTAGCTAGAACTGGGAGCTCATCGTGTGTCGGGTCGAGTTGTTTGCCCTTCCAGTTCATGACTATGAGCTGATTATCTGCCAGCCTGATTCAGTTTCGTGGACCGTGATTGTTTGCTTTCCCAATTTTGCTGTCGCGACCTGATTGTTTGTCTTTCCAACAAGGCTAGTCAGAGCTCATTCTTCTTGGAGTGCTATGCATCGTGATGTTACTCGATCTCACCATGAACGTCATCTCGGCTGTCATTCGAATTGTCAAATACATGAAAAAGCACAGCAAGAAAAGACTTACCGCGGACGCCCAAGGCTTCCTCTCCGATACGACACTCAACACGCTTCCACCTGGCAATCTTTATTCACCGTCAAGGCTGACTCTGATCACTTTGCCTGAACACGCTGTCTCCGAATTAAATCGAGAGATCAGGCGCCAGAGCGCTTCCGACAGAGAGAAGATTGCGGAGACCCGGGAGCCGCGGAGAGATGGCACTTAGGCCTTGGAAGTTTTGGGGATATTTGTGTGCTCGGAATTACTGGTTCTTTTTGGAGCAGAGTCCGGGCTGATGGTATAAAGCGGGGCGTTTGCATCGAAGGAATAGGCTGGCTGTATAAAGGGCCGAAGCTGTTGCGAGTGTTCCCGTACTTTGAGGCTTGAAGCAAATGGCTTGAGTTTTTCGTGTTATATCGAGTAGTTTTCACATTGACGAATTTGCTGTGGCTCACGTATTCCCTTTTTGCTCAGATCCTGACGAATGTTCATACCGAGGTAGGATAGCAGATATAGAGAATTATGAGCTTGAGATGTGGTTGAGATGAGCTGGAGATGAGCATGAAAATGAACAACCTCCAGACAGGAGCAAGGTATCCCAATCAATCTTGCCAGCTGCTGGTCAATTTCCAATCCGACAACCTTACAGCCTTATCCTGTCCAGGCGCGCCGATTTCAAGGTACGGTACCGCGCCCACTCGCGACTATATCACCATCGCTTACATAGAGCAGGCTTCCACTAGTCATACTGAGGATTTCCATTCATTTGGAATGACCGGGCTCACGGTCTAGTCACAGAGATTTAGATAGGATGATTATGAAGTATAGATTCAGTGTCAGATCAAAGCTCTTACAGCACAAACACATGAAGCTTCTCCCAGTTGAAGGGGGAGAAGAAGCCGTATGGTGGGAGCCGTCGTGGCCGTTGATCCAAAACTACACAACTTTTGCAGAGAAAAAATCGAAGCAGGGTTGCTACCATTATTGGACAATGTGGGGCAAGAGAGATGGATTCTTCTTAGAGAGGGCTACCTAGAAGTCTTCTGAGAGGAGTCATGTGTACATCACGAATGCATGGACTTAGACGCTTGTTCCGCGTCAGCGCGGAATATCACGATGCGATGAATCACCTTGACTTTGACCGTGCTTACGCGTTGATTCGCGAAGGATTCTACGTCAGGGCGCTCTCACACAGTCTGAGAAGACACATCAGACATTGTCCCAAGTGTCTGACCCACCAGACCGTACGGCACCCACCCTTTGGCGCGCTCTATCCGACTGAGATTCCGGAGATACCGTTCCATACGATAACCTTCGACTTCGTCGTGGTCATGCTCCAATCAGTTATGCGAAACGACGCAGTTGCCACACTTACCTGCTGGTTCTCCCAAAGGCCCCAGGGATTATCGCAGGAAAGACCACAGAAAAAGCACCAGTGTGGGGAAAGAGGATAGTCCAGTTCCCATCGGTAGCAGGTTGGGGCTTCCTGAGCGCGATCATCTCTGATCGGGACCCGAAGTTCTTGGATGAGGTCTACAGCGGAGCGTCTTTCAGGGCTGGCTTCCGAGAAGGGCAAATGTTGGCGTCCGGCAATACGCAACCCAAATGTACCTGCGAAATAGCTAAAGCAGCCGTCAACCGCCAGCAAGCAAGCGGGAATCGAAATACCGAGGTATGCAAGGTGGATATTCAAGTAATCAGGTCCCGAGACCATCCACGGAAAGAAAGTAATATACAAAATCTCCTCTAGCGTTACAAAAACCCGGGGTATCTTCCATAAATTACAAGAGGACAAAGGAAAAGACAAAAACTGATAGAGCCATCTCAAACAAAATCACGTCTCTGCGAATTCCACCTTCTTCCCACCATCTTGGCTCGAAGACTGCGACTGGCCGCGTGAGCTCGATGAAGAGTCGTCGTGGACTGCATCTGCACTTCGAGTCCGTGGACTCAGATGCACTTCGCGTGGCGTGGGCAAATCGGGCAACATGTCGGTTTCGGAGACAAAGCTGCGCGGTTGAGAAAGAACACCGCCTTCTGTGTGGGTCTGTTTCTCCTGCTGCTTAGCCACAGAGGGCTTCGATCTTTTTCGACGATGTCGACGGAGGTATTCGTTTGGAACTGGGTCGACTTGTTTTTGGGCGGTGGGGACAAAGTTGAGGTAGAGCGGGAAGATGGCGCCGGCGGCGAAGAGTGAGACGAGGATAGACCATGAATAAGGCTGGCCATGGGAGAGGTAAACGGCGTATTCGGCGAACGGAAAAAAGGCGCCACCGCTAATTGCGGTGGCAAGGATGGCGGAGGCTGTTTTGGTATGTTGAGCTGTGCCACGGAGAGAGATTGCAAAGATGGTGCTGAAGATGCCGCTCTCAAAGAGGTAGATGAACATGGTCATAATAATGGCCGTTGAACCTGATGTCCTCATTGAAAGCGCAGTGAACACAATCACGCCGAGATACGAGGCCATGAGGAACCAGCGTGGCTTAATGAACCACTGAACGAATGCGGCTAGAAACCGACCGGCAGCAAAGACACTATGGCCAACGGTGAGATAGTCAAATGGAGTGAGCGAGGAGCTCGGATCGGCGTTGGCAACAAAACGCTCCAAACTCGTAGAGAGAACCTCCTGGGCCCCTACGTAGAAAAATTGCGACCAGACACCCAGAGCCAGAGTGAGCCACACAACCGGAATACCGATCACTTTGGTCTGATTGTCGTGTTTGCGCCGGTTGGCCAATTCCTCCAAGTCCTCGTCGGACGCTTCGGGGACAGGGAGGTAATAGAACGCGACTGCGAGCAGCACGTCGAAAAAGGCGATCCCAAGGTACGTCCATTGCACGTCCACAAGAGACGCCACATCTTTGACATCCTTGAACAAGACTTTCTGTGCCAGGAGTGGTGACAGCACACTGCCAATCGCTTGTACACCTTGCGAAATATTGAGACGGATTTCCGAATTCTCCTGGGGACCACACAAAGCGATAAAAGGGTTCGCCGCTGTTTCCAAAACAGCCAACCCAAACCCGACAATAAAGTTGGAGATGGTAAAGGCGACCGTGGACGTTAGCACCGCGGAGGGCCAAAAGATCAGTGCCCCACAGGCATATATGCATAACCCAGTGATGAAGGTAGCCTTGAATCCCCAGGTCTTCAAAACCGGTCGTCCCACCAGAAGCGGTCCCAAAGCGTATCCCCCGAAATAGGCGCAGTGTAACCCCAACGAGTGCCACGCGTCGAGTCGAACGATCCGCAGGAATTGCGTGTTCAGAGTGTCAAGCAGGCCGTAGGCGAATCCCCACAGGAAGAACAGGAGTGTTGCCAAAGCGATGGGTGGGATGGATTCACGGTTGTTCAATTTGAGCATACTGGCAGGCGTCTTCATATTGACAAAGTCGAAAAAGGTGATGTCGGGTGGATACGACGCACTGGTTCGAGTATTTGTTTCCACATCGCCAATTGGGTGGCCCGGTTCGGTCAAGAAATCCAACATGTCCATCGGCTGGTCGGATGCCTGTCTGCTTCTCCGGCGAGGGGAAAGACTCCTGCTGCCTGTCTGCGAAGGCTTGCTTCCTACACTGGAAGAGGGTGACGCCTCGGGGGTTCTGGTGAAAGGGCTCGGGCCCGCGATGAGAGGAGGAACCGTGATCGGACTCTCATTGACCGCGTAGTGGCTGCGTGGAGTAGTTGATGGATCTCCAGTGTCGCGAATCAATTTGGGCATGAGGCGAGTTACCAGTGGTTTGAGACTAGGAACACAGCCGCAGATGATGGAAATATTGACTTCGACGACGGACCACATAAAGGATAATGAGGCATACCCTACGTCAGAAACGAGTCAGTGATTGCCGCAACCAGCGCCATTAGACCAGGGAGGTGGTCCTCTCGGGAGTGTTCGTACAGCTGAAATCGGCGTCCGTGTTGTTCTGCAGGTGGATCGTTTTCAGGGCAAGGGACTTCGAGATTGCGGCTCTTTGAAGGAAGGCAATACGGATGACATCCACCACGGCGACAAAGAAACCGAAACTAAACGTCACAACCAGGATCACCTTTTGCTTAAAAGGAAGTCGCATCTGCGTCAATATTGGAATTGGCAGAAACAGAATGGCGAGGTCCGTCACGATATTGACAGGCGACGATGAAAGATATAGAGTGACAATGTCGATGCAGGTCGCGCCATTGGGCACACCCGGCACAAACGAGGCGGAAAAGGGATGGCACTGGAAGACATTGACCATGGTCAACGCAAAGCCTGCCGCATTGACGACCGCTAGGGTGACGTAGTTTGCTATTTGGAAGATCTTGTTATTGCGAGTCAAAGTCAGATAAAAGATGAGGATCGAGGTTTTGACAGCCATGAGCGCCGGGTTCTAGAAGAAGCAGATAGTCAGTAATGGGCCCAGAAGATAGACCAGAGCAAGAGTCTCGGCAGACGTACATAGAGCACCGTGAACGCATAGGTCGCCTTGTTCAGGGCAAATTGGTCCTCGAAAGGGATCTCCGAAGAGTGCAATCCCAATCCGTACTTGGTCGCATAAAACAGAGAAAAGGAAAAACCAAAGTCGAGCACCTGTGGTGGATGTTAGCCAAAAGTATTAGAGGTATTGGGGGTATGCTCAGGCCAGGTACAAGTGCCGGTCGTGTCTGCTATTGGGGCAAAGACAAGAACTGATGCTTGTCGTGGCAGGAGTCACCATGCCCGGCACATGCAGAAACCCTAGGACCCCTTTCGGGGACTCCAGTGCAAGGAACGTACCCAGGCCAGCAACATCACATAATCGTGTAACCCAACTTTCCGTACAATGAAGATGCGCGATACAAACCGCAAGGCGACGAATATTGAGGCGATTACGAAGACGGTGATCGAGGCCCCCAGGGTCACTGGTCGACGGGTGTCCATGGTGAGAAGGGAAGCGCCGCGCGCGCAGCGTGGCGATGCAGGCGACTCAGGTGATTCTTCCTTGATCAAGATAGCCTCAGTGTAGTATTGGAGGGGATGTCGGATACCGATGCATAATGGCGATGGAGAATTGTTGTGGCGGTGACAGGGCCTGCTTGAGCTCCATGGTCTCTCCGAGGAGACCTGCTGATGTTGTTCTCACTCTGCAGGAGGTTTGAACAAATCCGGGGTAGCTGTGCAATCCAAGGGCTGGGGCGTCTGAAGAGACCCGCTTGGGGTTGGGGGGGGGAGGCGGCAAAGCAATCTCAACACGGAGAAGGCGGGGATGGAGAGTGATTATAGATGGCGTGCGGCAGGAGAGGCGGCTTGACGACGGGTGGAGTGTTCTTTCAAATTTGACGATTGTCTAGGAGAGTCAAGGAGCTCAAAGACACCAAGTCAGGTGGATGAGGGTGGGGAGGTGAGAAAAGTGGTATGGGGAGGAATCGTGACGTTTTTGGCTTTTGGTGGGTTCGGCGGCTTGTATGGCTGCTCGACTCCTTTGGAACGACGCCTCTTTCGTTCTCCGTCTTTCCTCCTCTTGACCAAATTGGACTCTTTTGGGTCGTTCTTACCAAAGCGTTGGGTCCAATACGTACTACGATACTGCTATGAACTCCCCGCGTTACCGATCGGGTCCATACTTTTTTTTCTCCTCCGCGCGATATCCTTGGTGTTGGATGGATCAATTCCTCTTCGCTACGCTCTTTCCACTTCTTGCCTAGTCCCAGTGATGTGCGAGGATAGAGTACATCAGTGCAGTCCGTACTGCCTATCTTGAGGTTCCTATTGTGTGAAGCGCATCCCTGATCAAGCTTTCTTTCTACGGCAACGTAGAAACCTGATCCCACCGCGAAAAAAGGTTCAGGCACGCCAACACATACATGGACGATCTACGCGCAGTGGTCATGATGAGAGAGCATGGGAGAAGCAGACCATGTCTGCCTCCAGAGCTACACCTCCCCATGTCTCAGATCCTTCTTGACACAGTCTTTTACACAAAGGCGATATGACAGTTGATGAAGCGTTCCCTGAAATGATGTGCCAAGCCTCGAAACGATTCTGCCCCCAAGCCGTAATCTACGTCATGATCGCGCTTCTGAGGTCGTGGTGCTGTCGTGCGACCTCATTCATGCACGCTCAGTCACTCCTTTCGACTCGGTCTTTCGATCTGTTCCAGTATAAGAAAAAGACACTCATTGCCAGTTGACTTGGGCCACTGAGTGTATTCAGACCCTCAGAAGAACGGAGGCAGCAGGTGTACGATGCCTCACCATGGCATGTAATTTACTTTACTACTATAGTACTGAGTAGTGAGTACTGAGTAGTGAGTACTGAGTAGAGAGTACTAAGAGTAGGGAATAAGTACCTACTGAATAGTGACACTGAGTGGTAGTACTAATTGAGTACTCCTGAGTCCTGACTCCCGACTCACTGATTACTTAGTACTTACGGTATGTGTATGCTGTGATGCTGTCCTCCCTCCTCTCCATCAACCATGGATCAGGTCGGAGTCGCGGAAGTCTTGTTGGTTCTCGGCACACGACAAACGCCACTGACTCAACCGCCAGCATCCACGTACCGGACTCAGTACCGTCCGTCCTTTTTCTGTCCGGCTGAGCGGACGTGGTCGGGGTCGTGAGTGTGCTGACCTCTTGTGCGAGCACAAATGCGTTCTGGCGTCTTTCGATGCAAAGTATCAGGACTTGGAGGCGAGCATCCTAGCCCCCCTTTCCTCATGGGCGATGATGGACCGGTCGCTGCGCTATTCAAAGCGTCGCCTGCCGACCATCCGAACTAGGGCGCGGGAGTGGGATGTGGCTTGGTCTGCAACGGGCGAAGCGGGCATCGCGGTAAACCACTCAATCCACGGTACCACTAGTGGGTGAGCCAGCAGGATGTGGGGAAGCGCGCTCCGATGCTTGGCACTAACTTATTCTGTGCCCGGGGCAAAGTATTCAACCTTCTGATGAACACTTATACAGTAGGACCTCGACAGAGTAGCAAGGACATGGCGGGCCTATCACTCTCTGCCATATGTATCTCTCGCTGTGAAAATGTATCCACAGCTGTGGGGTCACTACATCGATATTGTCAGTCAAGCGACAGGGCCAAAGTGGTACCAGTCGTCCAGCCCCTTCAAGGAGTGTAAGTTCAACTTACTAAGTTGAGACTTTCAAGCCACAACAGAAACCACAAGAGACCTATCAACAGCCTTCCGACGAGGGTATCCCTTTCCCAGCCACTTGGCGACCACCGCAGATCAGACAGACTGAAATTTGGAGCACTTCTAAAGGGGCAAAGCGGCTACAACTACCATACTGGGACGCCAGTCGAGACTAACAGCTCCCCTTCATCCCACAATCTCAATAAGTAGTGACTCGCAGTCAGGATGAAATGCTGTAATCTTTTCCGTTTTTTTGTTTTTAAAAGTAACGCCAACCATCGTGCACCGGAGAAAAGCCACGCGTCTTACTTAACTTGACCCAATTTTTAGTCATTCTTGTTGATCGCGAAAACGCCGAAACGCCGCCTCGGGCTCAAGTCATGAATCATGACCAAGGGCAAATCTCCCACTGATCCAGCATTCACCTCTTTGACGCCCTGCGTTCTTCAAATACCCATGCGTCGAGGATCACTCTGCCCCTTTTCTAGAAACCCTTCCATGAAATGTGACTTTGCGAAAGACCACACAATCACAGTGACTAAGGTACCATTCCTTGGATTGAGTCGATCTGAATGCTAGGATCCTCGGCAAATCTCCACTAGTACTGCGTCTTGGGTTGCAAACCAACCACGAATTTCTTTGCTCTTTTCAACAAGTGGTTCTACCTAGGTACCAGGTCGCGCAAGAAGGTTCAATAGCTTGGGAACGAATCAATGATCCTTTGGAGGATGATTGACTTCAGTCCCTCGGACTCAATTACTGCAGATGAAATTCATTGGTCCCTGATCTTTGGGCATCTATCGGTGATGGACGTCCTCTCTACCGTACGCCCGGGAGTATTACATTGCCGATTTGCGTGCATCTGGTCGATCATGTGTACCGGACTTTCAGTCAGGGCTCAACGTTCCAGATGTTCCGTGACACGTTTTTGTTTGTGATTTCGGATACGCTCCCGATTTTAAGTTCCATGCGTTGAATATATTTGAATGGATCGGGCGTGGGAGAACCTTATTGGGAAACTTCCGTCTTCTCGATCCGAATCGAATGCACTCAGCACGCACACAAGGCCAAAATTTGGTGTTTGAACCTTATTTCACCCGAAGACTGGTCGACCCAATGCTCATGTTACCGCGTACACCTTCTTTCAATGGCCCAGTCTCGACTGCAGATCGTAGTCTGGGCTTGAATGCCCAAGACTCTGCCCTGCAAAATGGCGAAGTCCCGAGAGAGTACATTATCGAAAAGCACAAAGTCGGAGAAACTAGCAAGTGGTTTGAAGAAGCATCTCACCTGACCACCGATACGACCCAGCGCAACCAATTGGGGCGCATGTCGATAGATGGATCAAAAAGGGGTTATCGGCGCTGTTCTAGACGCTGGATGCGCCATATTCCCAAGGACGTTGTCAAGCGCTGACGGAGCAGATAGCAGATGAGTTCTAGCACCCGGTGGTCTTTGCAGTTTGCTCCATGGTGAGCCAGCTAGTGCGAGAACGACGAAGATCACGTGGACAACGGTGCTTGTCAGACAGCTGATCGCTAAGGTCGCGGTCCGAGGCTCTGATCAAACGTCAGCCTGCCGAGACGCCTTCTCACATGAAGAGCACACGAAGCAAGTCCGACGACACGCATCGTCAGTCTTGCCTCTTTGTCCTCGGGGAATCCATCCTAATACGGCGTGTTCATGCTTGACGCTCACAACTACTCGATTGCCAGCACCTCCTTTTTCAATCGGCAGCAGCAGATGTGGGCTGTTCGACTGTGCTAGCGGATGAGCGACATGCATTTACTAATTCTACGGATCCTCACGATCGCTTCCTCGGTCTATACTAAATTCCGACAAAACCTCATTCTACCCCTTTCACCACGCACCATGTCATATCTGTGAGGTCGCTGCAAAATGACGACCTCGAACATGGGCTCTTCAGAGAGCATCTCTTTACGGGCATTCTCAAGGCTCTTTTCGGTTTCTCGTCCACATCGAAACGGGTTCGACACGTTGGCCAGTGAGCCGGGGTGTTGAAGCAAGTCCTCGTGAAGGAGATCGTTTCAACGGCTCCGCTTTCGTTTTGATCTCCTGCAGAATGCCCAAGCGGGAGGTAACATCGCTTAGCTTGGCAGCGGCTCATGTGGATATGCTTGTGCAGCTATACTGGATCTGATCATGATTCTGCTCGCAAATCAACAGCATGACTTGCTACCTAGTCTCGCAATGACAAGATATAAGACTATTCGACGGGTGCCATATGTATATTCTACAATCAGCAGTCGTGTGAATTTCTCCCCGGCTTTCCATTACCACGTTGACGTCGCGTATCGTTCAAGATGAAGTTGGCTTTCCTGCTTGCTGCTCTTTTTCCTATAGCTCACCTTCCAGAAGCTCAAGCTGCCAATGCTCCTCTAGACATATGGGTCAAGCAGATATGGAACGAGTTCAAGGACGCCGTGGATTGCGGAACATGCCAGGTAAAAAAAAAAAAAAAAACTGACACGCGCACACTAGGAGGCTTGAGCCTTATCACTGACCATTGCCTCGCCATATAGGCACTGCTCGGCGGGCTCAAACTTGCTGCCGGCTTTGGAGAAGAATTTTTGAAGGATGTGCTGATTGGAGTTTGCGACAGTAGTCGAGTGAGTTTCAATTTTCCGTTGTCCAGCGTCCATACACTGATCCTCGTTCAAGGCCGATGATCCAGATGTTTGTGCTGGGATCATGACCAATGAGCTACCGGGTGTTTACTATGCCATCAAAAATATGCATGTCGGGTCGCATACAGCCAAGACCCTCTGTTCAGCCCTCGTTGGCCTGTGTGATTTCCCCAATGTCCGTCCATACGATCTCAAGTTTCCATCGCCAAAGCCCGACAAGCGCCGACCCCCTCCCAGTGGAAAAGCTCCCCTCAAGGTGGTTCATTTCACGGACACGCATGTCGACTTGTCATACGAGGCTGGGTCGAACTCTGAATGTACTAAGCCCATTTGCTGCCGCACGTTCGAAGCGCAGGATGCCCCCGGAATGACGAGCAATCCGTGTGGCCCATTTGGGAATACAAAATGCGATGCGCCTGAGCAGCTTCAAGCGAGTATGATGACTGCGATTGCAAGCATGAATCCAGCATTCTCAATTTACACCGGAGATGTGGTCGCTCATGACGTCTGGCTTGTGGACAAAGCCGAGGTTCTGGAAGACTTCAACAAGACCTACGGCATGATCGAAGCGCATCTAGGTCTCGTTTATCCCGCCATGGGGAATCACGACACAGCTCCGCTGAATCTTGTACCGTCCGATAAGCTTCCCGGGAGGTTCAATCCTCAATGGGCGTACGATGCTCTGACGTCCAGCTGGTTTGCTCTCACGGGCGCCGAAAGCGTCAGCCACGCGACCAAATACGGCTCCTACTCTGCGATGCACCCGAACAAATACGGCTCCTACTCTGCGGTGCACCCGAACAGTAATCTCCGAATCATATCCTACAACAGCATCTTCTACTACAAGTACAACTTCTTCTCCTACACCGAACCAATGGAATATGACCCGGACGGCCAGTTCGCATGGCTGATCAACGAGCTTCAATCCGCCGAATCGGCGAACCAACGCGTCTGGCTCATCTCCCACATCCCATCTGGAGACATCGATCACTTCCGCGACCACTCGCACTACTTTGACCAGATCGTTCAACGCTACGAGGCCACCATCGCCGCACTCTTCTACGGACACACCCACACCGACGCATTCCAAATCTCATATTCCGACTACAAGAATCGTAACCACAACACCGCCAACTCAATAGGCTACATCGCCCCATCAATGACCCCAACTTCCGGCTCGCCCTCATTTCGCGTCTATGAAATCGATCCCGAGACCTACGCCGTCATGGACTACACCCAGTACATCGCCAATATCACCGATCCGTCCTTCCAGGCCAACCCAGTCTGGATCCCTTACTACTCCGCCAAAAAAGACTATGGCAGCACTCTCGCCCCTTCACCACCAGACACAGCCGAGCTCACACCGGCCTTCTGGCACAACATCACCGTGGCAATGGAGAACGATCCTTCCGTGTTCGACTCGTACTGGGCGAGACGGACTCGTGGGTACAAGGTTCCTTCGTGTAGTGCGGACTGTCAAAGGACTCAGATCTGCGCTTTACGAGGAGCAGATGCTCAATATAGCTGTGTGAAGCGAACGCCGGGATTGAGTCTGTCGAAGCGTGGGGGAGTGGACGAGGTGCGGGATCACCCGTTACTGAGCAAAAGGTTTCATCCGGAATGTAATCATGCTGGTATGGCGCCTTTGTTGGCGAAAATCGCTTACCAGGCTCAGGTGGCTAGGGCGAATGGCGAGTGATTTCTGTTTTGTCGCCATGGTAAATACAACACCGAGATGTATGCTCATGGACTTTTACTCGGACATATTGAGTCAAAGAACCTGGAAGTCCAAGCTAGAGTTGTCGAGAAGATTGGAAGAAGATGAAACGTTGTATGAAAGCGGCCAAAGTGAATCGAATTTTTCGACGCGGAGCAATTTCAATTATTATCCAATGAAAATCGTTCCGTCTCATGGTATGGTTGTCAGATGAATCTTTAGACCAGTACAAAGTTATGCAAGCTTCCATCTAGTAATCTAGTGCATTCATCTATCAGTTTCGAAGACCAAAGAACCTTCAATCATGAAAGCCAGGTCACCTGACACACCTCCCTCGTACTCACTCCTGAGTACTGCACCTCGATCTAAGCGCCGAGAAAGTCACCCGACGCGGCTGTTGCAGATGAATCAAGTACACGCATGAGCGAGAATAACCTGTAACCTGTAACACAAAACGAATGCGCACGCATACCTGACTCAAGCAGTCGAGTTCGGAGCACAAAAAGAAAAAAAAAAAAGAAAATGAAAGGACTTGCACGAGGTCATTACCGTCACAATCTCATATGATGCGAGGATCATCAGTCTGCAGTCTGCACTGACATTTCACAATCCTTACGCGCCCACAGAATCGTCAGCCCGGTATATAAGGTATGTCGAAATGCAGAATCCGAGATCTGATACACTGTAGGTGCGTGTCGAATCTGTGGTATTAGAGTTTTGTTGAGCGCTACCGTGGATCCTTCTCATGAGGCGTTTTCTGATCATCTGATAAGGTTGAGGACATTTTATGAAATAGCGTGCTTCCTGCTTTTCAACCAGTAGGCAGCCCGTGGGTACAACTTTGCATTGGAGTTTGACGAGATGTTTGGATGCTTGATCTCTATGCCCGTTACCGGTCCGTTTTCAATTTGCAAGACCGCAAGGACATCGGGGGTTAATCTTCGAAATGTTGATGCCATGCTCGTAAATCGCGATGATACATCTATGTGAAGATGGGAGTGTTCCGGGCAATGAAGTGGAGATTGAGTATTCAAGGGATACAATTTGGTCTAGTCTTGTTGAATATACCCTCAGTGTTGTAGGTATGAGCTACATGTGCCTACTACTGTCAAGATTCAGTACTCTAGATGATTATACTCGAGAAAATGGACGTGGAAGCTAAAATGCAATCATCAATTCGTGTTAACGGGCCCACCTGTGACTTCAATACCTAACGAGAGAATCGTTCAAAGAACGGCGTGATGTCTCGGTGGAAACCAGTCCATCGTGTCAACATCATCGGCATCGTTCCTCGATTAAGCTCCTCGCGGAATATAAAGTTGCAGGGGGAAAAACGCTAACTGTCTTTGTGGACAAGGTATATGGATTGGATTCGGATGGACAGAGCATGGAAATTCCCGAACATGTCTGCTTTCTCTCTCTCTCTCTCTCTAGAGAACTCAAGTAGGATCTTGTCGCCTTTCAAGCGCACAGCTCTTGAAAAGGAGGACCGGATAAAAAAAACATGAATAAAAATGGGGATCCGAGCACGTCGGTCAAAAGAAGGGCGACGTCGGTACCGGAGACGAAGTGAAGGGGTGGTCAAAGAAACACCCGATTGGTAAAAAAAAAGATGGACAAGGAAGAAAGAGAAGTGACACAAAAAGGGTCGACAGACATGCCGATCAGAATGGTGTTACGAGAGAGAGGTCGATGATTCGCGATGCGAGAATGACAATACGCGCGAATAACTTCAAGCCTTCACACAGTACTGGTATCCCTTCCAGAGATTTGTGCAAGTGTCATCCAGACCAGTGTTCCAGCTTTGGAGCTCGGAAGCAGAGATGCCGAATTGCTGTTCCACCTTTTGGCAATAGTCGCCCTCCACCACCGAGTACCACTTTTGACACGTAGTGATGGCGTAAGGGTACAAGGGGACCTCCGGGGTCGTAGGGTTGGTGGTGATGGTGGCAGAGCTCGATGAAGAAGTCGAGGTCTGAGCTGAGCTCGAGATGGTGTTGGAGATCGAGCTAGGGGCTGCGGGCGCAACCGAGACAGTGGGAGCAGTAGGAACAGGGGCGATGGTGACGGTGGAGGTCAGAGCAGGGTCGGAAGTGGGCGCAGGGTTCGAGTTCCCAGCAGATGTGACAATGGTGGGGACAGCAACGCTGGTGCTGGTGCTGGTGCTGGTGCTGGTCGCAGCAGGGGGCTCAGGCAGGATAGTAGTCACACCAGTGGGGTTGACCGCGGCAGTGGTGGTGGAGCCGGAGCCCGAGCCAGAGCTGCCCGAGGACGAGCCACCACTCCAGTTGGAACCAGTGAGCGAGCCGATCGTGTTGTCATTGCAGCTGCTGGTGCCCGCCGCCCATCCGAGAAGGCGGTTGGCAATATCAGAGGCGTAGCAGTGCGTCGCAATACCAGCGCCCAGGTTGCCGTTGGGGGCGATGGAGCCAGAGTTGTAGCAGCGAGCGGCCTTGTAGTAAGCCGTGACATCTTGAGCACCGCCGTTCTGGGCAAGGAGCTGTTGCAGACCATCTCCATCGGCAGTCCCCATGGTACCATCACGGATCATCTGCTCGATCTCGGAAGCAGGGCAGGGATTCTGGACATTTTCAGGAGCATTGATGCCAGTGTTGCAGCTCCCCTTGCCATTGTGAGATTGCATGAGCCCTGGGTTGACGACGCCGTTGTTGGTGGTGTGCACACGCACACAACCATTACTTTCCTGCATAATGATGGCCAAGATGAAGCGAGCATCGACCCCGGACTCGCCGGCGATCTTGTTAATAGCGCTCTTCATCTCAGCCATCTCGCTCTCGGTGGTGTCGGCAACGCCCCACTGAGAGCAAGACGAACCCATGATGGCCTTGTTCGCCTCGAACAGATCATCAAAGCTGGAGACCCAGCTGGACATGGCTGGCCATCCATCGGAGACCTGACCGTTACCACCAAAGACGGAAGCATAGAGATTGCTGCTGCGTCCCGCGAGGGAATGAGAGGACGCGATTTCGTTGACTTGCGCGATATCAACCGCGCGAGCGTGAAAGTGAGAATGACCGTGAGTGTAGGTGACTGGAGCCCCAGAAATGAGGGGGAGGCTGCCAGCAGCCAAAATCTGTAAAGGAAAGGATCAGCTGATTTCCTCAGGCTGCGAATCGAGCGTTGTCGCCAAGCCCAAGCAAGACCTACGAGTGGAAGGGTGAACATCGTGACTGAGAAAAGGAGTGCACAGCACGAAAAGAAAAAAGAGAGAGGAGAGAAAGACTTGCTTTGCTGCTTGAAGAAGGAAAAGACAAAAGAAGAAGAAGCAGAAGCCCAGCATAGAGCCAGGCACCCCAAATCTATATGTACAAAAAAAGATCGACTGACCTCCCGTCTGTCTGCCTGGAGACAGTCCTGAGTCGTGGAACCTCCTCTTCTCTAGGCCGAAGGGGCTCCGTTTTGGTGCATACAAACTCCATCCGATTGTGGAGACCCAGCTCTGTTTCTGTCTCTCTGCCTCTGTCGGTGCGTTCTGGTGGTTGGTCTGGCTATTTTCCAAATGTGAATTTTAGACTTTTCATCCAGTCACATCATAGCATCCGATATTCAGGTACCCCCTTCACTTCTCACGAATGGGGCGGGAGAGATCAAACGGGGGGGGGGCTTCATCTCTATTCCCAGCCATACTGGATGCGACCATCGTGCGGCGATAGACCAGGAACTCCGTTCTCCGATTGTTCAGATCCTCAGGGACGGCTTTCCGCGCAAACTGGGAGATGGACCCAATCAGGTGGGAATGGGTTCCTTGCGTTGCAGAGGCTGAAACCGTGTCCACTCCACCGTGACGGGGAACGAGCGCCGGAGTGATGAGCGGAGATATGATTCTTTCTTTTTGGGTGATGGTTGATGATGACCCTGACGGGAGAAGACAAACGGGCGTCAATAGGCAGAATCACGGGAGTACATACTACTACATACTCATAGTAGAGGACCCAGGGGTACCCGCGTGTGGTGTGGCACGACCATACTTGATGGGGTTGATGCAGGTAGCAAGGCAGTAAAGGTGCAGTAGCGGCGCAGCACCTGATAGTTTGTGTACAGTGACCCATCGTAAGTGTAAATGCACCGCCTAAATTCTGCACTGCCCTGTACATCTACCTGCGGCAGACTGAGCAAAGCGGTTGCACCGTGTCTCGGGACCTTGAATAGGCGGTCCCATGAATGACTTCTTGCCAACTTTTGCGTTCTGTTACGTGACACTCTACCTACTACCTAGTATTTAGTATTTACGAGCTAGTCTCCTATGCATGTTACTGCGTTACACGATACTATACTTATAACTGGTATTCACTGTCCATCGTTCTTTTCTAACTCGTCAGTCTTTTGACCTCGATGCGTCTAGTGAACTGCCCCACCAACCAAGCCATCGTCAACGACGTGGCTAGTATGGCCATTTGATTGGGCCTGTCTCTGCCCTCTTCGGCGCCAGAGCCTGTTCAGCTGCTGTCTCTCGACCCAATAAGATGGCTCAAGTGGCCGGTTACCGGTGATGCCATTTGATCGTTTGATTGAGCAACAGACAAAGAAGGCAATATGCTTGTGTGCGATCGGAGGCTGGCTACATTGAGATTGATGCGATTCCCCTGTAGTCAATATGATTTGGGACTATTGCGGCCTCGTTTGCCGACGTGTGGTACTGCGGCAGTGTACGCTGTATACTACTAGGTAGTAGGTAGTAGGTACTGGTAGTACTATGGTGGTAGTCGCTGTACACGGTTTCGCTCTCCGATCACCAACACACTCGACACACTCATCCTCAAAAGACGGCGCGGGGGGAGTGGGTCAAGAATCGGAGATCTTTCTTGGTAGGGAACATCAACACACCAGCCAGGCAGACCAATGCATACAGTTCTGAATCGGTCAGAACGCAGCGGATTTGACTAGTCCAGCCTCCCAGTGCAAGACAATATGCAGTGCACAACTACCTTGAGAGGGTAGAGAGGCTGTCGATCTGTTCAAATCTGGAGTTGTCGATCGTTCGAACCGCCAAGGGGGAGAAGAGCATGATCAAGTCTAGCAGTATGCAACTGCGCACTGATGTAGTCATACAATATGCAGTCTGTCTTCCGAGACATCGCTCGAATTTGGAAGGGGCAATGGAAGATGGCCGACAAGCGCTGTCATCATTGAAGGAGACAACTTCGCTTAACCTACATTACAGTATTACACTCATCTGGATGGCATTACCTTCAACAAGCATTTGCACAGTCACTGACCGAGTTTCTTCCATTCAACTGCGCTGCTATATGACTTTGAGCCACGATGCCGCAGAGTGTGTGAAGTTGTGAACTGTGAATTGTGAACATCGTGGCTCAGAGGGCAAATCCAATAATGCCAAGGCGCAAAGCCACACCAAGCACCTGCGCCATCTATTCTTGTCTCTTGTCTCTCCGAGTCCCGATTTACCTGAGACGGCGCCCGCCACAATCGAACTTCTCCCGGACAAGTTCGAGTTCATCAAATATGAGACCTCGTCTCACACCTCCCCCCACAAAGCAGGCAACCAGATGTTCATGGTCATGGTCACCAACATCTGATCTATGCATCTATGCATCCAGGAACACGGCTGTCAAACTTTTCCACTGCTCGGGTTCATCCTTCCGGAAACTCTGTCCTGCAGTGCGCTCGCTACTTGTCCAATTGCACCCGTCTGGAGTGATGGAAGCGAGTCTGCAAATTTTGTAGAGTCAGGGTCCACCACGGACTTCCACGTATGTGTTCGTCCGTGCAACTGCAGAGCCAGGTCAAGGTAATTTCTCGGTCATCCTATTCCTTCCTCATGATTGTTTTGGGGGTTCGACATCTATCCTGCTACAGTACATACCAGCGGAGCCGATCGGACTAAAGTTCCCGTAGTAATCAACCACATCGCCTCTATTGATTTTAGTCACTTCACTGCTTTTATGAGATGACTCCACCTCGCGCAAATTCAATGTAACACTCTGATGGACAATTGAATCATAAACTTTCTATTCCCCTATTTTGTGTGAAACCTCCGTGTCAGACAAACACTATCGAACACCTCAGTCTAGACCAACTACGGCCCCGACCTGCTTATTTTCCGAGGTTCAAACCGCGGGACCCAATCTGAAACGAGGGTGCCGACGGACTAAACAGTTTTCAACTCGAGGGAGCGTCAGCATATGGAATGGACTCTGTGCCTGTCGAGACTCGAGAGTCACCACGGCGCGGCACTTTGCGTCACTGGAGATCCTTTTTTTTGGTCAGCTGTCTCGGGTCTGGAGTGAAGGAATAGGCACACTTCCACCATAGATGCTTAGGTAGAGTTCCAATTCAAGGTGCGCATTTGGGTGTAAATCCACTTTTTGTTCCACACACTGACCAACTTGGGTGAAAGTGGATTGTTGGTATAGATTCGTAGCTATAAGGTACAAGGTACCTCGCACCTACTAGTTTAGTGACACTACCTACTACCGACGCTGGTACACGCCGACACGGTAGTTACCTAATAGCTTATCAAGTATGTACTTGTTTGATGTGAATGCCACATTGTCGTGAAACAGGATCTCGACGACATCCAATGCATCAAAAGCAGGTGCAAATTTACGAGTCCCTCGCATCGAACTACTACTCCATTTGTGTTGGAAAGGGTATTCGAATGCTATATATTGTGAACTCCCGTCCTCGGGTTGGACATAATGTTGGCTGAACTGCAGAGTAATCACAAATTACGCAACTTGACATCGATAGTAAGTCAAACCCAAGTAGACGAGTGATTGACCTTGTGGATGACTTGAACCAGGGTTGGGAGCATTTCCTCACCATAGCTGCTGGACAATCAAGGCAACTCCCACCAACAAAGGCAGGTCATAACTCTCATTCAAGCTCAGCCTGGAATTCTCCTCTGCAAATGGATTGCTGGTTACCATCCTGGATGCCCGGAGAAGGGATCTCCCCAAGATGTGCATTTTCCTTTCTTTGTCTTGGTCATGGGGGAACCTCCAGCTCACTTGTTAAATACCCAGCAATAGACTCTGCATTCTCTTGAAACCACAAGCTTGTATCCCCATGCCAAAGTTTCCATGGTGAGAGAATCAGCGTCGACCTTCCCTGTTTCTCGCTGAATAGCCTTTCTGATAAGAAATGCAGTGAGGGACGATACACCTCTTCAAAAACACAGCGTCTGGCCCTACAAAAAGCTCCATCCTCCTGAAGGAGGCCTGAATGGAGGAAGATCAATCTCTGTCCAGATCACTTTGTCTTCTTTCTCAAAGCTCATGGGCATTTCTCAATTCCATCGTGTGAGCCAGTGCAGTTGATTCTGGACTACGTTTCTTGATCAAACCAACCTTAGGCAAGTCACAAACGATACATCGAGGAATTCTCAGAATTACCAAAGACTGACCTTCTCTCCCAGAATTGACGCCCATGACAAAGATAGATCCAGCACCAACCACGATCTTTGACTTGTACCAACGCAAATACCGCGAGCAAGCATCTTCGATTCTGGCTCCACTTGGAAGCTTGGATTCACGACTACACTCAGTCTGAGGACCATCGTGTTTACCAATAAGAATTCTCGGTGCTATTTGGCTGCCATGGCACATGAAAAGTATATGAAGTGCGATTTCATGCAGGCAATCACCGAAGCGTTTGCCTGGTTGAAGCTACGGAAGCCCAAATCTCGAGCTGCAAAAGCCTGGCAAAAAGAGCGAGAGCTGTGTCCAGTCTTCCGTCGAAGTGAGTATATGACATCAAAATAAAGAAAAGAAAAAACGGCTATATCACTGTCTACAGAGCTGCTGCGATATAAGTCACAAGTCAGGTGGGACGGCACAATTGAGTCAGCCGCCTTGGGGATTCTGATCCTCACTCACTCTCACCCTGGACTTCGAGTCTTGATGAGCTTTACAACAACTCCTGGATCTAGTCAATCTTGGCAAGACCCGATGATCTATATACGAAGTCTGTGTTTCTTCGGCGACACTGTCAACTTGGTACTGTGCCTCGTGTGTCAAACCACTGAGCCAGTTGGTGCGTGGCAGCTATCCTCGTACCTATGGTATTTTGATCAGACTCGGATAGCTGAGGGCAGCGTGGTACGTGTTTACACAATACGAACAGTCCAGAACCTCTCTCTCTCTCTCTCTCTCTCTCTCTCTCTCTCTCTCTCTCTCTCCCTCTGATCTCACGGGCAACGTGGACTAATTTGCGTAGACAGTTCTAACCCGGCCGTCGTACGTGAATGGCACCTCGAATTCCAGCCGAATACGTCATGCCGTGGTGATCTGTAGAATACATATGATTGTATGACTGGAGCGTACGAGGATATGTCATATATCCCTTACACATCGGGAGCTTCATAACTTTCGTTTTCAGCGGCCGATCAGATCCATGAACCGCAAAATCAGTGCAGAAAGCTTCTTTCACCTTGCTGGAGTTTCAAGGACTTTCACCGAAGAGACAAAGGTGCGGTTATGCAAATCTCTTGCTCCAGCCCAGGAAAGCGAGAATGTATGTATATCCCGGTGTCGATGGATGATACATTAGTACGGTGTTGTCTTGCAATCTTGAAACAACAAACATATCGATACTTTGTCATGGCCCGGAGGACATGCGGAATTCGTTCGACTGTGTGATCCCCCCTGCTTCAATTGTTATCGGACAATCACCTTGGTATCCTTTTTCCACTCCGAGAAAGGCATTGCACGACTACATTTCTCGTGGAATGAGCCCGTGCTGAGCTGAGTCCTTTTACCCCGTTTTTCCGACGGGTTTACCGCTTGAAGACTTCATATCTTGACATCATCGAAGTCTCACGACACCACGACGCGATTAGTACGCTTTCCCTGCTTCGGACGCTACTAAATGACACGTATATTATTGGCTCGAGACGCAAGACTATCACCTTCCAAGGTACACACACCGAGCAATCAGCCTCGGGTACCCCTGCAGTTAGTGCCACTCGGAAGCACTCGACTAGTTGACCAGAGAATCGTTGCCTTGTTCATGCGTGACTGGAGAGATATCCCTCTCGATTCGGTACCGCTGCTGTCCCCTTAAATAGCCGAAGGTGTTCCTACCGCAAAGACAAGTCACTTGCCTTGAGCCTTTGAATGAACTACAGATTTCAGTCTTCTACTGGCGAGGCAGAGGCAAAATTGTTTCGCGCCGAGGTTTTTCTTCCCGCCATAGCCTGCGTTGAGACAAGCCGGCTCTGGACTCGGTCTCAGATAGAGAATGACCGCATTCATGATTAGATACAAGCGATTCGTGTACGACGGAACATTTCACTTATGTCGACTACAAGGTGTCAAGTCTTCCATGTGTTGCTTTTGTGGGCTCCTCGCCTTGATGCTCATCTACACTCCCTTATCAAAAGTCTCGATGCGTGACTGCACGTCGTCTACTGTTTCCACATCGGGCTTGCTTAATGTTCATGGATGAGTGCGATTTCATCAGGGAGGGTATCACTATGAGGTTCTCTGAAACAGGCTAAGGATTTAGCCATGTACACTGGGTTCTCTCCGCATTAACAAGACGGTCTCAGCTACCTTGTTCTTCTACCGTCGTGTTAGACAGTACTCTTGTCCCCATAGAACCCCTGCCTGTTTATCAAATACCTACGCAATTTGTCAGTCTCAAATATTTCATATATGCTCACAGACCTTCCCTTCCTCCTTCTATCTACGTTGGTTCTCAGACAAGTATCTCTTTTACAAGACATTTCTCCGTCAAAAGATCCTGACTCTCCCACATAGTCTTGGCTTGTCAATGTTTGAACCTCCATCCCAACAAGCATGTGTGTCTGTCTATCTCCTCCTCCATCGTCCCTGGACAAAATCGGTTCAAGCAGCGAATCCGTGGCAAGTCTTCTACGGCACATGGGAGATCCTTCTGGTTCTCCAACCTATCGCTGTCCGAGCGACGAACGACCAGCCAAATAGCTTGGGTGAAGCATACACACTACAGTCAACGAGATTCATGCTAGACCATTGGGTCGCGCTTGCTGTACTGTACTGAGGTTGAGTCACAGACAGAGGCCGTTTCACAGACAGAGGCCGTTGTGAAATGTGCCTGCTTATGTCCATGTTGGACTCACCGTGCCCGGAGTCATTCTATGACTTCCGAACTCGTCTTGTGGAATGGAGATCCCATTTCCGTCAGCTTTACATCCAGCAAGAAACTCTGTGTTTTACATCCATGATATCTACAAATCCCGAGAGCCGAACTGTCACAGCGTTCGGTGGTAGCGAGACTTGAACATCATCCCCTTACTGTCCAATATCATGACAAGCCGGCCAATCTCGGAAGAATCTCTTACCACGAGCTCTCGGAAGATCTCTACCTTCTTCATCCGTGATTTCCTGTTCGCATATAAAACTCTGGTTCCTTCATCTCGAAGCACGGATGGTCTACGCTACGAGACAACGACTGATGTGCTGTGCTAAAACGGCCAGAACCTCGATATGACAGAAGCAACAAGAAGTTGCAAATGTCGGGTTGTACTTTCTCATATCTGCCAATGTCGAATTCGAGAGTGGTGCTTGGGCCCGAAGCTCTGCAGAGTCTTTGGGCTATCTTTTCTCCGAATCTCGTCCGCTGTTTCCAAAGGGAGAGACAAGCAAGAAACTCGAACGCAGAGAGACAAACGTCACCTCGATCTACACAATGACTCGGGGTTTATGAAATAAGGCACAATGCAAATGGTCTCTTCGCGTCTGGTATGCTGTCTCTTCTCGACATTTTTGCAAGTCAAATTCAACTCGATCCAATTTTCAATGGCGACTTGTAACGTGAACTTTACGACTGCTTCTTGGAACAATAATCGGATCAACATCATCTGCGGATCAAGAAATCAGATATCTTCATGGTGCTGCTCTGACGGTTGAGTTACAACAATCTGTTTATTTGTGTCCCCCTGCCGGATCCCAATTTCACAGGCCGAACGAATCTGCGACAACAAATACCGGAGAAACCTTTCGATTCACCGTGTCGTATCTATACCTGAGGACCTTTGTGTGTCTTGATCAAGTCTATGAAGTGATTTACACAGTTGTGCTGTGCCTTGTGCGTAGTTGCTCACCTCGAAGACGCGCTCATATTCACATCCAGCATGTGATCATCTCGAAGCCTAAGCTACATACCTCTGGCTAAAGTAGAACCTCTCACTCATGACAATCTCACCATCTCTGTGACCCTGTCTGTCCTGTCTTGGCTGGTCCTACTTACATCAGCCATCCAGATGTATTCGTTGACGATATGACAATATGTGCTCTTCCTTTACACAATACCTGCAATATTAATCATCTACACGTTTGATTCAGATGCGAATGCATATAGTTCGGCGGGAGAGCCCCCCCCCCCCCCCCCCCCCCCCCCCCCGCCAACTTCACTCGAGCAAACTAAACAACCGCGTTTACTAAAAGAAGAGGGCTTTTTAGGAAAAGCCCAAGTGGCTTTATTGTATGGATCATCCGTTCTAAAGATCCTTGGTCTTTGAGATTATCTGTCCTCCACAAGGATTGTCATCAGGCCCTGGCAAATAGGCCGTGATCAAGTAAAGCGTGCCCTCAATGAACTGAAGGGTGGAAGCCCAAATGCTTTCTTGCTATATCGGTTTTGTCGCTAGTCCTGGAATCTGCTCTTCTCAGGTGAGGGCATGGCTCACTAATTTCCAGTTGACGAGATCTTTGCTGGCATAGACTGGGGTCCCCGGCACAGACATGAACGAAGAAGTTGTGCAGAAGAACGTGTCGTCTTGCTCACATTATCTTTTGAGTGTATCTTTTACGTAGGAGGTAACATCGAAATAGTTCAAAATCGGGGGTGTGACTGACAATACCTTGCTGATTTGTTTCCATTCGCTCACTAGATCGACCAAGTATCAAGGTATACGCACTACGCACAGAGCTCACTACCAATCTATACAGAAAACCCCACCTCCGCACATGACATCCTATGATCCTACCACCCTGTGGCTGCGGCCTGCCTGTATTGCAGCACATCATAAGCAGGCTTCGGCAAGAGGAGCCACTCACCAGCAGTACAGAAAGCATCAAGATATACGTCAACGATGTCTAAACTCAAGGACATCATATAAGACTTACTACTCCTAGGCCGATGCTCTGATACAGAGATTTTTTGCGAAGGAATTGGTAATTACTTTCAGGGTTTACTAAGCTATTGCGTGCAAGTAGTGTGTACTTAGTTCAGCTATTTTTATAGCACGATCCACGAATCGCGATGGTTTAAGGGATTCTTTATTTAGAAATAGAGGATATTCTCGGTCGGTTACTTGATTCTTAATCTGAGGAAACTATCAACTCTTACCAAGCGACTCAGTCAGGTTACTAGGTATTCGCCCTTGGGATTAGGTACTAGGTCCTGTAGGCTGTAGCTGTTTAAGTATTTAGTCATCGAGTTGTTAGCACAGCCACGAAACAACTACTATCACTCCTACCTAACACCACCACCAACAATCCTCTCACAGTCCACTACGTTTTCGACCGAGCATGTCCAATTATACATACCCCAGAAAAATCAGGCGGTCATCGAAACGCAGTAACGCACAGTAGCAGTGTCCCACCACCACAGGCTGGACTAGGCTGTTTCGAACCCCCCTTGTTTGAAGTTCAGCGCGTAAGCTGCTCGTCCCCTCGGGCTCTTACTAGAAGTAGGACTAGGCGCACTCTTGTAGCCCGCCACACTACTGGCTTGCTGTCTTACTGGCTTGCAGCGACTAAATGAGACATCGGCTCGTTGCGTTCCGGCTTCTGATTGGGTTGCGCTGGCACAGCCCGTCGGGGTTCTCTCGAGCGTGTCTCATACTCGGAATTCCATACAATCACATATGATGATGGGAGATGTAGACGCGCGGGGATTCTTGCTTTCTTGGTCTACAAGGAAATGGAAGGTTTCATAGCAATTGCAGTGGCATTTGGCACGAAAATCTCTCGGCAGAGATGGCATAAATCTATGGGCATGAAAAAGGTGAATAGGTCATAAGGGCACAGCGCCACTGGGGGCGTGCCACGGGTTCAGAAGCGTGTTATTCGTAAGCGACAGAATGGGAATCAATGAAAAGGAAAAGGGGGCCTGAATCCAGAAAACCCAAGGTCCTCTGGAATAGGAAAGAAAAAGGAAGAGTCAAGAAAAAATTGACTGAGAATGGAAGAAAAAAAAATAATTCAAAAGAGACAAGTCATCCAGACTTGTAGAAGGGGAAAAAAAAGAAAAAGAGAAACCCGCCCAAGGGGGGTGGACCAATCTGCCAGAGATTCTCGAATCATTCCCTCACTGGGAGGAGAGTGATGAAACACTTTTTTGTCGTTTATGAGATGGTCTTCCTAAAAAAAAAGGGGGGGGGGAAGGGAGAGGGAGAGGGAGAGAGAGATCCTGGAGGATTGCAAGCGCATGCGATCGACGCAGCAGCGACCCAATCTTAGTTGATGTACCACTTGACACCAGAGACGCGACCAGCGTTCAGGGATCCAGCAACGGCCTCGAAGAAGGCGCGCGACAGGTCAATGGAGGTGTTGTCGCAACCCATGCACTTGTCCACAACGGTACCGGTCTTGGTGACACCATTGTACTCGACGGTGACGGACTTGCCGCAGTCACTATCCGACATGATACCGTGAGGCAGAGCAAGGACAAGCTCAGTCAGACCATCGTTCGTGGTACCGCAGGAGCTGGGGTTGGTCATGGTAGTCGCCGTGTCGTAGTAGGTAATGTCACCGATGCAGGGAGAACCGGAAGAGCAAGCACCGTTGTAACCCGAGTTGGCGGCCGCCTTGGAACTTGACTGGCCAGAGGATCCAGTAGATCCAGTGGCAGCGGGGGCAGCAGAGGAAGACGAGGAAGAGCTGGACTCGACGGCAGGGGCGGCAGGAGCAGCGGGGGCCTGAACCACGGGGGCAGCAGTGGTGGCGGCCGGGGCTTGCTCAACGGAAGAGGTGGTAGGCACAGCCTGCTGGGTGGTGGTGGTGGTGGTGGTGGTGGGAGCAGCCGAGGTCTCCTGCTTGGAGGCCGGAGGAGCAGGGGCCTGGGACTGAACAGGAGCCTGAGCAGCCGAGGTCACCACGGCGGCAGCGGCAGAGGTGGTGGTCGCGGCTGCGGCGACGGGCACGACGGTGGTCTGCGCGTGCTGACCGGGGTAGATGGTGGTGGTGACATCGACAGTCTCCCAGACGACATCGGTGACGGTCTCCCAGACGACGACGCGCTTGTTGAGAGGAGCTGCAAAGCCAGTCATGGCGAAGAAGGCGCCAGCGAGGGCGAGAGTCTTAGACAGAGGGGCCATTGTAAGGGAAGGTGTTTTGGTGAAGAGACTCAAAAGGACTGAAGATGGGAGTCGTCAGGTGCTGTGTAGCCGTGAGTGGTGGGTGGGTGGAATGTCGTAAAGACGGTGGATGATCGTCGCGAGACTTTGTGAGCTGGTTCTTATCTCGAGTTGAGAAGGCGTGGACGGATCAAACTGCACGGCAGTGAATGTGAAAGGACAGTGACACTCGAAAGGAACGTTGAGTGTGTGGGTAGAGGGAGTGTAGACTGTAGAGAACGCAAACGGTGAAGGAGTGACCGTTTTGGTGAGTTGTGGATAGAAGGGAAGGAGTGACTCTGGGGGTGGAGGGATTTAAATAAATTGCGACGGCCGTGCGGGCGATCGAAGCGGGTCCTCGAGAGAGTTGAGCGTTCAGCGTTCAGCGTTCAGCGTTCAGCGTTCAGCGTTCAGCGTTCAGCGTTCAGAGCCACCCACTTGGGGGGTGTAGAAAGTCAGGAACCTGGACACGTCCACCACGTAAGCACGTCAGAGTTCAAGTCTGTGGCACTCCCGGTGCCTGGCCCGTTTACCAGTCAAAGAGGCCCAAAGAGGCCCAAAGAGGCCCTGAATGGACCCCCGACAGAACCCGGGAAAAAAGACGCCTCAGGAACCACCCGACGCGATGGAAAGAAAAGAAGCGAAAAAAGAAAATTTCTTAGTTGACCCACCCCGTTCTTCTCCGTCGCAATGGGAGGAAGATTCGTCTTTTTGGTTCTTCTCTTTTTTTGTCCTCTTTTTTCCTTTTTTTGATCCCAGGTTCTGGACTTTCTTCGGTAGTCAGGGTTCTCGACAGTTGACAGTTCGACACTGCAAAGAGTCTGCCCTTCCGGTTCTCGGAATACTGACCGATGTATTAAATCATGAGACGCTTCCAGTCCCAGACTCCCATAAGTACATAAGTTACTCCCTACTATACCTAGTACATAGTACATACACTAGTTATCTATCATAGTTAGTCTGCTCCGTACTGTAGTACCTCTGTAGAGCCCAGAAAAGCGTCCCCCAATGCGAAAAAGCCCTGGACTGTACTCAACACTCATATGGTGACTCGCTGAAATGAATCCCCGGATCGCACCGGACAGGCCACTCCCTTGTTGGTTGCATTCGACTCGTTCGAATCAGTCGCGACAGGTTCGATTCCCGTGTGACGACTCTGACGACTCTGACGAGCCACGACGGACCGCCTTACCGCGTGTCCGCTGGGTACCTGGCATCGGACGCTGCGGAAAGGCTCCAGACGGGGTCGTGATTGGCACTTTCGCCGAGGCGCCGCAAGATGGCGCAGGGGTCTTTACCAGTCGGGCGCTCATTCAGCGGAGGGTCTGATCCACTGCGCATTGTCCAGTCAGATGGGTACCGTACTCAGTAGTACTAGTCCCTAGTCACCACTCACCACTTGGTAGGGTACAGTGTTCACTGTTCGCTGTGATGATGGCGTTGGGAAAGCGTCTGGGCCCGGCTATCTCAGCCGAGCGGACGGTGGCCAAGTGGTGTTGGATCTTGGATTTTGCTCCACCGGGGGGCAATTGGCAGGATGCGGAATCTTTAGCCTCTCGTCTCTCTCTCTCTCTCTCTCTTCCTGATGTACTGGAGACTGAGAGTGGGCGTAGGATATCCACTCGACTCCAAAAGAGGAGCAAAAGTCTAGAAGAGAGCGAAGAAAAGACATCATGAGAACATGTGATTGCTCAGGCACCCTAGATCCCCCCTCTTCTGGCATCCATGCTAGAACGTGTTAGGGAACCATCATTGACGCAAGAGTCTACTGGTCGAAGAGGTATCTTAGTACCTTGAGTACCTACTAAGATGGATCAAATATCATATGCACAACAAGTACCAGATACTTTCTCAAGCTTGTACCCTCAGTCCTCTTACTTAGTACTACCTCCTGTCCCATCCGCCGTTTCCGTGTCCATCTGCCCGGGCGAGACCCGAAAGATCGCGACACCACCACACAGCGACAGAATCTGGTCCTGTCAAGGTACTCTCTGCAACAAAAGTTGCAGAGAGCGATACTTAGCCGGGCAACCAAGAAACCCACACAGAGATGTCTCTGTCCAACTTTCGGGGACTTGTCCTTGCACACAACGTTGTGTGCCCTCCAGAGGTCTGCGCTCTGCACTCTGCACTCTGCAACGTACAAGCGCGATCCGGCGAAAGGCTTGCTCTTCCTTTTTCCCCGGGACCAGATGTAGGACAGTGGTGAAGGAGGAGTTGGGCAACACGGCATCTGTATCCGTTGATGCCCAGAGCACGAACTGAATCAAGAATCCCTTGACAAGTGACATGGTGATGCCAGAGTCTGGGACGCTCAGGGCCATGCCACGTCGGACTTGAATCGGTTGAGTTGGAAATGTATGATAGCACTGACTCGACAAGTACCGAGTCACTGAGTAGTAAGAGGTACTAACTAACTCACTGGTGAAATACTATACCCCCTCGTAGACTGCTATCATGTTATCCTGCCTTGTAAGATACCTGGCGTATCGTCTGCAGTCAATGAAGATAACCACTGCCCTCTAACTACTCAGTAGCATTAGTCAATGGAGAAGGGTACTCATAGTACAAACTCGTTAAATATGAAGGGATGGTAACTCAGGCTACCTACCTTCCTATATTGGTAGGGCTTAGTCCCTACGACTCAGAGTAAGATTCAGTAAGACTCAGTACTAAGTAGTATTATATACTCACCCCTCACCCCTCCACAAACTAAGTTACCAGCTGCTACCTGATCCGACGATTCTCCAAGTCCCCGACTCATCCCTGCTACAAGGCTACAAGGCTGCAAGGCTGCAAGGCTGCAAGGCCATCAGACATGTCACTTCGAACTTTCAAAGTCTAAGCGAGACCCACCGGCTCGGTATGCGGAAAACATTTGCACCGTATTCAATCCACTCATTCATGATCCACCTTCGGTCGCACTGCAACTGAAGGTTCAAAGGTTACAACTCTATCGTAGTAGTCCACCACCAGGCTCTAAGAGTCCAGGAGTCCAGACTCCAAAGTGGAAAGTAAAAAATTAATCCCGCAAAAGATATCCATGACGCGAACGTCAGACACCCACTGCTAGAGAAAATGAACTACCCGGCGGTGTTTCCCCGTGCCGTGCCATGACCAGATATGTTCGTCCTGGACGTCCTGTACTGTAGGACTTGGCGGTCGCGGTCGCGGCCACCTGGGTAATGGCATAGCTGCCCAAACTTGCTCTGCTAACCTACTCCAACTTCCAAGTCAAGGTAGAAGCTTACTAGTTGGTAAATAGTTCATAAGTTGGTTCAAGTGAGTGAGTAATTACTAATACTAGTAATGGTAGTAGGACTGGGTAAATATACACTGAATAGTGAATAGGGAATACTAATACTAGTGAATCGTGATTCTAGTAGTGAATACCGAACAGTGAAGTTTGTGAACCCTCACACTAACACTAATGGTCTAGGCCCTCCTGCAGAACCACAAAAGTCTGGAAAAGGCTACTAATTCTCAAAACTTACGTCAAGCACGATTCTCAATCGAGAGCATAGACGAGGATATACATCTATAGCGATACACTATTGCGGTTTGTAGTTGTACTGACGCGGTGACGCCAGTTGCAGTATTTGGCTAGCTGGTAGCCTCGTAGGACGCAGAGTATATCTCCTCTTCACCGGGCAGTGGGTACTAGAACACGTCGTCGGTGGGTTTATTCTTGTTCTTCTCACGCGCCGAGCCAGTCGGAATGACGGCTGAAGGGTCGGGGTGGCAATACAAATAGGAAGTGGAGGAGGGGGAAAAAGTAGAAGGTTGGAGAGATTGGAGACGGGACAGGGTTGACCGGTACACGTCGCACGCCATACAGCTCTTGGGGATACAGATCATCAGATGCATTCGGACACTGCGTCGGTGTGTAGACTGTGAAATGCCTGTGTAAGGTGTAGATATAATGACATGAGAAAGAGGCGGGGTAAAGTGTAATGAGTGCAGTACTGCTGTTGGTCTAGAGCGCGAATTCAGTCAGACTATAGTCATGAGACTCATGAATAACTTCTACAATGGCAGTAACTAGTCATAAGGACTGCCTATTTAATAGCAAATAGACGCTTATCTCAGGATTCAGGAACGAAAATCGTTCATTATTCATACTCGTACCTCTACTATGGCCGTACGTAGCAGCATCCGTGAGGTGGACACAGTACACTCAGTACCTGATAGGAGTATATCAACAAGGGACACCTGAGGTATTCTAAAGCTATATTCCTCAATTCGATGTATCTTCCCTCTTCTTCCCCGCCAAAGTCATTGGAATCGAGCCCAGAGTCAGAGTACTCCATGAATCCACCTTTACTTGTAGATGTACAAGAGCGATTTGAAATACATCAATTGCCATACAGAAGACATATATTGGACACGCCCGATTTAAGACCAGACGGAGAGTATAATCCATCATCTAGTATACGCTACCTAGTACCTACATACTTCAGATCAAAAGGATAGCCCTGATAGGCTATTGCGACTAGATGGACTTAGAGACTCTTCCCTTTCAGGTAATTATATGGCCGGGGAAATCCATTCACCCTATTCAATGGCAATAGTGGTACTGCGCCGAGGTACGTACCTAGGATACACCACATGGCTCCATACATACTATCGTCTAAAAACTATGTAGGTATTGTGTGTCTTAAAGTCCAGATAATAGATTACCCACATAGCCTGTACTAGATACATAAGCTCATAAGATAATATCTGGGACACGAAAGCTTATCTATTTCAAAGCGTTGAGGTCATAGACTACTTGGATAAAGTCATAATCTAAGTGTGGGAAATTGTTGGCAATATTTAGTAGGACGGCCTACACGGCGCGTTTGGAGAAGGCTTTTACTATACACGACTACGTGCAGTAGCAGCAGTACATACCAGGAGAGTGATTGAGTTCATTTGGTAATTGTGAGTATTAAAGTCTCAGATAAGTACCACAGACTTCCTGTGCCAGGCTGCCAGCATCCATCTTATGGATAGTACAGTACTAGTAAGACTCGGTAATATGTGCTAGTGGACCTATTTTCGCATCTCAACGAGAGCTACGACTAAGTAGTTTGTACTGTGTAGAGTGTAGCCACTGTAGCGTACATCACTTCATAACCAAGTCCACCACCTCAGATCTGGAACTCACCTTCCAACTCTCTCGTAACAACCCTAGACAAAACCTAAACTGCCCGTCACCAAGAGCCCTCTAAAAGCGTAGTCCAGCACTTCAGCACCGAAACCAAACACCGCCACTTTTATCTATATTCATCCACTCGGAAGGAAGGAAAGAAAGAAAGAAACTTACCGGACTCCAACAGCACTAACATTAACGCCTTCTCTCACCCCTCCATCCATGGGCTCTCAAAACACTCTAGTATACCCTCGGTCCCTGACTTCAAAAAACTCGCCCTGACTACTTACTTTCCCAGGGACGGCCAATCGAAGGCGACCTCCTACAACACACCCCATGTCTCCAGGCAAACGTGGCCCCCTAATCACCCGAGTCCGCTCGTTGTTGTCCCGACCCTGCCGGGTATTCATCCTTGCCACGAGGGCCACGAACCAGGCAGTTCGTCTCCCTGTGGTCATGCGTCCATGGAAAGCATCAATATGACTGTTCTGAAATCAGGAGAAAGGACCCGACTTTCGTTTCTATGGACCCTTTATGCCCGATGCCGGAGCATGACGACAAGCACGAGGATTTAATGTAAATTCACTCGTCAACCAAGAGGAGCATCACCCATGGCGTGAGTGAAGAGGCCCCTTCGAGCGGGACTTCTAGAATCCCCGGATAAAGGTGTCATCGCCGGATTTGGACCAAGTCCCCGTCGCGGTTCCGAACTGCATTCGCGGCTGGGCTGGAGGGATGGATGATGGATGGATGTGGCGACTGGCGAAAGGCGAAAATCGGAGAGGGCCGGTACCTCAGTGACCGTGGATACATGGGGGGTTTGGAATTTTCGAAGAGGGTGTGGACTGTGGAATCTGGGTAAAATGGGCGGAATGTTTGGAGAGACAAATTGGAAGAATGCTGAATTGAACCCCTTTGCGGTGGAACGTCGGGCTTCCAATGTTTGTCCAGGTTGACTGGTGAAGACTGATAAGGCGTGGTAGAATCTAGCAGCACTGTCCTGCGACTGTAGTAAGTTAGCAGGATCGTCACTGTGGTCGCAGCTAGTATGTAGTAATGTACTGAATAGTGCCAACAGCTAGGATTGACCTACCATTTCCGATGCCAAAACTAATTGATATTGGATCTAGATCAATCGTCAGTAATAACACCTATCAAAGCCCTCAATGTTATTCCCAATAGAACAAATACAGTCAACTTAAACAAAGGTTTATCGAAATCTACTGATAAGAATCCTAGTACTAGGGACCCTTGTCTATACCATCTTAGTGGAGCGGAGAAATAGAACGACCTGGAATGAAATAGGCAGAGGATAAAATAAATGACACCCTCACGTCAGGCTGAGCTCAAAAGACTTTGAACATTGGAGCAATCTCAGCCTCGATGAAAAATGAAAAACGATCAGTCTCATAATATGAATACATTTAAATAACAGTAACCGGTGCAAACAAAAGAGTATCAAAATGTAGTCTGAGGGAGAAAGAAGGACCAAAAAACAGCCCATAGACTAACAGCATTCCGAGCAAAAACAACTATAAAGGGGGATCAAGCATGACAATCGTAGATGAAAATAGACAACAAAATTCCGACAACCAATTTTTCGAAAAGCCCCAACACCTGCCCAGGCTCAGCCCTGGCACATGATGCAAGCCTCCTTGTTCTCAATGCTGCACTGAAGGACCTTGTCTGAGAAAATATCTTCCTCGGACTTGCCCTCAGTCTCAGCCTCCGCTTCCGTGGTCTCTTCGGACCCAGCAGTGGCAGCGGCAGCAGCAGGAGCAGCAACAGGAACAGCAGACTCAACCACAGTGCGAGAGCTCTCGACACTGACGGCGGCCTTGACAGGAGGAGACACGTCGGAGATGGTGCGAGGCACAGCAGAGTAAGCGGATGTGCCACCTGCAGCACCGCGCTTCTTGAGGGCATTGTTGGAACGAGCAACATTGGTATCCTCGACCTTGAGCTGCTCCTGATCGACGGTGAACTGGATAGGAGCAGAGGCCGCCATGGTGCGAAGATAGTACATGCCAGTCTTGAGACCCATCTTCCAGCCGGCAAAGTGCATGGAAGTGATCTTGCCCATAGTGGGCTCCTTCATGTGGATGTTGAGCGACTGGGACTGATCGATGAAAGCACCACGATCAGCAGCCATCTGAAGGATGGAACGCTGAGAAATTTCCCACACGGTCTTGTACAGAGACTTGATATCAGCGGGGATGTTGGGGATATTCTGAACGGAACCACCGTCGGCAATGATGCGGTTCTTCATGTTGTCAGACCACAGGCCAAGGTCGACAAGATCCTTGAGCAGCCATGGGTTGACGACCTGGAACTCTCCAGCCAGTACGCGGCGGGAGTAGATGTTGGAGGTGTAGGGCTCAAAGCACTCGTTGAAGCCCAGGATTTGCGAAGTACTGGCAGTAGGCATGGGAGCGACCAACAGACTGTTGCGAACACCAACCTCGGCGATACGGGCCTTCAGAGCAGCCCAGTCCCAGAGGTCAGTAGGGGTACGGTCCCACATGTCGTACTGCAGGATACCTTGAGAGACGGGAGAGCCAGGGTAGGTCTCATAGGGGCCGTTCTTGGCAGCCAGCTCAGCAGAAGCAGTCAAAGCACCGTGGTAGATGGTCTCGAAGATTTGAATGTTCAGCTGCTTCGCCTCAGGAGAGTCAAATGGCAGGCGCAAAGCCAGGAAGGCATCGGCCAAACCGTTGACACCAAGGGCGATGGGACGATGGCGGAAGTTGCTCTTCTTGGCTTCGGGGACGGGGTAGTAGTTGATGTCAATGATCTTATTCAAGTTGCGAACGAGAACCTGAACAACCTCGTGCAGCTTGCCAAAGTCGTACTCGCCACGAGCAGCATCCACGAAGGAAGGGAGGGCCAGAGACGCCAAGTTGCAGACAGCGACCTCGTCGGGGGCACTGTACTCGATAATCTCGGTGCACAGGTTGGAGCTGCGGATGGTACCCAAATTCTTCTGGTTGCTCTTCTTGTTGCAGGCATCCTTGTAGAGCATGAAGGGATTACCGGTCTCGGTCTGAGCCTCGAGGATGGCGTACCAAAGCTTCTGAGCCTTGATGGTCTTGCGGCCACGGCCCTCCTTTTCGTAGCGCTCGTACAGGGCATCGAACTCGTCACCGTAGACATCAGCCAAGCCAGGAGCTTCGTTGGGGCAGAAAAGGGTCCATTCGCCGTTGGCCTCGACACGATTCATGAAAAGATCGGGCGTCCACAGAGCGTAGAACAAATCACGAGCGCGGACCTCCTCCTTGCCGTGGTTCTTGCGGAGATCGAGGAACTCGAAGACATCCGCGTGCCAAGGCTCGAGATAGATAGCAAAGGCACCAGGACGCTTGTTACCACCCTGATCGACGTAGCGGGCAGTGTTATTGAACACACGAAGCATGGGCACGATACCGTTGGAAGAGCCGTTGGTGCCACCAATGTAAGATCCGGTGGCACGAATACGGTGGACGTTCAGGCCAATACCACCAGCAGTCTTGGAGATCATGGCGCAGGTCTTGAGAGTATCGTAAATACCGTCAATGCTGTCCTCCTTCATATCAACCAAGAAGCAGGAAGCCAGCTGGGGCTGGGGAGTAGAGGCGTTGAACAGTGTAGGAGAAGCGTGGGTGAAATACTTCTGAGACATCAAATGGTATGTCTCGATAGCCTTCTCGATGTCCTCGCCGTGAATACCGACAGCAACACGCATCAGCAAATGCTGGGGCCGCTCAGCAACATTGCCGTTGATACGGAGAAGATATGAACGCTCCAGAGTCTTGAACCCGAAGAAGTTGTAGTTGAAATCGCGGTCAAAGACAATGGCGGAGTTGAGCTCCTCAGCGTGCTTCATCACGATTTCATAAATGTCCTTTGAGATCATGGGCGCTGCCTTGTTGTTTTTCGGGTTCACATAGTGGTAAAGGTCGTCGATTACCATAGAGAACTGCTTCTTCGTCTGCTTGTGGAGGTTGGAAACGGCGATACGAGCGGCCAAGATGGCGTAGTCAGGGTGTGTGACGGTCATGTATGCAGCAGTCTCGGCAGCCTGATTGTGAAGTTACTCGTTAGTCTGCTTTCCCTTTCTCTTGAACGTCGGGGTTGCCTCTGTGAAGGAGTGGCGTGTGGAACTCACCAGGTTGTCCAGCTCAATGGTGGTGACACCCTGGTACACTCCAGAGATGACCTTTTGTGTGATAGCCGCAGCATCGACATGCTCGGGATCGAGACCGTAACAAAGTCTGGAAACACGAGCAGTGATCTTATCGAACTGCACGCGTTCCTTGCGTCCGTCTGTGATTTCACGCCGTCAGTATTTTGCCTCGTCGTCAGTGGCAACAGTCGCGGCCACATAGGATTCCACGTGGAGATTGTGTTGTTCTGTAACCAGTGATGAACCACGATGGTCCTGGATGTCTAGATGCTTACCTCGCTTGTACACGAACATGGTGGAATATGAATATGAGAAGAGGTCGGAAGGACGAGGAGGAGAAGGATTCAGGGACAGGGGTATAGAGGGCAGTCAAAAGAAGATGTAGATTAGTTGTGAAGTAGAATGAGGGGTTGTATGGTATTGAAGAGAGAAGGAGGAGCGAGGAGTGATTTTGGGAAGTGGGATGAGAAGGAAAGAAAGCAAGCCGGAGGGGCGAGGATATTTGGCGTCGCCTGGGGAGACGCGTTTGTGCTCGTGAATTTTCGCGTTGGACCTGTTTCGGCTCCCATGAAAGTCCACTTTAATTACCATGCTGAGTAATATTGTTTTCTGGATCGCGCTTGTCACGTGAACACGCGACGATGGGTAACATAGGACAGACATCAAGGCACCTCAATTGGCTTGATTGTCCGCAATCCTGTGATTCCATAATTACAGCGAAACATGTCGTCTGGGCGAGCATTAGCGCCGATTTCGTCGCCTAAGTCACGACTATTTCGGCTACTAGCCCGAGGTGGCAACTAACCTTGTGCTAACTGCTAACCTCCCTTCAGTGTGAACAGAGAGAGTACGACAGTGTTCAATAACAATATTCGATGATCAATTTGCTCGATTCACGTTAAATGTGCAGTGACACTAGCTTAAATGTGTGAAGCTGGCCAGAACGATATGCATGTAAACAGGTCACGAAATGAGAAACACTTTGAGCGATGAATACATCCACAGCAAACAACATAACACTACTACACCCGAGAACCCATGAGACTATCTTCAGCAGCAGGCGACTCGGCGACAACCTAAAGCAAAGCGGCAAAGCCCACAAAGACAGCAGCAGCGACGGCTGAGCCCTGAAGCTTAAGACCGGCGGCAGCGTTGAGGGTGCCAACGGGAGGGTCGGCGGAGGAAGTGCCAGAAGCGCCGGAGCTGGAAGAGCTGGAGCTGGAGCCGGAGCCGGTGGTAGAGCCAGAGCCAGAGGTGCCGGTAGCAGTGCTGGATGCGACAACACCTGCAGTGCCGCTGGCAGAGCCCGAAGCGGTGGCAGTGGCGGTGATGAAGCCGGAGGAAGAGCTGGCAGTGGAAGTGTCTAAATTTGGGGTTTAGCCAGACCAGTCAAATTATTCGGCCTTGCCAAGAGAGGGGATAGACGAGCGAAGCGAGGGCACGGAATAGATGATCGGGCTGCTGATGTTATCTGTGAAGGAATCTCTTACCGATGCTGACAGTGTAGCCGGCGGCCTTGCAAGTGCTGGCGTAGAACTTGAGAGCGGCTTCACTGTTGTCACCACACTTGTCTCCAATCTTGGAGACGAGATCCTTCGAGCCGGATCCGCACAGGGTCTTCATATCAGCGGGGTTCTGCGAGTGGCTAGATGGAACAGCTGTCAGTCATTTAAAGTTGCGATCGGAATGTTGATCGAGCTGGAAGGGAGCCAGGGCGAGTATCCACCGTCGCTCCGTGACAGCAGACAAAAGCCACACGTACCCGACAACCGACAAGAGACAGGCGGGAGTCTGGCCAGCAGAGACGAGGTTGGCCAAGGCGACACAGGCCAGGGCAAAGGTGGACTTGTTGATGAACATGACGATAGAGACTGGAGATCGAGAGATTGGGAGCTGAAACACGGAGACGAGATCGCACAGCGATTCAGATGAAGAATGATTCTTGGGAAGAGTTGAGTCGAGAGACCGTGGAAGTTGGATGTCAAAGAATGTGAGGGATGGTTGGCTAAAGAGCGACTGGAGGGTTTGCAACTGTGAAGGAGTGTATGCAAGATGGAAGGTAGAGAGAATGAGTGACGAAGGGGAAGACTTGGGTCGAGTCTCCAAATAGTCCTTCAGGGTAGAAAAGAATCAGGGTCCCCCCTGACCAAATGGGCGAATTGTGGGTCACCCTGACACCCTCGTGAGAAGCGGCAGGATGTTTCGGGGCCAATCAGGACGATACCGCAGATGGCCCGCTTCGAGGATGATTTGCAACGCCCTTGTTTACTTTCATAGGAGGACTTCAATTGTGTCGCATACAATCAGGATGCTTTGGGATTTAGCTGGCCCTCGAATCCTACAACTATTAATACTGTTTTTGGCGAAATCGGGGTCGACCGCTGCTTGGCCGTTGGATGTTAGTGTACTTGTACACTGTTGACTGTAGTCTGTACCCCATGTCCCTTTCCCAACGCGGCTTAGTGTCAGGCACCCGCACGCCCAGCCGGTCAGGTACCGTGGAATCGGCGGACCTCGCGGAGTCCTGATATCTTGTGTTGATGCTGATCAACAGTACTGGACGTGGACAGCAGTAAAATGTAAATAGGTAGAAAAACAAGTTCCAAAAAAACTGGTTTAAAAGATACTCTATGTCTATGCAATTTGTATCTGTGTCGATTGAGCCCGCTCAGAAAGCTCCAATCATAATGACGACTCTACTCTGAGCCAAGGTATTCGACTTGGACTCTCAGAGCTCGACTCGATACGTGAGCACTGTTAAACCTCGTACCAATACCATTTGCACTAGCCTCAACTATCTAAAACCGATTGATCTTGTTCAAGCTCCGTGAACGGGTACTGGAGTTCAGGTGATGATGAGTGGCAGCGCCGCCACATGGATGCCACGACTACTGCGCTCGATCGACAAGTTTTCGACCTCATTGACGAAAGCCTCATTTTCATCTTACTGGTTCAGGAAGTCTCATAACGTACTGTGTTGGCTCTGTGTAGTCAGTCTCGAGACCGTCCGATTTTGGAGACCCTGAATGTCGTGAGAATGACCGTGCAAAGTCATAACAGGGAAGCCTGGAATCTAACAGAAGTGATGCGTTAATTGTCAATCCTAGCCGTAAAAATATTATCCCTCTGAAGGGCTCTGCTGGACACGACATCCTTTTACCATTTGGGATGGTTCCTCGACACGCATTTGATACCTGGACATGGTCATACATCAAGTCACCAATCATAGGATTACGTCCAGTGAATCTTCTTCACAGTCTCTCCCAGGTCGGATCGTAAATACTCGAGACCACCTCCTGCACCGGTAATCGGTGATCCACAATCTCCTGTCCATTCACCAGATCATTCTCCCGAGCCCGCAAATCTGCCTGCGCTTCATCCGCCGCGATCCCGGCCTTGATATGTCTTCTTATCAACCTCTTCCTGGCAACCTCAAAGTCCACATCCACGAACCACAACTCGTCCATCAGCTCAGCGACCTCATTCCACGGCTCCTTATTCAAGCTCAAGTAGTTGCCCTCGAAGAAAATCACCCGCACTGTGGAGGGTATTGCAATGTCGTCCTCGACGGGGTCCTTGACGGCGTGGTCGAAGCTCGGTGCATAGATAGGTCCCGATGTAGACGTGAGAGGTTCGCGCAGCGCCCGCACGAGGGTGAGGAACTTGGTCGCATCAAATGTGAATGCGGCGCCGCGGCGGGCAAAGGCATGGTCTGGGTCGGGCATTGCGGCCAGTTGGGCCCGTGTGAGGTGGTAGCCGTCCATTGGGAGAGATGTAGCGATGGGCATGTTGGCGGATGGATTTTTGGATTGGTAGATCTGATTTATACGGGTGGACATTGAGCGGGCGAGTTCGGTCTTGCCGGACCCGGGGATGCCACTGACGGCGATGAGGAGGCGAACGTTATCTGGGATCGAGCAGTATTTGGCTGCGCGCAAAAGGGCATAAAGTCAGTGATGAAATTCAGGATCAGATCCACCAAAAATTACCGATCTCAGGTGCGCGAAGAGCCTAGGGCTAGCGGTAGCTCCCTCCTCTGGGGTTAGACACGACGAGGGATGGTTGATGGCGATTGAGCATCTGCCGGAATCACTTACCCCACGTTTTATTGACCAGACGATCGACCTGCTCGTCCATGATCTTAGACGTCGCCGAGGAGCGAGCAATCTGCTCAGCTCCTGTTCCAACCTTGCTTGAAGACACTTTGGGCGACTCGAAATAACAAGCGGGGTAAGGGTCGGTGGCTCAATGAGCGGGGATATCAAGCGTCGCGTGTTGGTGCGGAGGTAACACGGGTGTCGCCAATGTCAGTCAGTCAAGACGAAACAGCACTGAGGACGGTTAGGTAGAGACTCGACTGGGCAACAAAGTCAATTCGATGCTTATGTGTAGGGAGGGGAGTTGTTTGTGGTGAGATTGTTCGACTGAATCAAAATGCATCTGCTGGTGCTTGTGCTTCACGATGTTCCGCAGCGGGGCCATTCCGGACTGATCTTTGGTGGGGACTGCTGTGCTCCGAGGCCCCGACTGGAGGATTTGGTGCTCATACGTCACCCGGTTCTTCTAGAATAAATCCCGGCGCGAGACTGAGATTGTGTCGGCCACAATTCCAAGGCAACAACTAGTTTTACGTCGCCAACATCACGATAAGCTGTAGTTGAGTGGTGTCCGTGTAGAAAAGTTAAACCGATCTCATGCGATATCCTAGACAGTCGAATCTGGCATTGCCTGTGTTGAGCAATAAGTGATCAATAGCATTGAATTCCGCGCGCTCCTGGAGAGTAGCTAAAGGAAACGTTCGTCACGAGGCTGCAAACAACTTGAGGCGCTTCTGTCAAGTTACGAAAACGAAATCAGTAGCTGCCAACTGTCAAACACGCACACAGACACACATGTAAACAATAGACACACATGTAAACAATAGACACACGCGCCCATTTCAAACAAGACACGTGCCAAAACATCCACGAGCTTTCCGAAATATGAGACAGAGGTCCCTGGACCTGAATGGCCAGCACATTCGCCATTGTGGCAACCTTTTTGAAGACATACACCAGGAGAGAATAAGACAGAGTGCCCCGTCAGGGTCATGCAAATGTAGAGGCAAAGGAAAATGAAGTGCGAATCCGAAAAAGGAGGTTGGAAAGGCTTCCCTGTACCTTGACGCCCACTGGGGAAACACAGCGCCTTCGCTGAAAGTGGAAAAAACGCCCCATGCTTGACTCGAACTGGAAGATATCAGACAGAATAAATTAACAATATGAATTGATGGACGGGCCACAATGACACCCGGCAAGATTATCGAGATTCCGAGGATGGTCCCGCGTTGTCAGTGTGGTCAGTGGTACCGTCGAGATCGCGACCTAAGATCCGCGAGAGACCAGCTGCAGCCCACCAATCGTCGGGAATATCCTCGCGACGAGCCAATCGATCTAAGATCGCTCGCATTTGTTGTAAATCAGGAGATTCAGAATCAGGAATAGAGGATGTAATGTTCGGGACGGGCGGGTGATTGCTGATGGTTGCATGCTGCAGGGCCGCAGCGTGCAGACGTGCATTCCGGTGGGCCGGTCGTTCTCCATGGTACGGACCATAAGTGCGACGATGGTAAGGGCGATTGGGATTGGGACGATAGTCATCTTCATCATCAGAGGAGGACGAGGAAGGTTCACATCCAATCTGATCGCTAAAATCGTCATTGAGCCCCTGGGCGCGGCGATGTGGCGGATAGTGTGTTGGCCTTGCCGAAGATGAAGAAGCCATGTGCAACGAGGGACCATCAACAGCACCTGGCGCGACCGTGGTCAGAAAATCATCCCAGGGGTCGGTTTCGCCGGTGCCGTCGGCGCTTGGACTTCGCTGCCGGTCTCCGAGACCATCGACCGGGGGATCGCGAGGACCAATGCCTGACGACAAGCCTCGAACATGAGGGCGATGGTTCCTCGGCGAGGGAGCAATGGGTGTGGTTGAGTCCTCAAGACGGCTGCGATGACCACTGGGGCGCACGGAGGGGACGGCGGTGCCTGGGGGCGGAAGGCGGGACGATGAGGAATGGGGCGAGGACGACACGCGATGCGACATTGCAGGCGCAAAACCTGGGGTTAGCTGGACTCGCGATGGGTGCCGCGAGTAAGCCTCGGCTCGGGCAGCTAGAAAGTCGGTTACTTCACGAGCATCTCGAGAGCGTCGGCTGGCCTGCTCGTTGAGAATCTGCGATTCAGAAGGGGAGGTAGGAGAGGCCAGGGCATCACGACGACTGGTTTCCAGGTCCATACCATCTTCGCTGACCCCCAAGTTCAACACTGGCGAGCGGACGGCGGCTTGGGGCTCATTCGCGCCGCGCTGGATTCCTTCCATTATCTGCGTACGGAAGCTGGACGCCAACCGGAGGGCGCGGCCCAAAGTGTATGGACGATTTGTATTCGAGCGTCGAATCGATGATCTTCCGGCAGCCGTCACATCTTTTTCCACTGCTGTCTTGAGCGCGTCCGCCTCGCAAGGCTCACGCCACATTCTTGGGTTAGATGTCAGTGCAACTCCAGGTAGTGATCCAGTGGCCAATGGCTACTGGATGGATTTAACATCGCAGAGAGAGTAGACGTACGGAATACCCATGTTGCGACCGAATTGCGCAAGTGAATAATCGACGGGCACAACAACAAGACGGTCGGCAAGTGATAAGGATAAAGGCTGAACGCGCCCCCGGAGTCTTGGGGGGTGATGTAGTGGGGACACGGGAGAGAGATGGATACCGATCGGAAGGAAAAGATTAGGAGGAGCGGGAATTTTGTTTTTGGGGCATTCAAAGGAAACGGGGTATTTCCCGAACGACGTTGCCTGAGCGGCCTGACGGAACCACTTGTGATGAGTCCGGAAGTTGTGATCAGTGACGAGACCAGACGATGCGCAGGCGGCAATTGAGTGGCTAGGACTGTCATGTGACATACAGTACCTTAGAATCGGGTTCCGAATCGCAGGCTTGACGAGTATCGATATGATGATGTGCACAGTCACACTGATTACTTCTAAAGTGGCAGGTATCTACCTGATGTTCATAACTTGGGACCTTTCAACAATCTACGCATCTCAGTTGAGTGCTTTCTATATATAATGTCACGACGATGGCTCGATATTAGATCGTGCACTGGTGTCTTTCAAACTCCCATGCAAGTCTACCGGCTACCTAGTACCTAGTCTACAAGTAACTAATTGTCCACTACATTATACAAGAAGTTGTCTTGGCTTCAATCCGACCTTTCTGGATTGTGCTGGAAAGCTCCCATGATAGTAAATATCCATTTAGGACAGAAGACAATGCCTTGGTGTAACTACCTCATACCTAGGCGCGGAAGAACAAGTTAACAACAAACATTTTGTAGCGTTCAGGATAACTTACAGCCAAAAACATGTATACCATCAATGTGTATGGCGCCCAGGCGCAGTCATATGATAATTATCTATACATGATAAGAAGTTATATAGGTCTCCTTAGTTTTTACTTTCTTCTACTGTCAAGTGTCAGGTACTAGTCAGTGATCCAGTAGCCACTAGCTACTGTATATGGACGTAGTCGGCTAACGTGTCTTTACTATGGTTCTTTGATGGTAATAAGTCAAAAGTATCACCGCCTCCGTCATAAGCTCGGGTTTAAACGGTCTATATTCTATGAGTCTATACTATCTTTCTCGACCTTCCAACAGTGTAACAACAGACACACTGAACCTGGTAATTGATTTAGCCACGGCGCGAGGCCGGGGCCTGTTCGGACTGATAAACATCTTATCAGCATTGTTTTCATATAATCAATGACTTTTATTACTTCGAAGTTCTAAGGTCTTCAAATCGGGGTTACATATACCACGAAGGAATACTTCTACCTCAGATCTGCTTTGAGGGTTCAGATATCACATATTGCCCAGAGAGAGGATCATCGGTTTCAGTCCTGATAACATGTGCTCAGGTGCTGTAGCTTCGATTCTTCGAAAAGTGGGGCCTCGTCGGATGGTAAGCTATGCGGGGGTTTTGTTTACCTCTGATTTATTGTGAAGCAATTGCACACCATGGCACTCTTGATACCTTCCTCGACCGAATTTTCTTTGCATGCTCCCGTTCGCTGGTACAAACAAAGTCACTGATAGGTCCGGCGAGGACGGTCGCAGTGACTTCAGCAGCGGAAGCTTTGTAGGGCTGATCGGCGGGCGTCAGCACAGCCGCAATATGATGCCGCCTGTGGAGAAGGAAAGTTCAAAACAACTCATGCTCGAGTCCCATCAATCTCCGCTTGTCCCGTGTCTTTTCTCTGCTCTGGACCCGGCTTTGGAATTTTAGAAACTCTGCGTACTGCATGGTCTCATACGACAGACCAGTGTCTCTCTGCTAAGAACTCACTACGGTGAAGGGTGTGGTAGCAGACGCCCTTGTATTATGCAGGTCTGGTGAGACCCAATCCCACCGCCGGACAATCGATCGCGCATGCGACAAGGTCCGCTACTTAGAGCAATCACGCTGAGCCGTTTGCAATCTGATGATTCCACGACTGACATGACAAGTGACCACAGATATTCATGCGGCGGTCATGATCCCTTGAGACCATCACCCTCGGCTCCTGCCTCGTTCCTCACTTCGACCTTTCCCAACCCCCACTCGAACGTATCCGAGACCACCTTCTGAGACCGGCGCTCCAAACAAACACAACAAGACTGCTCAACCAAGCTCTGCGCTACAGCTGCCATGGTCTCTCGCTCCGGCGAAACCAGTGAGGGTCAACGGCCCCTCACCCCCTCAAGGACGCCGGGCACGCCCATGAAACCTCGTTTGACCCGAGCTGGCACCAGCCCCGTGAAGCGCGATGATAAACTTAAAGAAGAAAAGGGACCGAAGACCTCAGCCAAAGATGTAGCAGAGCTCAAAGATTATGTGAGTGGGAGACCAGAGGGAGCATGCGCTCGCTGAACCGAGGGCAACAGACGTCAGGCTAATGAGATGTTCGTCGGCTCGTAGCAATTGGGTGACTGTCTGGGAAAGGGCGCGTTTGGATCCGTTTATCGGGCCTTGAACTGGAACACAGGGGGAGACGGTTGCGGTGAAACAGATCAAGCTTACGGATCTCCCGACGACGGAGTTGCGTGTGATTATGGTATATACACAGCCTGACCGTCACTTACAAGGGCCGACGCTGACAACGACGGACTGTCTTAGCTTGAAATTGATTTGCTCAAAAATCTCGATGTAAGACCTCATTCGACCCGCGGGAGTATGAATGCTCCGCTGACTCAAAGATTAGCATCCGAACATCGTCAAATACCATGGGTTTGTGAAATCCGTGGAAACTTTAAACATCATCTTAGAGTTGGATTCCCCTACCAAGCCTGTGTTAACGAGGAACGACCGCTAACTCTGCCACAACCAGATACTGTGAGAATGGATCGTTGCATTCCATCGCTAAGAACTTCGGTCGCTTTCCGGAGAATCTAGTCGGGCTGTACATGTCGCAAGTGCTGCATGGACTATTGTATCTCCACGAACAAGGTGTCATCCATCGGGACATCAAGGGCGCGAACATTCTGACCACCAAAGAAGGCTTGGTAAAATTGGCCGATTTCGGGGTGGCCAGTCGAACCACAGGATTGAGCGAGTCGAGTGTAGTCGGTACTCCTTATTGGATGGCCCCGGAGGTCATCGAGCTATCAGGAGCCACGACGGCGTCAGATATCTGGAGCTTGGGTTGTACGGTCATTGAGCTGCTAGAGGGGAAACCTCCATATCATAACCTTCAGCCGATGCCCGCTCTATTCCGGATTGTGAATGATGATCATCCGCCACTTCCGCAGGGTGCTTCCCCAGTAAGTGAATAATTAGATGACCGTTCGTCTTTTGTGATACTGACTGAACTCCCAGGCTGTCAAAGATTTCTTGATGCAATGTTTCCAGAAAGATCCTAATCTTCGAGTATCAGCTCGAAAGTTACTCAAGCATCCATGGATTGTCAACGCACGCCGAAGTGACTCCATCATTCCCAAAAAATCGACGGAATATGAGGAGGCTGTCAAGAGTGTGCAGGAGTGGAATGAAGCATTACGCTCTCCTGGGGCTGGCACAACGAGGAAATCAACCAAATTTGATCCGAACGCTGGGTCGTTGCCTGCTGCACGCGGCGGTTCCTTAGTAGATACCCTCCCATCGCCAACATCTATCAAAATCGCTGATCGCTTTCGGTCACCGTCGTCTAATGAAGATGACAATTGGGACAACGATTTCGTGACCGCTATCTCTCCAAGCGCGTTGCAGCTGCCCCATTTGAGACCGCAGGACAATTTCGGAGGCAAGCTCTCACCCGAGAAGTTGAAAGCGTTCGCATCCCTCGATGGAACTGTCATTAAAGGTGATGACAGTTTCGACGGCTTCGAAGACAGTGGGCGTGGTTCATTTCCAGGTGACAATGATCCTTTGCAAACCATCCGCCCATACTCTGCCAAAGTCCCATTAGCCGAGCCATCCAAGAGTGCCAGCCCATCAAAGCGTCGCCAGTCCAAGATCCAGTCGACTTCGACTCTTCAAAATGTTCCGATCCTGTCACAGACTCCCACGCCTCCAATGAGACGGCCTCGCCCAGCCGTCTTATACAAAGAGAACTCTGTTGAGGATTACTCAGATTTGATCATGGCTAACGAGGATGTCCTCGACCGCAAGCTCGGAGTATTTCACGTTCGTCTTAGACACACATAAAGCTAGTCTTCCGTTCGCTAACATCTGTATGTAGGAATTGGACGATGACCCTGACTCTCCGACACACGACAAAGACTGGCATTTCGAGGACGAACTGGCTGGCCATCATCCGCAACTACGAAAACAGTTGTCAGTGAAACGTGACCGATCAGCTATCGAGATCCAGAGATTTGCAGAGAACGAGAGCGATGAAGACTTCTCCGACATCCTTGGAGCTGATCAAGAGGTTCTCGACAAGCCAGAGAGTGACGACGGTTCCGATCAGAGTACTCTCATGCTGAACTCCAAACTGTCGAACAATTCTTGGCTGGGCGATCAGGATGACGACGATGACCCCTTCGCACAGCTAGAAGAAGGCTTTGATGAGATGGATCTTGAAGCCAATATCGCCCGTGACAAGTATGCCCGTCTACGCAATCAGGTCGAAGATCTGGTCGGCTCTCTGAAAACGTCTCAAGATGAGGATGTTCTCGCGGAGATCTCCGAACAGCTTCTCACCGTGTTCTGCGATCTTCCGGAAACGAAGAATATCATTATCAGCGCACACGGCATGCTACCCATTCTTGAAATTCTCGATACATCACGTCGACGTGACACTGTGTACTACCTTCTCAGAGTGGTGAATGCTATCATCTACAATGACTACGAGATTCAAGAAAATCTCTGTTTCGTCGGTGGTATTCCCATCGTGAACGAGTTTGCATCGAAGAAATATCCACGGGAGATCCGCCTTGAAGCCGCTGCATTTGTGCAGCAAATGTTCCAGACGTCCACTCTCACACTCCAGATGTTCGTCAGCGCAGGCGGTCTCAACGTCTTGGTGGAGTTCCTCGAGGATGACTATGAAGACGAACGTGATCTAGTCCTGATCGGAGTGAATGGCATCTGGAGTGTGTTTGAGTTGCAGGTAATTCGCCCCTCTGCTCTGATGAGTTTTGTTCTGTGGCGCTAATACTAATTACCTGGTGTACAGGGATCTACGCCGAAAAACGATTTTTGCAGAATATTGTCCCGTAACTCTGTTCTTGATCCGCTCTCTCTTGTGCTGAGTCGAGTCTTAGATGAAGATGGAGAATTGGCCGAGGTCATTGAGGGCCGCATTGCAAACATTTTTTTCATCTTTTCGCAGGCCGAAAACCACGTTAAAGAGATGGTTGCGGAGCGCACAGTGCTGCACCGTAAGCCCATCGTCCTGTGATCCAAACTTCGAACAAGAGCGGTCCACTGACAGTTCTTGCAGGTGTTCTCAAGGAATTGCGGCGGATGTCTCCCGTGCATCAGGTCACGATGCTGAAGTTTATTAAAAACTTGTCAATGCTATCCACAACGCTGGACGCCCTCCAGAATTCCAACGCCATCGACGTACTTACTGAGCTTCTTCAGTCTACCATGGGCCGCAGTCACTTCCGCGAAGTGTCTAACCAGATCCTCAACACCATCTACAACATGTGTCGTTTGAACAAGACTCGACAGGAAGACGCAGCATTGAATGGCATTGTGCCGCTGCTTCAGAAGATTGTCAAGACGGAGCGTCCTCTTAAAGAATTTGCTCTACCAATCCTTTGTGATATGGCTCAGTCTGGCAAAGTCGGTCGCCGAGAGCTGTGGCGCAACAAAGGACTTGCATTCTACATTTCACTACTGGCAGATCCTTACTGGCAAGTCACGGCGTTGGATGCCATTTTCACGTGGTAAGTCTTCCCTCGAACCCTGCGAATTCTTGGGGGTTTCCCGCGGTTTTAACCATTCTGTGTAGGCTTCAAGAGGAAACAGCAAAAGTCGAAGAGCATTTACTGGACAATCGCCATGACAAGATTTCATTCGCAGATGCTATTGTTCGATGTCTGACGCTCTCCAAAGCAAATGCTTTCGAAAACCTGCTCGAGCCACTTCAGAAGCTTTTGCGTCTCAGTCCACCAGTAGCCTCCACTCTGGCACGGACTGATCTTTTCACACGCCTTGGACAGAAGCTTCATCACAACAAAGCGGCTGTCCGGCTGAACTTGCTCCGCATTATCTCTAGCATTTGCGACTCAGCCGAACAACAAGGTGGCTTGCTTGCAACCTATGGCCTGCTAGATGCGATTCGAGAACTTGAAAACGACCCCGCGATCTTGGTCCGAGACATGGCAGGAAAATTGGTTCAAGCCAGTGAGCGTAGCAGCAACACTCTTGGTCTCATGCGCAGACCTACGAGTCGGCGAAAGAGCACTTCCACATCCAGTCCGAACCCATTCTCCAGCTCTACACCCTCCACCCCGTCCAGCAATCGCACAAGCCAATCTCGAGTATTCCTCGAAGGCCGCGAAACTCCCCGTCATTCCCGACCTGCCCTCACTGGATCATCTTTTGCGCTTCGACCAGGAAGCCGTGACGGCACTACCTCATCCTTGGGCTCGGCTCTCAACGGCAACGCAGCTTCTGCCCGGTCCCGAATGCCCCGAGGCATGTCTAACCGGCTGTCTCAGGTCGAATACCTTCAAGATGATGATAAAGCTCTAAACTCTTTGAATCGGCGCGGCTCTGTCATGCCACGCCGGCGTCGCCCTACAGCGGCGGATTCCGAATGGACATGACAGGCCTCATTGCACTTGCCCTATGCAAGATGCTCTGCGTGTGCATCAATTTCTTTTTTCGAGGCTCGTTCACCTGGGGCCAATTGCTTCGAATGAGCAATATCTGCCAGGTATAAGATAGGGACCCGAGTTGTTACCAAACCCGAGTTGTTACCAAGTATCTGTTCCTTTATTCCTAGTCGAGTTGTTGGGAGTGGTCGATATCCATGTTTCAGTATTACGCAAACTATCATTGCATAAACGGTGTTCAACGATGGGATTTTTTTTGGTTCAAGCTTGGCTTCTCGCATACTACTCTGATCTTCAAAAAGTACAACAATTGTAGCACATTTTTTGGTAGACTCCCTGAAGTCGATCTTTTGCCCTTTGTCGCCACACGGCCGTAGCGCTCGAAAGACCCTAAACGGAATCGATCGGTGGCGATGACGTCGATTGGATCACTTACAGCATTCCATCACGTGAAGTGCCCCTGCGGCCCGAGACCGGGCTAAGCGTCCACCGATTGGTGGCAATGCCGCTTTAGAAAAATCTCCTGATCAACACGAGCTGCTTTATTCTTGTACAAACCATGAAGTGAAAAGCTGGCGCCTCTCTTCTTTGCTTGTGTTTTCACTGTGTTGTCGTTGCTTGTGCCGTCCTTGTTGGAATGAAGGCTGCCCTTCGCGCACCGCTGCGGGCTTGTGCCAGTCCCGCGACGGTTATAGGGCAATCATGCAAAGCCTCGGTTGCCGCCTCCGCTAGTTCGTCGTACTCTACGCACTCGATCTTGCCTGCACATGTTTCGCGAACATGGTTGAGTCCTGGAATATTGCGTCGAGCCACATGGTCTTCTCGCCCAGCTTTGAACCAATCTAGTGCACGATCGCTCTCAACGAGCGCCCCGTTCCTTTCCGTCGCGGAGTCTAGATCACCACAGACGATACCTCGCACAAGCCAGACTCCGGCACAACGAAAGTACTTGAAGTACCTGGTTGTTCTGGGCTTACTTGGTACAGGTGGACTTTTGTACTCGGACGATGTGAAACATGTATACAACGCCACGAGGAGAAGTGGCCGTGTGCTTGGTACCCTTGCCGTTTGCATCAATGAGTAGGTGAACTCGATAGTAAAGCGATGAATGATAAGCTAACGAGCGATGTCTTTCCAGTTACCGTGTCACGTTGAAGCAAGCCGATCTCGCCTCGCCCGAGGATTATGACGCGCTCATTCGCGCATGCCATCAGCGCTGTGCGAATCGAACACTTCGTGTATTGGAACAAAATGGCTCGATCTTCATCAAACTGGGACAACATCTGAGTAGCATGGGCTACTTGCTGCCTATCGAGTGGACATCGACGTTTATACCCCTGCAAGACAAATGTCCCGTCTCGTCTATCGAATCAGTCGAAGAAATGTTCGTCAAAGACACTGGCCAGCGCATTGACGAGCTGTTCAGCTCGTTCGATCCCGTACCCATCGGAGCAGCATCGCTTGCGCAGGTCCACCTCGCTACCTTGAAGGAAACCGGCCAGAAGGTTGCCGTCAAGGTGCAACACCCTGCCTTGGCTGAGTGGGTGCCGCTCGATCTTTCTTTGACCCGATTTACATTTTCGACACTGAAGCGCTTTTTCCCGGAGTATGATCTTGAGTGGTTATCGCGAGAGATGGACCAATCTTTGCCTGTGGAGTTGGACTTTCGAATGGAGGCTCAAAATGCCATGACTACCAGCGAATACTTCAAGAAACACTCTGATGCGCCCTTAGTCATTCCTAATGGTATGATATGATCCTTAAGACTGTCGTTATCGGGATAGTGTGCCTAACTTTCTTTATCAGTGATGTGGTCGCAAAAGCGTATCCTTGTCATGGAATGTATTTCCGGAGGCCGACCCGATGATCTCGACTTCCTCGCCGCCAACAACATTGATCGGGACGAAGTGTCCGCTGCTTTTGCTCATATCTTCAACGAAATGATCTTCGGCGACGGTGCCCCGCTTCACTGTGACCCGCACGGCGGCAACATCGCCATTCGACCAAATCCCAACCGCAGCCATCCCAACTTCGATATCATTTTATACGATCACGGTCTCTACCGAACGATTGACAAGGATCTCCGCCGAAACTACGCCAAACTGTGGCTCGCCGTTCTTGATGCTGATGTTCCGCGCATGCGCGAGTTCGCCTACAAGGTCGCAGGGGTCACAGATGAACACTTCCCTCTCTTCGCTAGTGCTATTACGGGTCGGGATTTTACTGTCCTGACGCAGAAGAACGTTGCGTCTGCCCGGACGGCCGATGAAAAGAAGGAAATTACTGGAGCTTTGGGCGAAGGCATGTTGCAGCAGCTGGTAGTCCTACTGGGCCGAGTCCCGCGCATTATCCTCTTGATTCTCAAGACCAACGACCTCAGTAAGGAAGCCCTCATACTCGCGTCACCATTCATTTCTTGTTGAACGTGCCGGCGTCCTTCCTAGTGTATTCTTTTCCGCCAACCCCACGCTAACCTGACCCTCCAACCCCTCCAGCTCGAAGTCTTGACGAAAACCTTCACACCCGCCAAGGACCCATGCGAGCATTCCTGATCCTTGCACGATACGCCACCCGCACCGTATTTGAGGAACAAATGGAGCTGATTCGCAACTCGGGCGGCATCTTCCTCAACTTCTTCCAGTATCTCGCCGCCTGGGCTGGTTATCTTCGTGTTGAAACAAGGCTATCCGTCTACGAGACCCTACTCTCCGTGAAGAGTCGGCTCGGATTGCAGACTGCCTTGTAGATTATTGGATATGCAGTGCTTGGGCGACATGAAAACTAGATCTTGTAATTGATGACACGATTATGTACATATATAGCAGCGCTGCGGCTCTTGTCCTGAGTGTGCTTCTCTCTTCTGACCCGGGCGAATTCCAAGTCTCGGAAGGGCTGTACTACATCTTCTTGGACAGAGCCGATTGTGTGTCAGCGACGGCGTTAGATGGTTAGCGAAAAAAGTTGCTAGACTTGGGTTCGCATTATTTGGTTATCCCTTCTCCATTGTTTTCTTTTCGCTTGAATGGCTCGATCGATGAATGTCCGTTCGTTTCAGATCTAGCCCTGCAGAACCATATGAATTTCATCAGGCATATTTAGTTGACCTCAGAATATTACGTTGCTTTCAATAAGTCGTACCTAAGGTGATGACCGTAGCACTCTGCAGACACTAGCCGAGCTTCGTCTGTCTACCTGGGTACGCATCAATTGATCTAGCGGAAAGACGGAAGAGTGAATCCATTACGGAAGGTATGAATGTTTTCATTAAATTCATTCTAGGTACCAAGAACCCACGCTTTTCAAAAGTAAAAATAAAGAGTGGTCGATCGAGGATTGGATTGAGATGCCAAAAGCGCCAGACAGACATAACGTGGTATGGGGGCGAAAAAAAGAAACGAACAAAGGCAAACGGCAAAGGCATAAGACTGTACAGCAAACAAATCTGCCAATTTGTTTGGAAGGCCCCATTCATTCAAGACCAGGCCGGCATTATCATCAAGATAGATGATCGGAACCGTTGGTCGAGATGACTGGTGAAGCTTGTGATGAAGCACCAAATCAAGGTTGCATATCATAAATATATGAAGGCATCCTCGATCAAACGGTTGTGCCCATAGATAAAAAGATTCAAGGAAGAAAGAATGAGCGGAGGGGAGGGGAGCTCGAGCTCTTCAAGGGAGAAATGATGGGAGAACTCGTGACAATATCCGTTTTACATGGAAGCAGCAGCGCCGCCAGTAGGAGTCTGCTCAATTTCCACCTTCACATTGGCCATGGAGGCACCTGTCCCGGAGAGATCGGTAGTCTTGGCCTTGGGGTTCTTCGTGTAGTAGTCGGAAATGGCTGACTTGATGGCATCCTCGGCAAGCATTGAGCAATGCACTGTCATTAAGTCAAACTTTGTTAGCCAGAATATCTCTAGCAGCACAAGGGGTGGAAGAGGAGCAACAAGTAATTCCTCTTGTGAGGGGTAACTCACGCTTGACTGGGGGCAGGCAAAGCTCCTTCGCCACATCGGTATTCTTGATCTTGCCGGCCTCATCCAACGTCATGCCTCGCACAAGCTCGGTCAAGTAAGATGAAGAAGCAATAGCACTACCACATCCAAAGGTCTTGAAGACCACATCATCAATGCGACCAGAGTCCTTGTTCACCCGGATCTGAAGCTTCATGACATCGCCACAGGCGGGTGCACCGACCAGACCAGTGCCGACATCTTGTTCGTTCTTGAAAGATCCAACGTTGCGAGGGTTGTTGTAGTGGTCGAGAACCTTTTCATGATAGCTCCGGCGCTGGGTAGGGGCAGAGGTCTGACGCTGGATGGGCTGGACGGACTGCACACCAGCGAGGGGAGCGAAAGCACGGGGCGCAACAACGCCGACGCGGGGAGCAACGGTCACCAGACGCTTGAACATGGTGAATGGTTGTCTTAAGGAAGGGTGGTAGCGATCTTAGTTCAACAGGTTGTGTGGTTTCTGTTGGTTTGATGGTGGTTGTGATGCAGTGTGTTGAGATATTGACAATGGCAAAAAAGCAGATCTGATATGGGGAAGAGAGGAGGTGATGAATTCATTGCTAACTAATCTGATTCTTACATAATCCCGCTGCGACCTCGGATTCGTCACGGGTGGCCGCGACCATCGGAGCTGACTCAGCTCTCACCGGGTAGAATGATGCATGCCGCATCCAGCGGATTGCATCACTCTGCAGCCTCGACCTTCAAGTCGTTTACAGATCAAATTGCCATAACCAATCTCTCAAGTCACCAGATGAGCTTCGCTGATTCACATGAATCAATCCCTGCTCGCTTTCCATTAAGAAGATTCATGGTCCCCCTTTCAGAACATATGGATCGGATTCAGCCACAAGTGAATGGGACTTTTCCGCGGGCATCGGCAATACTGCAGCAAACAGTCTCCGAGGTCCAATCAAATGCCTGTGATATGACGAGGATGGAGACCCCATACGTTGATCTCTCCGATAAGAGTCGAAGCCGAATCACTACTATCGCCAGATCCGCTGCAGAGTTGATTACTGCCCAGTCCAGTCACTATCATGGAATATGGAGTCATTAAGTGCTCAATGCTCGCAGCTTGAGGTTATACGCTACTTCAACCCACTTTGTCTAAACTTGGTATTTAAACCTTTATTTCGTTTCATGAGTCTGATTAGTACCGACCTGGCCTGTAGATAGAGAGCTTCCGAATCTCAAATCCCCTTCAGGCCCGGGACCGATCTAAGTCTGTCCGATGTCCGACATCTAACTTACCAGAAAAGCTCTCGTTCCGTGACGTTCGGGGATAAGAAGCGAGCATCGGCGAGGTGAATATACTCATCCCGACGCAATGCGTCCGGTAGACAGGATTGCGGCCGCTCTCTTCAAGAACGATCAAGGCGCATTAATATCACTTATTGTCTGTGAAAAAGCAACATTCACTCGTTGCCCGAAGTACGAAAGAGAGATGAGCGAAACTGACCCTCAGTATTTCTCAATTCTCAACGCTTAACCGTAAACATGGTAGGTCTGACTCATAGTAGGATCAAGTCGCTTTAATTAAAATCAACTAGCCTATTACCTTGGCGGGAACCTCCAAGTCCATAAGTCACTGTCCATCCCCGCGAAGCCCGCCGGGAGATCTTGGGGGAGTATTACAAGCCTCAGGCACCTATTTTTCACCTATGGCGGATACATCAGGCCATCGCCACCATCCCTCCAGCGTTGAGGCGACCGTCCTTGTGATCATACTCATGAAGTGCTGAGGTGGCCAGTGTTGAAGAAGCACGCTGCGCTTGGCGAGTCTCATGTTTTAGGTGAAGTGAGAAGTTTTGACGTCCGACCGAGATCAGGGTCACGTTCTCGAAGCCCTCCTGCATCTGTTTGATGAGCAGCTTATTTCCAGGTTCGCCCTCATGACAGCCACGGCACTGTGAGTCCCCAACTAATTTTGAGCAGCAGAGTGACTAAATCCCCTCTGATAACCATATCACTCTGCACGTAATGTCTTCCAAACCTCCCACGAATTCGAAAACACTGGGCAAAGCAAGAGGCGTACGTTCACCGTCTATTATGGTTCGAGTTCAATGTCGAGCTCAGAAAACCAATCCGACATTTGATCTCTGCAGTTTTGACAGATGTTAACAAAGTTCCGCATGTCCTTCAGTCAGTCAATGCACCTATAGCGGCATTCACAATGGCAGTCATTCTGTGCTCCTACTGCTTCAGCTCCATTCGCACTGCGCGACGCGAGGCGCAGGATTCCCCGGGTTGCCCAGTTCGCAGCAACGGGTATCTGGACGAACAGAACGAGACTCATCGTGGATGAAGGATGCTCTCGAACAGAGTCGCGAGGGAAAATCGGGCTAACACGTCACGGCTTGCATTCTTCTGGGGATACCTGATTATGAAGTACTGTGGACGCTGTCAGGGCTCTTGAGGCGAGTTGATACCCCGGGTACTTGTGCTAGTGGACACTTCAGACGGGAAAACCATCCTGCTTACTCATTTGGACGGAAAATGAACGATGATTTGGTTGTAAAGAAAGGCATTGATTGTTCTATTGAGTCACTCACTCAAAATAAGACATGTTTAGTATGACCAGAGCAACTCTTTGCTTTCCACATTCGATCAGAATTTTCAGTGTATGAATGATCACGCCCGGGAGTTCAAGTGTTTAACAACCCGGTTCAATCAATAGAAAAGATCATCATATGAATGTTGCGAAGGAAAGAAGTCACTCTGGTTTCATGCTCGGAAATGTCAGAGTGAGAGACTGATCAATCAAATTATTGAGCTTGTACAGATCGCTTCGTTTGTCTCTTCAGACTGCAAGATCGAATCGTTAGTGAAGAAAGACTCTTGGCCTGTCGCTTCCTTGTAAAGTCTGCATTTAGACTTGATCGTGTCAGGAGAAGTCCCCAAAGGATATCCGGCCATCGACCAGGCTGTCTCTAGGACAATTCATCGAGCCTCATGGAACATTGAGAAGTTGGCATAGATTGTCGAAAAGGAAGGGAAGCGTGAGGGAAGAAAATTGTAAATGAGGTGTGTATCACATGACTTGGGCCTGGTTCAAGTGGAGCCCGCTCAAGCAGGCGAGGCCCGTTCGGCACTAGTGTTTGACTAGCCAGTTGGCGATAGTAGTACAGGCTGAGTGATGTATTCACTGTTCAGTCGGTAATAGATCAAGCATTGGTGGCCCTACAGTGTTCACGACCTGAGCCGTTCAGTTCACCATGCTGTCGGTGACTCAGGTAGAATCGAGAGGCGTGAACTCACTCTACGAGTCAATCATATGACTCTGGCCAAATCCCAGGCGTTGAGAAGAATAAGACAATATCCATATTTCCCGAATCAAAGTATGCAAAACACGACCAGTGCCGCCTATTCTGGGAATGTATGTACAGTAAGAGAGCAGACGTCGGTCATGCAAAAAGAAATCAATTTTTCGAGGGTAAGAGTGGCACGCTGGAAAGAAGAAGTGGGAATCAATCTTGTCATCCCAAAAGTCTGGTAGGAGCGCTATAGTTATTGCTCGCAAGGTGTGAAAATGCTAGCAGTATATTGCAAGACGGAAAAGCCAACGAGGAAGGCAGCCTGCGGACTTCCATGCAAAATTAAACTGCTTCAGTGAATCCAAGCATGACGGTATGGATCAAATCAAGCACTCGGTCGACCGTCGGGTAGATCATTGCATACGCAGCCGGCCGAGGAGGCTGCGTGCGAGTCAGTGCAGAGAGAAGATGTTGTGGGGATGTAGACGGTGAAGAGACGGAGACGGCGACCGAGGTTGATATGGTATCTGATCGAGTTGGCTAAAATATGTGAATGCCAGAAATACGTCTCGCTTGGAAATGTTGATGATTTTTGAACAAGGTCAGAATTAGATGGAATTGCCCTCAGAATGGATCTCTGCCTCCTTGAGCTTCAGTTCGCCCTCATGTCGGTAATCATGGATGAGCTTCGTCAAATACTCATAGGTCAACATTGTTGTCATCGCTGCTGGAATCGCTCGGAACAGATTGGTACCAATGCCAGAATAGAATGCGTGCCAGCCTTCTTCGCGAAGTATGGTCTGGAATGTACGAACTGCTCCATGGTATCGGGGACGATTGGGCATTCCGTCGGAAGACGAGACGCTAGGAGGTCGGCCACGATCATGAGGATGTTTCAGCCCCCCACGGAAAGAGACCTCATCGGACGATGGAGCGGGCGCCGTGCGCTGCTGGGTCTGAAGACGAGTTCGAAGGACCTCGTGGGGGTAGGTGATGGTGCTTGCGCAGATCTTACTCAGGAAAGTCGCAAAGGAAATCCCGACCCAATGGGTGCTACCATTGTCAGGATGCTCCCCAATGCCAAATCCTGTGATGGCAGTCTTCAAATACTCGTAGAGGGGAAACTGGATCGCGACATGAGTCAGGCCCAAAAGAGCCGGGGTCAGGCCTGAATAGAAAGATCGAATGCCTTCGAGCCGATACATCTTGCGGGCAGCATCTAAGGTACCCGAGTATTGCCATGGTGCCCGAGCGCCTTCGTTGTTTTGCTTCAAGCTCTGCGACATGAGTCGGGTCTTGATGACCCAAATGGGATTGGTGACAATTGTGGAGCAAGCACCGGCTGTAATCGAAGCGTAGGCGCGGGACAATAACCAGCTGTCTGAATTGAGCGTCAGTCACATCGTAAGCTGCATAAAAGAGTCTCTGGGTGATTCCGATAGTCCACGTACCAGTGGTATGCTCATGGAAATATTCGCGCGAGCGGTCGTATACCGCAAGATAAACCGCCCAAGTGGGCAGATATCCGAGCAGCATGGGGCCGAGACCTTGATACAGACCCCGGATACCATCCTCATGAAATATTCTTTTCCCGGTCCCCAGCATTCCCCGATACAGTATGTGAGTCTCTCTCGTCTGGCCTCCTCGACGTGCAAAGCCACCCTGGGCTTGCAGCTTGGTCTTGATCACATCGAGTGGGCAAGTGACGATTCCGGAGGCGACGCCTGCGCTCGCGCCACAGAACGGTGCAATGTAAGCTTTGGGGATTCGCGTTGCGAGTATCTGAAGACGGGTTGTGAAATCGGAAGCCGGCAACGCATCGGCAGCCGAGGATTGCCCGAGGGACTGGGCCGCATTGAGGTGCAAGTTTTGAGGATTCTCGATGGCGGTACTGGCAGCCTCGGAGCTGCCAATCTCAGTTGAGCGCATCGTGATATTGGCAGATGCGGAAGCCCGTCTGTCCGTTGTGATCACCGAGGGCTCCGGGATGCGAGCATATCGTGTGCTCGATCCGGGACCCAGCAACCCCGTGTGAATGCAAGATTAAAGGTGGAAGTGTTTCAATCTAAGTCTTTACCTCCGTAGTGAATGATAGAAATCGAAGTTTAGGAAAAGACAGAGGGATCGTTTGGCGGAGCCGATTGTTGCCGAGTCCGATGGGCCTGACACAGTGGGAACAGTCAACTCGTCTCGTGCAGCACGGACTGCGGGCGGAGTGGGGGATCGGTCTTGGTAGAGCCCAGCTCCGCGGTCAGCGACACCACAAATTTTTCAAGGGCGCGTAAGGAGGGGACGCACTTCTCGGGGTTGGCGATTCACCCAGACTGCAGACTTCAGGGCCTATTAGTAATTGGGAGATATGTCGACAGTGGTGCGAGATGGGCTCGGCGATTGTCGTTCCTCTCATCGGCTTGCTGAAACGGGCATCCGAGCCGCTCAGTCACGTGTGACGTGAGGAGGTTTGGGAGCCTCAGGCGTGCGGCTGGCAAACCTCTGCCGGTTTGGGGCTAGCGCCACAAGCTCCGTTTTGCACAACCTCGAAACATCGGGTCATCTCGTGTTAAGCCGGACCGCCCTTTCCTTCCCACTCCGACGAGATCATTCTCCTGTCAATTGGACATTCGGAAAACGCCAACATGTCTGCTCCTTCGCTCACCAACTATATCGTCAAGCGCCCCTGGCTCAAGCGCTGGATGACCCCCATCGCTCAGTGGTACACCGATGCCGCTGGTTACAGACGTCTCGGACTCAAGTAATTCTCGCCCTTCCCTCTCCGCCTCCAATCCATCTTCATCACGAGCGAGTATCGAGTGGCGTGAAGTACGGCCGGTGCGCAATATCTACTGCGATATCTCACGAGAATATTCATCCGATTGATTGCCCCCGAAGCCATCGTCCACCGCCGCAGCTATCTGGAATACCGTTCGCAGTCTATACCACCTTTGCGAATACCGTAACTAACCCGGTCGCTCATAGGTTCGATGACCTGATCCCCGAGGAGAGTGAGACCGTCCAAAAGGCCATCAAGCGTCTGTCTTCCAAGGAGGCTTATGACCGTGTCTTCCGTATCCGCCGTGCTGTCCAGGTTCGAACTATCCCGGTTCCACCCCTCATCGAAATCTCTGGCTGTGCAATCCTGACATTTCTTCGAAATACAGTGCTCCATCTCTCACACTCTTCTTCCTCCCCATGAGCAGACCAAGCCCGAGGAGGTTAGTATCTCTCAAATTTCTATGCGGTTATCCCCGCGATCCCGCTTCGGCCAATCCCGTTGCGAGGATTTGTCACTTGGCACGGGGCATATCTATACCCGAGATTATAGACTTGCAACTAACCTCAATCCCTCACCTAGGACGTCGAGTACCTGAGCCCCATCATTCGCGAGATTGAGAAGGAGGCCAAGGAGCGTGAGGACCTCGACAACCTTGTGATCCGCAAGTAAATAATTACTCGTATGGCTTTCTATTCGAGCATGCAAAACGACGAGATTTCCAAGGCGAATGGATGGCCGGCATGAAATAGATATCTGATTTCTTTTGGCGATGGACCAAGGCCCGCATTCGGGGACCTTCTTTCCAACACGCGCGTGTGTACTGATACTGTACAAATCGATTCTTCTTTGTTCCACTTATATTACACTGATGTCGCCTCTCTTCAATGCTTTTCACTCAAGCCAGCACTAACATGTGGTCTCCGGGGCACCATTATGAGAGGAACATTCGGCAATGCAGCGTGAATGATGCAAATTGCTTTTCTTGGATTCTACTCGTGTCTGGCAGTCGGCTCTGGGCGATGTAGGCAGCTGTCGGCGACATGGGCATTCGAATGACTCCATCATTGTGTCTGCCTCATTCCACGAATGAACTAGGCCCGCCATCGTGGCATCTGATATAGCAAATTAGGCTCACTGAGAGGTGATAACTCGAGACTTCGATTGATCATCGTATCACTCTATGTGTATGTTCAGGTGTGTTTACGGGTACATTCTCTCTTCAACAAGGATTCTCTCCTGCTTCTGTTCACACTGAAAGAACTGCCACATCCACGTCGCTGACTCGCCACATGTACCACATGAAAAGACTCCTGTTGAGAATTTGAATACTTGGTTAGCTTACTTCGGCTGATGTCGTCCGATAATCCCACTTGGAAAGCAACATACCTGTAAGGTGCGAACTTGGCGGCCAGTTCCAACATGTCCTTTTCCGACATATACTTCCATTTGCCGCCCCCTTTACCCTTCAACCTGCTGACGTCGCGTCCCGCAAATACCGCACATCCCCGTCTAGATTCATCAATGGATCAGCCGAGTTCGTCCTTCGACTCATCACAACCTTTCATTCAGATCAAAGCACAGAGGAGAACTCACTGCACACCCAGATCCCCCGTGGAAAAGACATCGATTCGCTTGAGGGCAAAACAGGCAAACATCTCCACAGACCATCGTCCCAGACCACGCACTGCCGTCAGCTTCTCCACCAACTCTTCATCACTTGCCCGTGCCAGCATGGCGGCACTCAATTCGCCGTTGGCGAATTTCTCCGCCAGCCCTTGAATATATTCTGCCTTTCTCTGCGACAAGCCCGCCGAGCGCAAAGATGGTATATCGCATTGTGCGACTTGCTGTGGCGTCGGAAATCTTGACCTCGGTACCGGTTCGCCCTCGACGTCCCCCGAGATATTGAACAAAGCCAAGAATTTGTTTCGGATCGACTTGGCAGCGGCGCCGGAGACTTGTTGGCCTATGATACTACTCACCAGGCTATTGAACGGATCAATCTGCTCGGCGAGTCGCTCTGGTGTGAACAGTGGGCAAGGATGTTGTTCGATCATAGGTTGCAGACGCGGATCTGTTGCGATCAAGTGCGCGACCGCTTGCTCGATTAGTGTCCCCGTTGTCGCGGTCGGGGGAGGCAATCCTGTCTTGGATGGCGACGTATCTTCTGCGTTGGTTGGGTAGGCATTGACGGTAGAGCCGTACGGGGTGAGGAGAGTCACGTTTGTTCGATGAGGGTCAACAGGACGGTCGAGCGGGGGAGGAGTGAGGGTTCTGCCATTCAGAGTGGGTGTGTGCTTCTGATCTGTATTCTGTACGGGTGTCGTGATTGTCGCTGAAGGCGCAGAGGGCTCTGGAGACCAATATGAAGGCACGGACTTGGGGGCGATGGTGACAGGGGTCGCCTTCTTGGCTTTGGAAGCCTTTCGTGATTTAGAGACTCCAGTGTGTTGGACCTTGGGAACACTTGATGCTGGTGTTGAAGTAGTTGGCGGGCGTGCGCTCAATCGCGCAGATCGTCGTATTGACATGGTCGTTCTGAATAAAGATCTGTTCATGCGAAGCCGTACAAATCCCAAAGAAATGAGGCTGAAGCTGAAACCTTCGTCCAAATCTGAACTTGCGCAGGCCTGGCCATTACGCCATGCGGAGTCAACTTATTCGGCTGCTCTGCGGAGTAAAGTGGGTCCCGAAAGCGCCTGCGCTTGCTTACCAGCAGGCAGCCTGAGCCTGGAGCAAGTCAACCTGTGAGGCCACGATCGAAGGATTCCAACACTGACAGCAGACGGGGATTCAATGAGGCACTGATGGTTCTTGAAGATTTCGCACCGTAAGCGTGGTCGGTCTACCTAGTGTCACGAAACGTTCAATTCCGGGATGATGACCTATGTCAAGTCATATGGTGAAGGAGGTGACGTCGCCATCCAGTAAGGCAGCATTCCCCAGCTGAGTATGGCATACATAAACATCATGTAGCCTCGAATTATACTGTGTCAGCATTTATGGCGATCTCGTCAATCTCCTGGCGCGGTTCCTGCAGGGTCGGATCCAGAGACAACAGCCCAGCGTATGATCACTAGACTCTCACCTACCGCCTCTACATATAGGCTTCTTCAGAGGCTTGCAAAGACTCGACTCCGGAGCAGGCCAAATATTGTGTTGTCTTCTCGCTAGCACTGATTTGAATGACTCGACTCCAGAACTTCGCTTGATCCTCAGACTGCGGCTCCTCGCCATTTGGTGGCCATATGCTGAGCATCTGTGCACCCGTTGCTGTGATAGCAACTACCTACAAGGGTGAGAGATGAGAGAAGTCAGGTTATACAATGTTTAGATGACCTGTCTCCGGATATGTGTGATCCGAACCGTTGCATACATCGCGAGCTTCAGACCAGTCTCGGCGAACGGAATATCAAATATGTTGGTGCATGAGCCCTCGGCGGAATGGCAGAAGCCACGATAACCTTAGGCGTATCTTCGATAATGCCAAGTTCAAGAGGTGCACATCCCATTCTAGCCCGCTCTACTTGAAAAGATTGCTCAATCTGTGTCCTGGAAGGACGGACAGTGGTTCCCAACGGAAGTCAATGATCATGACACTAGAGTTAAATTGGGCATGAAGTAAGTATTCCGCGGCAAGGCAGCCGCTAGCCGGGGAGCGCGAATCGATCACCTGCAGTAGGAGGATTTACAATTAACGAAAATCCTCATCGATCCAATGGCCTGGAAAGCCGAAAACACTCGAAGGATGACAGAAAAATCAGTGTGGAACACATCTACAGCATCCTGACCCTGTAGCCCAGAAATGTTTGATGGGGATTTTGTTCTAGGGTACGTATTGGACTCCTACACGAATGTGTAAAGACACAATGCCTTTGTATTACTGTATGTGTTTTCCGATCGCATTCCATGATCCCATGGTTGACCTCGACCTCCACTGGTTCTTGAACCAGGAACAAGGAACAACATCATCCTACCGAAGATTCTTCTCAATCGTTGTGATTCAGTTCGATCCAAAACTTCACGAGCCAGATTTAAACGGTTACAATCGCAATTGGTTGGCATAGACAAGTCACAGCTCCGCTCTTACACTAAACCAAGGTTCGGATACTGTTGCGAGATGGAAATTTTCATGCTTCTGTGTTTGTCTGCAGGGCTTTCTATTTTTCGGTCAGCGTCGGGTCTCGCTGCGAGAAGAAGGCATTGTGCAACATATCCCCTACATGGTTACTACACGCCGACACGGTGCATTGGCTGGTGGTTGATGCAAATTGCAGATCAGCCGTCATCCACTCCATCGTCAAGAGGTGGAAAGTGCGTAAGCACCTGCAGAGGCGACCGTAATAACCGGATCGGCTTGGCAACAGGGAACTTCTACAAGACAGGCCCGATCGAAACAAGACATGATCATTTGAGAGTTCGACGTGCGATCATCTGTCCAAATTTTGGGAATCCATGAGAATGAATGCATTGCCAACCTACTTAAAAACTCCCAATTGCAAGTACAGACAGCTGGTCATCAGGGGAGAAAGTAAAGGTCCGCGAAAGTGCGATCGACTTTACTCGAGCATACACTCACACCACAGCGGCTCATTCGAAATGGAAACTTGCTTCATCAAGTCAGTCATTACCGAATCCTCATTAGAGAATAGGAGCAGTGAGACACGATAATAGGCCTTTTACTTTGTATTCCCGATTGGCGGCCTGAACGGACCTTGACGTGAAGGTCTGAAACATTTGCAACACTGCCCAGTTCTTTGTACAAGACGTCTTGTGCGTGCCTTGCCTTCTTGCAGGCTCGAATTCTCAGGCGCTTTGATCAAAAAGAATGCGCCAAGCCCTACTAATTCCACGGTTACAGGGGGGGGATTGATGTCGCGAGTTGTAAAACTAAATACTAGACAGTAGACACATTCCTGCGATCGAAGGTATCCAGTAAAGAATGCTAAATAACGTAATCGAGGAATGACTTGTCACCAGCCGATGCTCCTTCATCTAAGCAGTTGGCACACTGTGACAATTAAGACCGAAACAGCGGATGCCCATGGGATCAGCCAGCAAGATCAGCACGATCGAGACTCCATTTAGGTGAAGCGTGGAGAGCATAAAGCTGACACAGTGTACACGACCACAGCCACTACAGTAGTTGTACACACCGGCCGTCCAATGCCCGTGATGGCCATGTTCGGTCCGAGAATCCTCGGCTATCGATGCTCGCTTTCGCATTGCCAGTCACCCTGGGAGGGCATAAAGAATGTCGGAACGGTACCTAGAAGAACAGGTAAAAACCACATCAAAACTAAGAATGCTTGCAATGTCTCAAACTCTGTACTCGACGAGAGCACCTTGGGTGACTACGAAGCTAAGGATGGCAAAGTCGCTACCCTGATCGCTCCAGACCATCTAAATGAGAGTGGAGAAAGATGGGCAGGCCCGAGACCATCTAGCGGCGCAGGTCGGGCCCATTTAGCGACCTTGAAACAAGTTTACCATCGCACGAGGAACAGGATTTCCGATTACGAGGATGGTCTGTAATGTATTGTAAATATGTTACGAGTTTTACTGTATTGCCGTAATTCAAGTAGGTCTTTACACAATAGACAATACATATTACACAGCAGTCACACAACTATAAGTGCACCTCATGCCATACCCAGAGAAGCTTGCTCTTACTTGAAGGCTTCAATGTGGAACTTATGGATAACTGCCGCGACAATGACACCTGAAAGATGACAGCTAGGTCTAGGCTCTCTTATACTTCCATCCACAGGATTCTCCTCAGTACGCTGAAACAAAGTCGTCGGAGCTAATACACTTATGTCTTAATCCGATCGCTTGGGACAAGCCATGAGGTCGCTCTACCGAGCTTGGCACGGCATGAGAGAATAACTTGCCAAAGCATAGCTTTATATGTACAAACAGCAAGGCTCCACCTGCATGTCCATAAAGAATCACAATGGCGAAGGTTGGTTTTGCATAAGCCCATTCCTGCGGCCTACGCTGGCCAAGTAGTCCAGCATCGAAGTATCAGGATTTGTTCGAACTCTGGTACCTTTATTGGGCTGCCCGCACATTAAACATCTAGCAAGTGGCTGTGCTTATATTTGACAGAATATAAACTGAAATGAAGATCTGTGCGGTCATCCTACCTTATATGGTACTTTCAATATCCATCCTAATGTATGTGAGCGCACCGAAGTTCACGTACCGCTCGCCCATCTAGCTATTCTTCCATAAGTAGCAAGACTCTGCGCTCTATATATTAACAGCTTTCATGTCTCTATATTAAAGAGCGTCTCATATAACTGGAAGCGGTATAATGCCTCGATTGGAAAATTTGGCAGACACATATACCTCACTAGGTATAGATTAGCCTAGCCCGCTCGAGAAATTGAAAGGTTTTCTGATTCAATCCTTTGACATATGGATCAAGCACAAGAGATCAACATGAAGTAGTTACGAGTCATGACTTATTTTAGTGCATGGAGTGATATTATGAATTTGGTGGCTGTCGAGTTACGAGAATGATAATCTAATATTCGCTCAAGTTAACACGCCCCTGACTTTCTTCATCTTCAAAGATACAAGGAGCAAATATAGATACGATGCGGGGATACTGGACCGTGAATACAAGGTGAGTGGTGAGTCACCAAAGTCAGGGATCAAGCCATAAGGAAGACATAGTGTGAGTCCGTTTCGTCGTACACAGATTGAGACGTATTAAATTTTCATTATTATCTATTCAGACTTCAGTATCTAGTCGGATATTCTTAAGATATTGCAAGTCCCATTTAGAAAAGGAACACGGTAAATGAGGAATCACGGATAAGATATCCACAGATGAAAGATGAAGCATGATAGTATGGGTGATTGACCTGTATTTCTATGCAAAGCTGACATCACGACTGGGTAATATATCTCTCATGGATAAAGTGATCGGCACTTGGTAATTTCAAGCCAGGCTCGTCTCCTACTATGCAAGTGTACATAAACGTCTTATCTCACGAATGTCTTGTTGTATGGATCTTCATAGGACATGGACTCATGGAGTATGCCCGACCACTGGACGAATACCAATAAAAGAAGTTCGGAACCTAATTTGGCTGTGGACCTAATGATTAGACTCAAGCTCCTCAGAGGTCGCCGGACTTCCCAGAATAATCAGTCTCTATTTCAATATACTTTACAGTTATTTAGCCCCTAGAACAACAGTACAAAGTCCGGCACTCACAGTCAGCACCCCTGAACTAGTCCATCTGAACAGTCGATCTGAAAGCTACAAAAATTCAAGCCTTCCTCTGGACCCGCACCGTCTCCAACGCTAGCATGGTCATGTCCCGTGAATATGATTGTCGGTAGCTGATTGGCTCGTTAAGGCGAAGCTCCCTAGAAGTGTAGCACAGAAATAATGCTGTATGACATTGATGTTGTGTTTTGGTATGTAATTGAGTAATATTTCGAAACGGATGGTTGATCACTCATCATTTCTCTTGATGATATATCTAAGAAACCTTCAGAGCATTCGAATTCTCATCGGTAAGAGGGACACTTCCTGATTACATACCTGCGATAATATGGATATAATGTTCCGGTCGGTCAATGATGAGCGGATCTTGACGTTGTGCACCGACGCAGACTCGTGGAGTCTCCTAAGCAGCATGCAACGCTACGACGCGTTTAAGCTAGCCCGATAAAGGTTAGAGCAGCCATCAAAGCAACGGGAAATACAGGATGGAAAAATGCGATCGTCACGAAGGAAATGACGGGTCGAAGCTTTTCAGCTACAAGCTTGTTATTGTGGAGCGGACGCCGGAGAGCGTGTGCGTTTTCTATTCTGTAGGCTAGGTGTTGAGTATCCAACTCAGAGTTTTCGACAACGGATGGGGTGTGAATAAAATTTAAGACTCAAGACTCGAGAATCAGCAATTTACACTCTTGATTATTTTTAAATCGTTGATCGTGCATTTCAAGATACCAACACCTAACTACAGAGACTTAGTAGTAGCCAAAACCAGCTACCTAGAGCGTTAAAGTTACTGGAGTGATCACCTGAATGCATAAGGTTGATCCTTTCACGTGCCAATCTAAGGTCTACAAAGTTTCAATTTCTAGTCAGTTCTCAATACAAAACTCATAATCACATCATATAAGAGACCGACACATTGACTTCTTCATTCGAGATGCCTACAGTCTACCCTCGCAAACTGCCGGGCAGAGAGGGCAATACCGAAGAACAAGGATCACCATGAAAATTATCCTCGCAATAATGCCCGTGGACCTTTATCGCCCGGGTTGCAGACGACTATCAGCGCTCCATAGTGCATTACTGCAATAATGCATATATAGCTTGCTTAGAATTCTAGACTTTCAGTTGCAGGATGAGTGGTCCGATCAATGACGAGAAGTCCTCCACCTTGAGTAACGCCAGCCTTCGACCAAGAGTCATCATCTGAATATCGAGAACGATGCCCAGCCAATAAAGAACACGCCATATCTTCCCACAGAACGGTCGCCGCAGGACAAGCACGTGTGGAGAAGGACCTCAGCCACCCACTCAGATTCACTATCGAAGCGAATCCGAGTGTGTCGAACACCACCATATTTGATACCAGGTGAGGAGCAATGCTCCACTTGCCCAAGAGCATTGGAAGACTTTACCCTTTATTACAAGTGGAGAAAAGGGGTGGCTCCCTAGACCAGGTGGCTATTGGGTGTAGTGCGGCGGAAGCAACACTGTTACCCACTTGCAGGTGAGAGTGGCCAGGGCAAAAGCAGGAATTCAACAGGCACCAGGACCAAGTTTTTCATACAGTAAGAATAAGGTAGGAAGGTACAGGAGGGTTGTCATTACATGGAAGACGATACTACATTACAAACTTAACCATACGCCTCTGCCTATCCGGGCGATATAATAATACGATCTAGCAGAACACCGTTGGAAAATTTGTGAGGCCATAGCCTTCCCGCACCCAGACTTTATCATGACAAGGACTATGCAGAACTAGAGTCAGTGATTCCCGTCCTTGTCTATCAAATTTGTTTCGAGAGCCTCGAGACTTCAAGTGTCATCACTGACTTGCAGTAAATATCGGTACTGTTTACTGTCCAGTGTCTATTGTGTCTAATGTTCCATATCCATGTGATTGTGCCATTGTGGTGTATTCACGGACTGTCGCGATGTAGGTATGTGTCTGGCAGAAAACTTATTATAATACATGTACTGTAATATCTTGACAGCAACTGTATGTACTATACGGATCAGGAAACTTAAAAGGCCCATGAAAAGTGGAAGTCCTCCACGACATGGACATTGTTTCTCTATCATTGCAGTGGTCAAATCAGAGCACAAGCAGAAAACACTCTACTAAGTGTCGGCATGTCTTTGAGCTAGCTCAAGGGTATCGCAGAATGAGCCTCAGGGGATGAACAGGAAGTCTGTGTCTGGGACAGTCCTCATCGTGTCCGTGATCAACCTGGACAGCGAACCACTCGGCGTATTGGTAATAGATTACAGTGACTCCCGGCCAGGCCGAGTGGCGGAGAGTGGTCCATTAGCCTGATCTTACGATCGTAATGCCAAAAATACACCCCGATTGTAACCCAAAAATAACTTGCCGAGGGGACCTGAAAAGCCAAAAGGGGCCCGCGTGGAATATGTAAATAACCAAACAGCCCAAAACACGACGGGAAGTCCCCACAGGCATACGCCTCCTTTCCTTACAGGCTAACAAGTCACAACCGCTTTCCCTATCCCTCGCCCCCTCCCCCAACTTCTTATTCTCTCTCTTCTCTCCCCCAAACCTGTCCACTCGTTCTTTCCTCGTGAGCTGCCTACCTTTTCAACCTACCTCCCCTTCGCTGAGGAGACCTTTTTTAATCTTCCATACACTCGTTCTCTTTCTTCCCAACCCTTGATCCTTCCCATCCTTCATTCAATTGGTACGTAAACATTCCATCGCCTGTGTTCAGCTCGACGCGTCCGAGTCTTGAAAAACCTCGCCGCTGGTCTTATCTTTCCCCCTGAAGAAGCTTTCTCCATCCTCACCGAGTCCTGTGTGACCCAAAGCCACCCATTGACGATTTCTTCCGACCAGCAGAGGATACCTACGAAAAAAACCTTCTCCTAAAGCCAACATTTACACACGCTATGCCTTTCGTCAAGTACATCCTGCCTGCCCTGGCTGCCAGCCAGCTCGCATTCGCTTCTTCTGACCCATGTAAGTGTGACGATCAATCAACCTTCCGACTTGACCTAACCGCAGTCGAAAACTAACGCGGTGCCTCCCAGGTGGTGACGCCAAGGTTCAGAACCAGGGTGATGCCGATGCTCTCGCGAGTTGCGGTACCATCAAGGGTGATATCACCATCGCCAAGAGCTACACTGGTACCCTTTCGTTCAGCGGTTTTGAGAACGTTACTGGTTCCATCACTTGTGATGGTGGTGAGAACATCACCGACATCACCGCCGACAAGATCATCAAGATTGGCAAGGAATTCAACCTCAACGGCCTGACCCGCCTGACCACCCTCGCCTTCGGCAACCTGAACAACGTTGGTTCCATCTCGTGGAACGCTCTTCCCAAGCTCCAGTCTTTGAACTTCAACGCTGGAGTCACCCAGGCCGGTGATGTTATGATCCAGAACACTGGCCTGACCTCCCTGGACGGTATCTCCCTGAAGCAGGTTGGCATGTTCCAGATTCAGAACAACCGTGATTTGATGAAGATCAACATCAACAACCTGATGAACGCGTCCGACCTGATCAACTTCTCTGGCAACTACGACCAGCTCATGATCGATCTCCCCAACCTCGGTACCGGTACCAACATGACCTTCCGCAACATCTCCAGCATCTCTCTGCCCTCCCTGGAGAAGCTGACCGGTCAGCTCGGCTTCTGGGGCACTGAATTCAAGACCTTCTCCGCCCCTAACCTCACCACCGTTGGGGACGTTGTCTTCATGGACAACTCCAAGTTGACAAACATCACTATGCCCGTTCTGACCACGGTCAGCGGTGGTTTCAACATTGCCCGTAACGACAAGCTCTCCAGCATCAACTTGCCCAAGCTGAACAGGGTCACTGGTGCCATTGACTTCTCCGGCAAGTTCAACACGTGAGTCTTCCCATCTCTTTGCGACCCGTCTGATTCTAGCCTTCTGTCCTCCTCTCCACCACATTCCCTTCTGAGAGACGTCCACGTACTAATTTTAATCTCACAGTGTCGACTTGAATGGCCTGAACGATGTTGAGGGTGGCTTCAGCCTGCAGAGCACTGACGGCAACTTCAGCTGCAACCACTTCGACAACCTCCGCAAGAACGTCAGTAAGGGAAAATACAAGTGTGATGCCAAGACTAACAAGCCCACCACCTCCAACGGTAACTCTGGTACCGCTTCCAGCTCCGGCTCCAGCAGCTCCGGCTCCTCCAGTGCTACCAGCTCTGGTGCCGCTGTCGCCAACGGTGCCAGCGTTGCTGTTACTGGTGTTGCCGCCTTCTTCTACGCTGTTGCCCAGCTTCTGTAAAAGCCCGTGTATGCTTCTAGGGCCCAGAGGGGTGTGTTTTTGAATTTTTTGCGTGTTGCGAAGATTGTAGATGTCAAAGTTCGACCAAGCAAACGGTTTCATATTCTTGCCTTACACTGCTGATCCTCACGGTAATAATCCCGTCGCCTTATGAGGACATGTTCTTTTGCCAAAACCAAAATGCAACTTTGATCCTCGAGCTGGCAGCCTTGTCCCCGTCACATCGGAAAGGAGTTTTTTTTTTTTCCTCTTTTACTTCCCTCTTATCACTTCCTCGTCTTTTGTTACTCCCCCATACGCGCTTTTTCTTTTGCTTGTCTCGATATGTGTTTTGACACATGGGCGTATGCAGCATGCAAATTGTATCTGATTCTACCAGTGCCCAGTATGCTCCCCACCATGCCCATGTAGTTTGAGTGTAATGCTGAAGTGTCGTCGCCTTCGGACATTCCGTCTAAAGTAGAGCGGAACTGACAAGGGGTCTCACCTACGCTATTCTTGGTCGGGGTACACATAGATGGATACGTGACTATCCTTTCTCAACGTGGGACAAAGCCATCATGAATGTTGGTAGTCACCAGATAGTAGATTCTAGTCATTCTACAATGTACATTGCCACACGGAGGCTGTCAAAGTCCCTTTGAACATACGTACTATATGGCCAGTCAGTACCTTTGTAGACCCCGAAGACTGTAGCCCGAATCTCCAATGGTCACACCGATAGCCTGATAGTGCAAAAGTAGACCCCGAACCCGACAGGCGGGTACAAACACCAGCCCCGAAAGTTTAATAGTGGTGGGGGGGTTACCGCGAGGAGTTGATACTTACTCCCAGTACCTAGTACCTACTACCTACTACTTAGTGAATTAGAACCTAGAAGCGATCAGTCCGCTGGAGGGGACGAAGTGCGGATACTCGATAGCTTCAAGCGGGGTTCAAGGTTCATTGCTTTGACTCGAGGGGATCCTTGAAGATCCAGAGCGCACGCCCTGCGTAATCCGTACGGAGTGCAGATGAGATGAAAAAAAGAAGAAAAAAGCAAAATTCGACTATCATCACAGACAGTGATGGCAGCGGTTTAGTGTACGTTGGGCAACCGCCCGTTAGACTAAAATTTGCCTCCGAGAATGATTCAGGGATCGAGGATGTAAGGAAGGTGTCTATGTGCCAGCACGGAGGAGGCGATGCGAACCAAGAGCGTCTCACGTGCATTCAGGCAAAGACAGGAACCTGCGCCACTATGGTTCTGGACATGATTGAGGCAAAGACCGTGGCTTGCAGAAAGAACGAGCTTGCATGGAGGGGAGACGGAGTTGACAGGGAAGATCCCACTAGAGGTTTCGCTAATGGTGGCGCACATCACGTAAAAGATTGTATCTTGTCCATGCTCTTCCCCCTCTCAGCAGAAATCGCGTTAGCGCCACGGCTAGATGGGGATCTATGTAGTACATCGCGCGTAGTACTTTGTCAATACTAACGCACTACAGTTCAGTACATCATATTCTGAAGCAAGCGAACCCGGAAAGATCTACAGTTCGAGAATCGATCGTCCCCTCGCAAGGCTGGTGTGTGTGCGTCGGAAAAGCAGAGCCGACGCTAACACTCGTCCAGCTCTCGAAACTCAGAGTGTGTTTGTTTCGAGCCATGTGCGTCTCGGATGATTGATCGTGGGGGAGCGACAGATCGTACAAAGTGAAACTCGGATTTGAAATACAGATCGAACGAATAGAAGCACCCTTCTGGGATGAGGCCGAGGACGTGGTCGTCATGTCGTCGATCCGGGACTTTTGAGATTGATGGGCTGGCGGATGTGTCAATTTGATTGAATTTGAGTTTTGAATCTGATGTCAATCTAGATGGGCTGGACTTTTAAGTGGGAAAACCAAGAGGGGGGTTCGTCATAGAATCAAAGGATCAAGTCAGGGGGAAGCTGCTCCCCATGGGATCTGGATGGCAGAGTTACGGATATCATTTCGATATGGGTTCCCACGGTGCTTGATGTGTGAAGGTGATCTTGTAGGCCGCCTCCAGATCGATTTAATTCCCACACAGCCAACCTTGGGGTAACTACGGGTGCCATTTCATACCTCACGGGGTGGTCGATGAGCCTTGAGGCGGACGAGGCTGAGTGGGGATCGTGATGTGGCTTGTACATGACAGGACCTGCTGAAGCCGATGTACTTGGCCAATATACTTCTGACTTTCTCTGGGGAAAAGCATCGGGTGCTGCATTCAGACGGGATGATTGGCAAGCACGGCAGCCAACGGAGCACAAAGTTGTCGTACTTTTTGCCAGGTCGGCTTCATCTGCGGACTCTCCAGCTATTACCCCCGTGTCGACGAGTCTCGAACGACACAGCAACACTCTCATCTCCTGCTCCGAACACGATTTTCTTTCAGACTACTACTAATCTACTACTACTACTACTACGACTATGGCGCATCTGCTTGAGAAAAGACCCCCTAGAACCCCCGGTCAATGACGATGTCAGTTTAAAGAATAAGAAAGCAGGCCTTCCGTTCGCCAAATAGTCTTATCTTGCATACAGCAGGTGCGAAAATCAGGAACACGCGACAAAATCAAGGAACAGAGACGGAGGTGCAGGAAGGATGAACGGTGATAGCCTCGAGCACGAGGGTCTCAGATGACAACACAGACACGTACCTCGTCCGATCCAGACAGGGTGCCACGCGCAGCCCGCGGCTGATTCTGCCATGTGAACTGTCACTAGAGTGGGTCTTGGCATCGTGGGCCTAGATGGAGGGACTGTCCGTGGGTTGAATCGACTGGGCCCCGTGATTGCGACGCGCGAAGCGGAGGGGCAGTTTCAAACTCAGTTTTTCGACGGGCTTTACCTGACACCTTGATCCATGACTGCGGAAGTCATCTTGATCGGAAGATTCGTCTTGTTCTTGGGAGAGGGGAAAGGATGAGAGGGGTGTGTATGTGCTTCCGCAGACTCTGAGCCCCATTCCAGGAGAATCCGGCGCATGGGCCGCGCTCTCGCGGTAGGCTTCCCGCACGCGAGTCAAGGGTATACCCAAGGATTAGAACCTGAGTCAAACTTTGCGCGTGACATCGAATCTGCACTTCTCCCAATCTGACAATCAACAGTGCTTTTGGGCTCCTCCCGTGGCCCTCCTCCACGGTCGGACCCATCTGGACATAGACTTGTGGAAACCTAGCGTTGCAGAGAAAAACGGACAAGTTCCAGAGACATTCAGTGAATGACGACAGAGACAGTCATTCTTGGAAACAGTGACGTGACGATTTGGCAGCCAGAATGCAAGATGTCAGAGATGTCGCAAAAAGCATATCTGCAACATGCGGTCGTATCGAAGATCCGATATGCTGACGTTCGAACGCAGAGCATATTCGATTCCAGATCCCGAGCTTCCCCCCCCCCCGCTCTTTCGAAGCCAGATTGAGCTGTGATCGGACACCTTTCTACCTTCTAGGCAGGTCCATCGACCCGTTCACCACGACTCAAGTCAACCCATCTTGTCCTCGCCATATTCGATCGCCACGTAGGTCATTGGCGAGCTCTCCTGTCGCAGGGGAATGATGATTGTCTGAAGTCGGTAGCGATATGCCAAGGTGATAACCATGGTTCGCAGTCCAGGTAGAGTTGTCAAAGGCCATTGATAGGCTCGTTCCCAGGGGGATATGTGTTTAGTGCTGTTTCTGACGTAAAAATCTGCCGAGATCAATCGTGAAGAAAACAGGGTCATGCCTTTGATCATTGGCGGTCATTGTTCCGCCCGCTCCATGGCCGATTGACAGATTGTACGAATGTCGGGAACTATGGTTCGTGTTGATGTGCTGGTGAAGTTTATTGAGCGCGCAGGTATCGGGAACGCACGGTAAGGGAAGCGTTCCTGGTGCCCTGGCCTCGTGGTCTATGCCTTAGCGCTCGAGAGTCATGCTCTCAGTTCCTGCGCGATTTTGCAAAGATCCACAGACTCGGATCAACGAACTTGATCAAAGATGCGAGTAAACTGAGGTAGACTGACTGCTTACTGACGTTGAATATTGACCTATTTGTGAAAGCTTTCTCCTCGCAGGGACAAAAACGAGGGTGAGCCACTGCTACTGCTAGAATTCTAGACAACAAGCTTGATCCTAGCCCATGGACGATCTGTACCTTACTTCCAAGACAATCAAAGATTTTTTTGACAGTCTGGAAATGGGCGATTTCTTCTACCTACATCAATGCAGCAGGTATCAACAATCTTTCGAGGAGATATACACTTACGGGAGATCAACTTACTTCGTCCGATAGAAGCTCGAGCTATACACAAGAAATCTACTAGACTCCATAATGTAGGAAGCCTCAAGTTTCATGTAGAGATTATGGTGGGTGCCACCAACTCGAACGCTGTACGACCTTTTTCAGCCTCCGAGTCTGCGGAGTGGCTTGCATCCATGTACTTACTGTACGGTACCTTTGCAAGAGCGTCAAGAGAGCAGTGTCCGATGCGGCAAATTTGAGTTTGCGGATGCGGGTTACTCGTCCTTACGCATGCATTTACGAACTCTTGCGGGCTGGGCGACTGCTAGATCTAGAATTGAATGTGTGGTCCTTGCAGGACGGGGTTATTAGCGTTGGTCAGTCGGGGAATTAAGTTTGTTTGAGATCTAGCTCGTCGATGCTCTTTGTGGGAGGTCTTTGGAAGCATGCTCATCAGTTTCTCGATGTGCGTATCAACAATGCTGCTGTTGATTTGTTGAGAGCGATCCAGGTGCAGCGAAATTAGGCGACCCCACTCTGAAGGGTCTCGCGAGATAGCAGTCCTGCTTATTCTCCATTGATAAAATACCATTTTCCGCCCAGGAACGGTCCGAGTGTAGTTCGGCTGGAATGGGCACTCATTTCTTCACAAATTGCGTTTTCTCTTTGTGTGTTCTGCATGGCTAGCTGGATCACTTGGGGTATATCATTTACTAGATTTGAGTAGATACCCAGAGGTACTAGGCAGTATCTCGCGGCATTCGAGGC